ATTTCGCAGAACCATCATGTTGCATCGGGGATCACAGGACATCAAGTTTGAACGATATTGGGAAAGATGGACCTCCTTATCTAATAGACAGTTAGTAAGGCCAGCTCATCCATGTCGGATCAACATCACTGTGTTTGCCAAAGATCCAACAGCCAGTGCTTCCAGCTCAAGTCCGTTGCCAGAGAATGTTCCAATGCCGCAGTCCCAAGTAAGCCCAGCTGAAATGCATGAAAATCCGCCGTTTTCCGAAAGTGACAGGCCAGCGTCAGACACCACGACAGAGGTAAAAGCCACTGCCCCTGAGACACCTGTCGATCAAATGCAAACTAGGCTCATGGATCAGACTTTCCGGTTTCGCAGTTTGCCAAAGTGGGAACAACAGCAGATAATCCATATGCACAAGAATCTTGGACATCCCTCCAATGACAGATTATCGAGAGCATTGCAAACCGCAGGATATCGTCCAGATGTCTCACAAGCTGCCCTGGAACTCAAATGCCAAGTATGTGCCAAGTGCTCACCGCCGAAGCATCAACGACCTGCCACATTGAAACCAATGCTTGATTTCAATCATCGGATCTATATAGATGGAGTAAATTGGACAAATTCCCAAGGTAAATCTCTCCAATTTTATCACATTGTAGATGCCGGGTCAAATTTCCATGTTGCTATTGCGACTCCAGCAAAGACCTCAGGATATCCTCAATATCATCAGCCAGCATTGGATGAGTTGGGCAGGGCCACCGACTGAGCTTCAGGTGGACTCAGGAACTGAATTGAACAGCGAAGAGTTTGCAGCCTTTCTTCAGCGTTTTGGCATTAAGGGAAGCACAACATGTCCGATGGCCCACTGGCAGAATGGTAAGGTGGAACGTCATGGAAAGTTTCTACAACACATGCTCACCAAAATTGATCTTGAACATCCCATTCACGATTATCAAGCACTCCAACTTGCTCTCAGTCAAAGTACCCATGCAAAGAATAGCTTGAGCATTCGACATGGATATGCACCAGAAATAATTGTATTTGGAAAGCACTCCAGAATTCCCGGATCCATATTAAGTGATGAATCTATTCCATCCCATGAAATGGTCTCTCAAGAAGATCATCATGTTGGTGTGTTGGAATTCAAAAACCTACTGAAGATCAGAGAAAGCGCAAGAAAAGCCTTCCATGATGCCGACAACAATGACAGCCTTCGCCGTGCGATCCTTCGCAAAGCATGCCCTCACCGAGGCATGTATGAGAAGGGACAATGGGTAATGATTTGGCGTGGAGAACCTCCACAGAAGTCTGGTTGGATTGGACCACAGAGAGTCACCATACAGGACGGTCATCACACTGTTTGGACCACCCAATGTGCCAAGCTTTACCGCAGTGCCCCTGAACATGTGCGACCCGTGCTGAGTCAAGAGATGCCGGAATGTCCCGATGCATGGCCCGACAACCTGACGGAACTTGGACAACAGATCACCAATATCAACAACCGAAGATCGCTTGGCCCAATTTCAGAAATGGTTGAAATTCCCTCTGAAAATAGCCATGAACATAATCCTGATAACCAAATCCACCATGATAACCAGAATCTCCCAGACCCTGAAGTCACGAGTGAAGATCATAATGGTACCCCCAATTCACCACAATCATTACCACAACCAGACCAAGAACCAGATCTCTCACGACAGGGGTCTGTCATGCCTGAAGTGATGGACCATCCGGAACAATCATCACTCACCGAAGCCCTGACATGCGTCGATGTAGACTGGTGTCTTTCAGCAGTGGAAAGCCAGGACGCTGCATGGCGTTGTGAATTTGATGTTCCTCTCTCAGACCACCAAGGGTTGCCTGAGAACCAAGAGGAAGCATGGACCTTGTTGGCAACAAATGCCAAGAAACAGCGCTCTGAAGTTCGTTTGACCGAACTGTCACCTGAAGAAAAGGCAGAATTCCAAAAGGCCAAAATGGCAGAAGTTCAGAGCTGGGTCCAGACTGGTACAGTCTCCAAGGTGCTCCGAAACCAGATCCCTGAGGATCAAATTCTACGTTGCCGCTGGATATTGACCTGGAAACCCCTGGATAATTTAGGTGACGAACATGGTAATGTGTCCCAAAAGCCTGTCAAAACCCATAAAGCGAAGGCCCGCCTAGTGGTATTGGGATACCTGGATCCAAACTTGGAAGAAATTCCCAGAGACTCACCGACCTTGAATCGTACGTCCAGAATGATTCTTCTCCAGGTCATAGCCAGTTGTGGTTGGCAACTCCAATCCTTTGATGTGAAGGCCGCTTTCCTTCAAGGTCAGCCTCAGTCCGACCGTATAATGGCCGTGGAGCCTGTCCCAGAGCTCAGACAAATCATGAACCTTGGTCCCCAACATGTTGCGAAGTTGAACAAAAGTGCCTATGGCTTGGTAGATGCACCATTTTTATGGTTTTGTTCTCTTGTCACCGAATTAACCAAATTGGGGTTCGAAGCATCACCTTTTGATCCATGCCTTTTTGTCTTAAGGGAACCAGCCACCAGCAGCCAAGCTGGCAAAATTGCTGGCATTCTCGGAGTGCATGTTGACGATGGGATTGGAGGGGGTAATGCCGTATATGAGGAGAAGATCAAGGAGCTAGAGAAAAAGTTCAAATTTGGATCCCACAAAACCAATGCCTTCACATTCACTGGGGTAGAAGTTACTCAAAGAGGGGATAACAGTATCCACTTGAGCCAAGCCCAATACATCAAGAAGATCAATCCCATTTCCCTGGACTGTAATCGAAAAACCCAGCATGAATCACTTGTGACCGAGAAAGAAAGATTAGCACTAAGGGGAATAGTGGGAAGCCTTCAGTACGCAGCCACCAACACTCGTCCAGACATTGCCAGTAAATTATCATTCCTACAATCCTCTATCAACACCGCCAAAGTTGAAACCCTACATGAAGCCAATCGACTCCTCCATGAAGCCAAGAAACATCATGATGTTGCAATAGTGATCAAGCCAATTCCAGTAGAAGATTTCCGATTCATGGCATTCAGTGACGCATCATTTTCTTCAGCCAAAAAGCCTGACTCTCATGCTGGTCTAATCATAGTCGGTACACATAAGGATGTAGCCTTGAACAAACAATGTCCCATCAGTCCCATTTCTTGGGGTTGTAAAAAGATTCAACGTGTTGTGACAAGCACCTTAGCTGCAGAGACCACGGCTTTAGCATCAGCAGTAGATCAATTAGCTTGGTTGAGACTTTTCTGGTCCTGGATCCATGTACCCAACACGAACTGGAAGGAACCAGAAACCGCACTCATGAAAATTGCACCAGCCATCACCACCGCTACCTTCAGAGAACATGCCGACTTAGCAATCACAGACTGCAAGAGCCTATTTGATCTCACGACAAGAACAGCTCCACCATCATGTGCTGAGTTCAGGGTTCAATTAGCTGCACGTGCAGTGAAAGAAGCCCTCCTTGAAGGGATTCAATTGCGTTGGGTCCACTCAGGTGCTCAGTTGGCTGACAGTTTAACCAAAGCAATGGAAAGCTATTTTCTCCGTGAGACTTTAAGATTAGGCAGCTACAAACTCAGTGACGAATCAGCTATTCTCAAGGAAAGAGCCAAAACCAAAGACAGGATTCGATGGCTGAAAGGCCAAGATCATCAACAACCAACTACAAAATCAGAAAAAGAAAATTTGGGAGTGTGATTCTCAAACCAGTAACTGATGATCGGAATAACCCTGGTAAGAAACCACCTTAAGATATAAGTAGGTTCCATAATCATGCCACCACTTGGAGGTCCAAAGACATCAGACAATGCCTGCCAGACACGTGGCTCAGGCGAGCCCTGAGGTGGGCGGTGAGGGTTCTTTCATAGTGTCTTCAGCCATAGTGGACTACAAAGCGACAGGGTCGCGTGGACGAGGCCGTCCAACCAAAGACAACAAACCGAGGGCATACAACCATCCGAATCTCAGCTGGCAGTGGAGAAAAGGCTGAGCGCTTCAGGTGGAGCCGGAGTTGAAGACAGTGGAGCTACCCCACTTACAATGCATATATATATATATGCATATCTCTATAATCCCCCTTGCAATTCGGCCTCCGACCCTGACCCCTGAATCTTTAAGGGACCACTGGTAGCCTCTTAAAGAATGCGAACCAGGGCAAATTTCAGCCTTAAAGAATCTAACCCCAATGAACCAAGATTGCAACACAGTAGCCAGGTATGTCCCTTTAAAAAATTGGAGACCCAAGTTGCACACCAAGGGGTGCCCCTTTAAAGAATTGGATACCCAAGTTGAAGTCAAGCATGAAATGTTCTGAATATTTTTAAGATTTTGGATAGAAATTTCATTTTTCAACATATTTTGACAAAAAAAAATCGAAAAAAAAAACTTTCAAAATTTCATTCCAATACCTTGAGAATGACCCACTGAATGTTTTAAACCTCATTGTGGACATAATTTATTGATAGAAATTATTTTTTAAAATTTATAAAAGTGACATTTCTCATTTTGCATCATTTTCCCGTTGTGTGTTCCCCCCTTTGGGTCTCCCCTTGGGGTCTCCCCGTTGTGTCTTCCTCGTTGTACCTCCCCGTTTTGGGGTCGATGTCCTCGGGCAGGGCTTTCCGCCATTCACATGCATTCACTATCATTCACTCTGACGTTTGTGAGCATCTCCAGAAGCGGCAGGCATTTGACACACAATCCCAAACATACCAAAAAAAACCAAAAAACAAGTTCCTAGAATCTTCCTAGGAAGGCCTCTTAAAGAATAGGAGACCGTCAAACAACAGGATTTCCTTAAAAAATAGAACTGTTTTTTTTTGGCCGGCCAGGTATGTCCCTTAAAAAATACAGTTTTTTAAAGACATCATGTCCTGAACTTTTTAAGCTAAATTCCCAGGAGGATTCTCTATATACTTATATTTGTGGACATAGATGGAAATAGGTAGATGGAAATGTTATCGAACATTCCTTGATGCCCCAGCAGAAACTTCACCAGCGCACCATTTGAAGGGCACTACGGAAGGCTTCTGCACCACCGTCGGCGACAAAAGTCAGACCCAAACCTTGGTGTCTGAAACCAAACGCTCACATGAAAACATCCCAAGGTTTATGGAGGTTTCAACGAGATAAGGAACTACATATAACCAATGGGTTTTAATGGGATTTATAAGAGGTTTATTAGAGGTTTTAATGAGAATAATGTTACCACATTAGGAATGGGATAATGATGTGGCATAATGATGTGTGATATCCCATTAAAAACCATGATGAATTCCATGATTATCCCAATAATAACCACAGTTATAAGAATTAGGAATGGGACAATGATAACTAATTTCTGCATGAAATATGGGAAATTACTAATGGAGGTTGTATGTAATAGGAAAATGGTCTAAACATGCGGGATCTTCCATTGCCATGTTTGATTGCTGGAGGCTAACTGTTATGAAGGGTAAAACCATCTTTAAAATGTAGTGGGATATCAAGGGACATGGATAATTTTTAAACCGCCCGTTTTATACCAATTTTGAGAGTTGTCAATGCATCACTGATCACACAAGGAACATCGTAATCGCCGCATGTGATGCACACATCCTTTTCCATGCACAATCTGGGTGCATAATCTTGGTAACATCACACTCCATCATCATCAACAATACAAACATTCGTCGTCGAACCGAAAAAAACAGCGCAATAATCATCACCGCTACGTCCATCATCATCATCATCATCATCATCATCCTCATCCATCATCCATCATCGATCATCCGTCACCCATCACCCAGTCATTAGGTCATTCAGTCACTCACTCATTCGTTCGTTCGTTTATCCATCCATACATCCATTCTTCCATCCGCCCATCCACCCATGCATCACCCATGTCATCCATTATCCATCAAGAAATCCAATCTTAGATACTTGGTGGCTCATTCCACTTAGTAAGTGGGTGATAACCCCTAGTTCCAAGTAGGATAAGTAGGGTTAAACCACTATCAGTGGGCTTATAAACCACCGTGGGATGAACCACCGAGCATCCATCCGCTCAGGATCATCCAAAACAGTCAGCATTCATGGGGATTTTATCACCAAATAATACCCCCAAAAAAATGGACGAAACAGTCTGGCAAATATATCCACAAAATCATCCGAGACAACAATCCTTACCCACCCAAAAAACCCACCAAATCCGCATCATTCTGTTTTTTTTTCCGAATTTTCCCCACCTTTTTTGGTCCCGGTGACGCCATGGCAGTCGTTGCATCGTCAACAGCTTGGTCCGCGCGAAGTCATCCAGCGCGCAGACGTGTCGAAAACTGAGCGACAGCGCCAGCTGAAGGGCCTGGGGCCAACCTCGGGAATCAGGTCATGGTGAGCTATGATGGTATTGATCATGGTGATTAATAGTGGTGAAAAAGTATGAAAAAGTGGGATTTAATGGGATTAATCATGGCAAATTGAAGTTTAATGGTGATTAATAATGGTATTGATAGCCCATAAACCATTAATTAAACTTATATTAAATCCCATGAAACTTATATGAATACCATTATTTAATGGTGATTTAATGGGATTAAGGATGGGATTCAAAATGGGACGTAAAGGTGATACAATGGTGATGTTGGATTTAATGGGCCATAAAAACGGATTTCTAAGGGGTTTCAACAGGACTTTAGTGGGATTTAATGGTGATTGATAGGACTGTAATGGGGATATAATTGGATAACAACGGGACATTGTAATATGGGTTAATTAATCATGAAATTAACACACGAATGTTTGGCAATAAAACTTGGGAATGTACGGAATAATCGTGCATATAAATCATGAACTAAAATACTTATAGATTAAAAACGGAAACATATTGATAGTTATAGGGATTGATCATTAATAATGGTATGTCTTGGAATAGTATAGCAACAACCATACTATCATACTTCTGAAGACCAACAATGTGATAAAATGAGATAATAGTGGGATGATGGGAGAACTAGTGAATATGACAAAAGGAAACCGCCAGAAAGATGCTGAAAAACTGGAAACCTATAGATGATCGAAAGCACACATCATCCCTAATATCCGGGAAATACTGTTCTTTAGGGTGGTTATCATCATGAAAAGATACGCGTGTATGTGTGTATGTGTGTGTATGTGTGTATATGTGTGTATGTGTGTGTATGTGTGTGTATGTGTATGTGTGTGTATGTGTGTGTGTATGTGTGTGTGTATGTGTGTGTATGTGTGTGCATGTATGTGCATGTATGTATGTACGTATGTATGTATGTATGTATGTAGGTAGGTAGGTAGGTAGGTAAGGTAGGTTAGTTAGGTAGGTAGGTAGGTATGTTTGGATGCATGCATGCATGTATGTATGTATGTGAATATATATATGCATATTACTGATTGACATCGCTGTCACTGTAATAACTATTTATCGACAATATATTTCCTGACAATGAGAGTTGTTGATAATATACTAGTAACTAGTCTACTTCTTAGCATTTTTTGAATATTGAACAGCAATAGAATACTTAATCTTGAAGTTATTAAAAGACAAAGAACAACAGTGTCAATCATATGTACTTATATATATACATACACATCAGATGTTGGGCATGATGATTTTACTACATGACGTTTGGGATCATGATAATTATGATTGGTTTGATTGTAAATATGCATTCATCTCTACTGTATCTAAAGTGTGACTTGCATGAATGTTTTTTGATGGACATGCTTCAATGTTCAATTATCAGCACGATCATTACTCTAATCATTGCTATGGCTGTTAGGTTGTTATTATCAGAGTCGTTAAGCTTGAGTAATCTATCACTACTAAAAGCACTATCAGTACTCCAATCTCTAATCATTTACAATCAATCATTGCACTCTATATACCCTCTGGTAAACTAACATAACTATGGAAAATCACCATTTTCAATGGGTAAATCCACTATAAATGGCCATTTTCAATAGCAAACTGTTAGTCATTACCAGAGGGTAATCTCTTCGGTCAGAAGGATCGCTTTGTTCATCAAGACATCCGTCATGTCGACGATTCGACGATGTCGTTAAGAACGCGTTTTTTTTTTTTAAATCTTGCCAGCTGATCAACTAGGGATGATGACGGGATGATGATTAGCTGGGTTGTTTAATCATCTTTAGACAACTGGTTTTAAGTTTGGAACAACTGGGTTGTGAAGAAATTCGTCATAGAAATAATAGAGGTTTCGGATTTCTTATATTAACCGTTTATTAACCCAGTGTTATCTGGTTGGAGGTTGACCTACCCCTCTGAAAAATATGCGAAAGTCAGTTGGGATGATGACATTCCAATATATGGAAACATAAAAAATGTTCCAAACCACCAACCAGTTATGATTATCATCAGTCTCTTTATCATTCCATTGGGAAATGATGATGATTAGCTTCTGTCAAACCTTTTCTGTTTGTTTTTCTTTATGTTCATCATCATACACTATAATTGTCATGTTCTCGCTAGACTGGCTTTCGGAACGAGGATGATTTATATGCTGCTGTGATGCATATTACGGTCATGATCATGCACATCATAATTGTCATTTCTCTTCATCAAACTGTGGTACTATTTCCAATGTTATTCGGGAACGATGTCCTTGATAAGATTTGGGGATCTTCGTATGTCATGTTCCGTGTGTTGTGCTTGTTTACTACCACTATTGTGATCATGATTGATACTAATACTACCATGGTCATGATATTACCATACTATTTTCGTCCATTAACTAGCATGATATATATATATATATTGCAAGTCAAATATGGACAAATGGTATCAAAACCATAGTTTCATGTAGTAAGTATGTTTCCTTGACTAAACCCACCATATTGCAAGTATGATGATAATGCTCATCACGCTATTGTTGCCACTTTTTTTTGTTGCACATTTTTTTTTTGCGGCCAACTCGGGGGCGGGCCGAGAGGCTTTCCTGGTGAAGTCATAGGTTATTTATCAGAGAGAATTCATCATATATTCAAAATATGGGATAAATATGGATAAATACCATCAATCATATTTTTTAGAACATCCCATCAATTGTATATGATTGTTATTCAACAATTGTATATGATTGTTTGAAGACATCCCAAAAATATGAATTTGTCACGATGGAGCCATACCATTGATGGCTAAAAATGAAACAATTGGCCAGTTCACCAGTTTAGGGCAACCCTAATGTACTTTGGGCCGATTTTATCCGATTTGACCATATGGGATCGAATCAGAACCAGATCTAAGATAGAACAGGACCTAACCAGTGGACATTTATGAAAAAAATACCGCCGTTTTAGTATGCACTAAAATAGAACTTTTGTGGTACAAGGTGGTTCCCCCCAATTATCAGTTGGTGAATAAACTTAAACACCATGAACTATAGTTGTATATATATATATACTATATATACTATATTATTATATTTATAAATAATATCGTAGGTCCGAGTTAACCTAGTTATTTCTACCAACTGAGCTATCAAACGGGGGCACCACCTTAGTATGATCCATTTTTCCAGGTCCGGCCCAAATTTGGGCAAGGAGCGTGCTTCATCTGCAAAGGCTGAGATCACAATGTTGTAGCTCTGAACGCCTCAAGCTGGTTGGTGGTTTTAACCATCTTGAAAAATATTAGTCAATGGAAAGGATTATCCCATATATTATGGAAAATAAAAAATGTTCCAAACCACCAACCAGTTTCCAATCATTTTACTTGGTATATTTGGGTTGTGTTTTAATCAGTGGAAGTTGGGTGATTTTACAAGAAATGAAATCTAATGGGATCGTAATTCAAATTGGGGAAGCCAGATCCTGAAAACTCACCCTTGTTGAGCAAAGGCTCTTGTAGCAAAACTAATCAAGGAAGAGGCTTTCAGTTTGCCCGACGCTTTTGTGGCAACAACTTGTCTTTTGACTTTCGCTCGCCGTTTTCAGGCCATTGTTTTCCTTTCTAGCATCTTGCTCTGAAAAAAAACAGAACACAAACAAATGCAAAGGAAAACATAAGCAAAAAAAACATAAAACTTCGTCATGAGCAAACGTGCCCTTTCACTGTCGGAATTTTCCAAGAGCCCACCGAAGATCACGCATGGCTTGATTTCATGGTGATGTTAGTTGGAAGCTTTAAGTTTTGGTATCACCTTCGATGTCTTCATAGTATTTTCGTTGGATATAGTTTGGATACATAGATGGAAACACGTTGAAATACCCTATTACCCATCAAAAATCGCCTCAACAATAGGCATTTCATGGGGAAAAAACCTTGTGATATCAGAAATGGGGCTGAATTCATTCCTGGGCTGAGAAAATCTCACCCCGAGCCTAGTTGGATGGACTGCTTCTGAAGCTCCGTCAACAAGTCACATGCCCTTGACGCCTGTGATCCTAGCGACGAGTTGTTTTTTGGATCGTGTCAAAGGCGAGAAATGGCCACTCTCAGAGGGAAAGTAAGATGATAAACATGGTTCATTTACCCTCTGGTAAACATTTACATAGCTATTGAAAATGGTCATAGAAATAGTGGATTTTCCCATTAAACATGGTGATTTTCTATAGTTATGTTAGTTTACCAGAGGGTAGGAGACATCGGAGACATGATCAATTTTCTTTCATCTGTGGTACAAAACATGTCCCCCACGCAAAAGTCGTTTCTCAAAAGTCATCACTCTCAAAATTCGTTTGCGGATCAGTCTAATTAGGATCGGACACACAAGGTGCGGCAAGCCTTTTGCCATGCACACGATGACTTGACCATACCCGTTCATTGCACCCAGGCAAGCTCACCTGGCTCACCTTTCACGGACAACTTTCAATCGCGCCCACTTGCCCCGGAGACAAGGGCTTGTCCCGCGCCTTTCTTCAAAGCTGACATCATAACTCCACAGGAGACATTATCCTTGGTGGCCACAGTGGAGTAAAACCATGGTCCGCGCTCCATGATTTCGTGGCTGAATTTGACAAAGGGGCCGTACACCAAGTTTTTCTGGTTGGTGGTTGAGCCTACCCCTCTGAAAAATGATGGAGTGAAAGTCAAGTTGGGATGATGACATTCCCAATTGAATGGAAAAATAAAATTCATGTTCCAAACCCGCAACCAGTTATATTTTTGAGAGCTCAATTCACATCTTTGATCTGAAAATACTACTGGTGAAATCAAATCATCAATCCCTACTGGATCCCTACTGGATCGCTGGCTGAATTTTCCAATTTGATATTATGGGAGTGACATCTCAACTATGAAATCTGGTTGAAACATTATCCTGCGCTAAAAAAACCCAACATCTTTGGTGATTTCTTATCTGGTCCAGCTAGGTTTACCCCCCGGAAAACTAAGAGTTTGCAAACTGGAAAAGCAACCTTTTTTGGTACGTAAATCAATTATCAATGGCCATTTTAAATAGCAAACTTTCCCCATCGTTTGGTTGCATCATGTCGTGCAGAACTTTTCATCGTGAATGGAGGGTTTTTCTTGGAAAATGCGACAAGACTGCGCTATCAGAATCAAATGCTCCATCAATGGTAATTTCAGGATCCTAAATTGGAGGTACTGTGCCATATAAGGCCATATTTTTTTGGGATATTCCCTTACAATGGACTTCATGGACAATTACAAAAAGAACTTCATGGACAACAGGATATGTCCTTTGAGGACACGTCCTTCTACTATTGGGTACCCTAAGATATACTTTACATATCGAATTAGTAACTATCAACACAAAGAATATTTATCTATCCACAGTCGAAAAATGCATATACTGTAACACATAGTTAAAACAGTTCTACATCATTGGTACAGTACCATCCATATTATTTGAATACCAAAAACCAAAGAAAATTGACAATATAAGTTTGTATGCTGTGCTTGTTAGTGTTGATGTCATTATCGCTTATTATTATTGCTTATCATGATTATATGCATATCCCCATGACACCTCCATATGAGCTGCGGACCATATTTGTTACATAACGCAATTGACGGGGTGTTCCTACCTCGTTCTCCAGTCCCGTAACGTTTTTGCCTACCTCGTTCTCGGGGTGTTCCTACCTCGTTTTACAAGCTAAATATAATGTTTTTGACAAACCGGGGTACGTCCGAATACTACTTTCCATATACGCAAATAAGAGCTGTCGCTCATATAGTGATTGTTACCTTCCCTTCAATAGGGATATTCCATGATTTCTACACCAGGAAAAACAATGATGGTAATTTACCCCACTAATATTGAGAAATGTGTGTGTGTATGTATGTATGATGGTAATAGTGTGGCAATTTTTGATAGATAATCATGGAAAATGGAATATTCAACAATAGATAGTTAGCATCATATTCCATATATGATCACAATTTTTAGCATGATCACTAAATATTCCATTTAACTATAAACCCAAAGATGGAAACACTGACTGGAATATCTTATAGATACATGGTTTAATAGTGATCACACACTAATTAAACATCATTAAAAATGGCTGACATATTCAACCAATTTTCACTAACTATGAACACTAATTAGTAATCACTAATATTGTTTTCCCATTATATAATTCTCATTTTATTATTCCCAGTTCATTCCATTATCCCCATATATGAGTGAATATAGATAGTTATCTCCATTTGGGGACAAGCTATGAGTTAGTATTACTATATATTACTATCATACTTAGCTATAGATCGCCATATTAATGTTCACTAAGCCACAAAAAGCTTCACTAACTTAGCCTATGGTCACTATCATCATATAACATATAGCAATGCTTTTCCCACGAATTCCCAACAAATTCCCATCCCAAAAACGGGGCTTGGGAACCAAGCCATGGGGGTACTCCAATAACTGGATCTGGGTAAATTATCATATTTCACTAACCGTAATTAAGGCCATTTGGGGATGAATTCCCTTACTAACCATGATTCCAGTGAGGGAGGACAGTGAGGTCGCTATAATTCTCCAATATCTGGATGGTTTTTATATGGGAAAATCCAACCCAAAAGAACATGATTTATATAGGGATACTCCTGATTTATGGAAAGCCCATGGAAATGGAAACCTGGAAACCCCCATCTATACATTAAAACCCCCAGTTATAGTAGTTCTAAACCAACTTAGCAAACTATTTGGGAACCACCTTGACGATCATCCTCATATCCCATATATCAACCCTAAGTTGGTGAATAAATCAAAATAAATCCATCGAATTGTAGATATATCTACCATAACACACATCACATCTACCTTAAAATTGTTTTTTTGCAAAGAATGAGTTGACTAAGATCTGGGTAAATTATCATATTTCACTAACCTAAAAATTGGGCCATAAAAACAGATGATTTTCCGCAATCCAACCATGATTTCCCCGTTGAAACGAAGCCATTGGAATCTTCCAAGGTTCCACTTTGAGGCGCTTCAACGGGAGGACTCCCAGCAGTTGCAAGGTCCAAGACCAGTCATGACAACTCGCAGCGGCCACGTTGAAGGCGTAGGTGTCCTGGTCAGAACAAAATCTGTGGGATTTATGGATTTTGATCATGTTTCATTGTATATATGTATATATACCCTATGGTTATGACGTTTACAGTTCGCCATGGAAGCCATGGCCCATAGAAATAGTTGGTTTACCTATGAAAAATGGTGATTTTCCATGGCTATGTTAAATAACCAGATGGTATATTTAGTTGTTCATGTATATTAATTCGGGGGTACCCTCCAAATAGTCACAATATGGTACATAAATGGTACCCTCCCAATTAAACAGCCGTTTGGGGTTTATTAATCCAGGGTTGACATTATATATATATATACACTGGATGGTGGTTTCAACCATCTTGAAAAATATGAGTCAATGGGAAGGACTACTTTTCACTTTCGCAATGCTGTGCAGGTCTGCACGTGGTCTTGCAAAGGAAACGAACCCTAAAGCGACTACACAGCCCTGTACTACCCATGAAAATCAGGTTGAATTTCACTGGCATCAACAAAATCGGCATGTGCAAATCGCTGGAAAAACTCCGGCAATACATTGGAAACGGAGCTGGACTCGGCAGGGATGAATGTCCGCTCGACGTAATGGCCAATTGCTTGCCCGAGTGCCATATTCAAATGTGGCGGATACACCTTGCCTCGGGCGGTTCGAAACTGCCCTGAGGCGTCCTTTCCAATCAGCTTCTCGTGCGCCCGCGGGCCATGAGCACAGCGCCCACATCTACCTTTTGCCAGAACTGTAGCCCGAAAGTCCCACAGGCGAACTAACAGCAAAGTAGCTGGCTTGACAATAGGAGCGTGTAGCACGCACTGATCAAAGGACACGATGGACACGCACTGAAGCTGCTTAAGCATCTTCGTTGCTTTCATCGACCAAAGGCTGCATGGACATTTGGAAGCACACCATACCGGGTACTGGGGGTGTTCGCAAAAACCACACCCCCCTGTTTTTGCAAGGAGAAATAAAATATCCAAAATAAACTGCACCAAACGCGTCCCGATCAGGACCTGCCTCCACTCTCTAGCGGTCAAGCAGGGCAAACCAGTAAGATCGGTTGCTGATCTGACTGCGCGAGGTCCTTCTCCATGCATGCGTGCGGACGTAAACGTCTCGCACGGAGGGCCACCTCCGGCACCAAAAATGCGCCCGGACAACACTTGGTCTTTCCAAAAAGCCAACGATGCATCTGATGTTAAATCCCCTGCCTCTTTCTGCAAACACATGTCGACCGACAAGGCAAATACTTGCAGGCCATCCGGAAACACGTGATGCGAAATGATATCATGCAAGTCGTGGCGTCTGCGGAAACCGCTAAAGAAATGCACAAACACCAAAGTACGAATGTTCATCCTGGCATTCAGAGTTGCCAGACCGGCACGTTGAAACAACCCAGCTCCATCATGCTGTCCTTGCTCCGATTGGAAAACATATCCCTGTGCAGGATGCTCAGCACATGGAGTGTGCGATGCAAGCGTGTCACCTGAATCAACCCTGCGGCCTTGAAGGTGCATAAAAGCGGTACCAACATTCGGAGATCTGGCTAAGGACCGAGCGAGCATATCCCTGGCGTCTTGGCTACCAACTCGAGGGAGCAGCGGTCCTGCTACCCGACACGCCGGTAAAAGGGCTTTGGTATGCCACCATCCCTGCTTCTTGAGCTCATCAGTGGCCTGTTCATCAAGACGGTCAAGGGCTGCAACCTGATCATCAGCAATGGGCTGGAAACATGCCTGAAGAACTTCCAAACACCCTGTGCATGCTGTCAAGTGTTGGCAGAGCCTCATACGGCTGTGGTGCAACTTACAACAAGCAGGACACGTGTCTCCTGATGCATAGAACCGGACAATGCGACGATAGCCATGAACTCTTTGCGAATGGGTCGCAAGAGCCTTCTTGGAGGCAAACCATTTGTCACATTGATCACATTCCCAACGGGCGGAATCTTGCACAACAGGAGTCTCCTGAGCACCTACAGCAGCATAATACTCTCGATCAAACGCCTTTTGCCACACAGCATGCTCTGCTTGGGATTGACGATACTGGCAACTCTTGCGAAGGGCGGATTTGACTCTACCCTTCCAAGCATAATCTGTCTGGACTGCTAAGATCCATTGCTCAAGGGGACTATCTGGGTGAAGTCCCCACTGCGGGCCATAGAAGGTGCAAAACCATTGGAATGACTCAATCAGCAATGCAGTCCAGGTGCCAGCAATGTCACGGGTGTGCCAAATTAGCTGCCACAATGCTACCGGACACTGTTGGATCAAACGAGAGAAATATCGCAATCTGGCAGCATGTAGACGATCTTGCGGTGTTTCCAGGCCGACCAAACCACCAAGAGTAGCCACATCAAACAGCCTGGGTGGGAATCCTTTGGTAGCTCCCCTGGCTAAGGAGCACAAGGGCTGACGAACCGAGTTGGTCCATCTGTCAAGCTCTGCTGGCTTGATGGAACTCCATGTATGCACATTGTACATATGCCTTGACAGAGCGAGCGAACGGAAGACCTTGATCTTGGCAGTTGTGGACACATATGGCTTGCTGAAAAAGGATTTAGCAAGGGATCCCCAACTGGCTTTGGCTCCATGCGCTCGAGTTTGAATCTCCTTCGCAAGACATCCACCTGCTTGAAGCCAAGTGCCCAAATGACGGTACGTCTGCACTATTCGCAAGGCAAACTTGACTCCATATTGTGTCCATTGCAGAATGTGCCCTTGAGCCATGAGTTCCTGCTTCAGCGCACGAGAGCCCCTTCCTTGCACTTGCCACAGCATCTCTGTTTTGCCAGGGTCATAATTGAGCTGCAAGCCACGTCGGTGAGCGGCAACATGCATGGCAGCCACCACATGCTTGGCGACTTCCTGCAACTGCTGTAAATCATCAGCGTGGATGGCCACCGCGCAGTCATCAACGAAAGAGACATCTGCAAAACCGTTTGGGGGCAGCTCTCCAGGATGCAAAAAGTCTTGACATCTGGAAGGGTCACCAAACCACTGCGCGACCTCAGCTTCAAGCACGAGCTCTTTCATCTCAGCAAGGATACGGCTCATTGTAAGGTTGAACAGCAGATCACCTATGGGATCACCAGGGCGGGTCCCTTTGTGCGTCGCAACGGGAGAAGAAATGCCTTCAACTGTGAAAAACGTACCAGACATAGTGTCATGGATCAATCGCTCCACATGTGCGGAGACACCATCAACAGCACTTTCATGAGCAACCCCATGCAACAACGCTGCTACTTCACTGTCTGCAAGGCCTAATTGCCTCATGGCATATTGGAATGCATTGGTGCGATCTGGACAGGAGGTTAAAGCTTGCCGCAAAACGGAGTAGAATGCTGCTTTCATGCCAAAAAAGACAACAGCAGCAGCCTTTTTGGTGGCACGGGCCCAGCATTGATGCATCTGCAAAAAGTGATGGGGAAAGTCGACACCACAGCCTGCACGGCCTCCAAATTGCATTGAGTGAAGCTTGGAAGACCACGCACGTTCGAGCGGTTGCCGCAGGCAAGCGTGATACAGTTTCGCAGTAAAGTCTGAGATGAAGATGCTGCGAAAAGGGTCGGCTCATGCGGGCTGCCCTTTCCTTTAAATAATGGCACAAGTTTCCCACCACGCCACGTGGTGGGCTCATGAGCGTGCGCAATGACCTTATTGGTCAAGCAAGAGAGCTGCATTGCAAAAGGGGCTCCTCCTGCCTTGACCAAATCAGGTGGCATAGCATTGGGTCCACAGGCTTTGCCTCTTTTCATTTTACGCATGGCTTGCAGCAATTGCCATGGCGCAATGAACGCTTGTGGATCAAGTTCAAACTCCTGAGATGCAAGGCCAGGGCGACACAATTCATACAAGGAAGACCACGACATTGGGACTCCAGCTTCGGTGGCTGCAAACTGCTTCAACCAAATGGCTTGTTGTTGCTGAAAAGTTTGCACACATGTGCCATCTGAACGTTTCAACATGGGAAGGGGACGCCCGCCTGCTCCTTTTGCCTTCTTTCTGCCAAGTCTGTCAAGGATGCGATAGACCTGCTTAGCATCGGCTGCACTATCCGCAGATTGCAACTGGACCAGCAATTGATCATAAAAGCAAGTAATATCAGCATACACTGCTTTACGCACGATCTTCTCGACCGCACGAAGTTCAGTCTTGAAGTCATCGTCACACATCAATTGCCAAGCCCGTCCAACATCGAGCAAGTGACGCTTGAAACCAATGAGTGCAAGGGTCTCAGGCTTCAACTGCGGACGATACCGTCTTTTTGGCTTGCCTCCAAAGAACTGTTGCCCAAGTTGGACAATTTGTTCCTCATACAATGCACAATGGTCTGTGGTACGAACATCCCACGTAGGCAAGGGCAAGGTGCGTAAAGCGGCTTGGAACTGCTCAATTCTAACAGGGTCAAGGAAAGCAATCTCATCCCAATGCAGTCTGGCACGACTCTCAACACCAGGCAAGAACGCGGCAAAGCGAATGCCTGTAGGGATGTGATCCTCATGGCAGAACGATCCATCATATGAACTGTCGGTAAAAGACTCCTGAACACATGACAACAGGCTCACAGGGACAAGCACATAATCTCTACGGCAGCGAGTGCCGGATGAATGAGTCCAAGTCCAAGACGACCCTTGGTGCACATCTGGAAATGTTGCCGGAACAGCCAACTGATGTCTCAAGAGAAAATCTTCAAAAAGCAGGCCTTGAGGATTGGGAGCCTCTGCATGGGCAAGTGCAAAGCAATGCGTCTCATGGGATGCTAGTGGCGCATTAGCATCAATACAACACCAATGGTATGTGGCTTGCCCACAAGCATCAAGAAGAGTAGATGTCTCAAGCCACCATTTTTCAATATCATCAATCGGCCGATGTCCATTACCCTTCGTTTTGCCAAGACAAGGTGCATGCAAGACAGTAACTAGGAACGAGCAACAGGCATGATCAGCTCGAAGGATGAGGCGGCGCGGGTCTGCATGCACGACTGCAAATTTGAAGTCTGGCGCGCAAATACCAACACCATCAGGTAGGACCACTAGGGGCTTGGCGCGATGAAGCCAAACTTCGCAGCCAAAATGCGGTGCAGACGCATCTTCATATCCTGAGGCAAAAATCATGAAATGATCGGTGACATAACGGCCGGGGAGCGTCCTAGTCTCTTGCAGCCCTAGAATATGGACCTGTTGCTGATGCCATTGGTGGTCCAATCGGGCAGTGCGGTGACCTCTGGAGCGACCAAGCTGCCTCTGCTCTTGCAAGGAATCAAGCGCAAGCACATTAAGGGAAACCACCTGAATTTCACAACGTGAAGGCTCCTGTGGGACAGAAGACATCGACGGGGGCACGGGGACCTTCCGAAGGGACAAAGGGAACTGACAGACCTGACCATCGACAATGGGCGGTAAGGCTTGGAACAGTGACGTTGGGCCACCTTGCAACCATGTCCATGTCAAGTCAGCAGGGGCCGTGGCAAGCTGGTGCAAAATAGGAACAGCATGCGAGACTGCGACATCATGCGTCAACGCCCAACGGGCAACAGCATCTGCTAGGTCATTCCATGGATGTCCAGAATGTCCCCTGACTTCATGAATGGTGGCTCTAGCTGGCAGCCATGAACCAAGCGCTGCAATGAGCTGAGCTAGCCGGGGATTGGAATGTGTTACACATTGTTGCGCAGCAATTAATGCACTAAGCTGCAAATCAGGCCGGATGACCGTGGACACCGGCTCCATACGGCATGCAAGGTCAAGGGCAATTGCAAAAGCCGTAAATTCAGCAGCGATATTGTCGTACGTCTGAGCACCAATCCAATCAGAGGATTGGCTGGCTTGCTGCACCCGTCCATGGAGAAGGCCTAGGAACTGCGAGGCTTTGCCATCAGTGCGAACAACGACAACACTCCATGCCGCCATGGTGGCATTGGTAGATCCATCGACATAGATCTCAGCCCACGTAAACTCGTCACTGTCAAGTGGAGTGTCATCAACCATAGCCCAATAAGTGGCAGGAGGAAGTACCAAACCGTCCGGCAAAGGCAACAAACAGGGCAGTTCTTGGTCGTAGACCCGTTGCTTCCAGTCTTGATCTTCAAAGAGCGAAATGGTGGGCAGTTTGTCATCAAACCGTTGGGACTTGGGGTCAACAGGCTTGATCGGCAGAGAGGCTTGCAGTGAAAGACGCACAGGATTAGATAGCCTGGGCTTAGATACACTACTGCTGGCAGGCTGAGAACGCTGCAAAAGCTGCGCAAAAGCAGGATCTGAAAGTCCACTCCAAGGCTCCAAAGCATTTGGAAACTCGATTCTGATGCAAGTGCCATGCGTGACGCATTTGTCATCATCAGAGCCAATCTGCACTTGATCAAGAAAAAACCTGCAAGAGTTGGCATGATCAGGATGGAGGGAAGACAGAAAGGGCGCAAGGGCAAACTGTAGGTGCACTGCAGTCAACGGCATGGCAACTGTACCAACCCTCAAGCGAGGCAGGATCACACGCAAGTCAGGAAGGGAACTGACACACATGATTGATGAGAGACCTGGCAACGCATTCTGGACCAGAACAACATGTGCATCAACACCATCACTCCTATCCACATCTGGGTACATCAACAAATATGGCATGACCGGTGTTGATCGATCGAGGAGCGGAAGGCATGACTGCAACAGAAGCTGAGCCCAATCTTGACCAGGAAACAAGGCAACAATGGGTGCCGCAATGCTGACTGGATGCCTGAGGTGGTCAGAGTACCATACTTGAACATGGAAGGGAGAAAGTGCATCGTACCCTTTGCTCGCACGGGTGCGCTCAATGTGGCACAGTTGGGACCAAAGCTTGGTCCAGCCAACATTATCAAAGAGACCAGAAGCATCACAAGGCTGAAAACTGCGTTTGTCTGTTGCCGATCCAGGACATGGGTGTGTATGCAACAATACACTGGTATCGCCAGATGAGGCTCCTGCAGCAAATGCATGAATAAGCGCTGATGTTTCGGATTCCACACAATCAAGCTCTGAAAGCAACTCCGCAACTTCACGCGTCCAGCTCGGAAATGCTTGTACGGCCTTGTCAAGACTGATAACAATGCTGGTCAAAGTTTGCCCAACGACATGAAACAACCGGTGGACATGATCGAAGTATGACGGAGCAACGATGTCAACAACATGCTGGGATGGCCTAACTTCTGCCACACAAAGAAAACCATCACCAGATTGCGCATCATGCAACCCAATTTGAGCAACAACCTGATCTCCATGTAATGCCTTGCAGTCGTTGAAGGGCAAAAACGGTGGACAATACTGAAAAAGGCCACTTTCTTGAATCAGGAGTGCTTTATCCACAACTGACGGGAGCTTCAATGCCACTCTCGGGGGATCCCAAGGATCATCCACGGGTGCAATTGTTGTGATGAGCGCAGAGACAAAGCCACAATGCTGATGCTGCGCCAGGATAATATGAGCCAAAATGTCAGATGCTCCGCCAAGTGGGGTAGGTTGGACTACATAAATCAAAACGTCAGCCCTTGAATCAATACAATCCTGCCATTTGTCAAGCAAGGTTTGGCGCCACAACGCTTGATCTGGAGGCAACAAAACTTCACGGCTACGATCAGTGCGCGGGAAGCGATCATGGTCACAAAACCAAGTGTCAACCAAGAACCGATAAGGTCGAGTCGTAGTCGTGATCAGGTAATGTTCCCAAATGATTCTAAGCTGGGGGATCAAACGGCTTGGTGCATGTTCAGAAGCTGGCTGATCATGGACCGCTTCATCAGCATCTGCAGCAGGAAACAAGGTTGCATCATCATGTCTGAAAGACATGCGTGGTGGCACCTGAGACGAGGAGGCAGCATGTGGCATGACATAGCCATCATCGTCAACAACTGCAAAACGATTGCGAAATGGAGCCACAGTGAAAGAAACCCCAATGCCTTGAAAAACTTGATCAAAACGCTGCCTGTGAAACTGAGTCGATCCTGACCAAGCTGTGCAGCGTCGAGCTTGACAAAGCTCTGCAATATCAAGAATACGGGCAATAACTTCTCGAGACAAGTGTGTGGGGATCGACTGGGCCCTACGATGCGTGACATCACCATGAATTCCATGAAAAAGGACCGAAAACAAGGCTGTCATGCGTGCTTGCTGCAAACCTTGCTCCAAGATGACATGAACAATTCTTTGTCCAGCCATATCTGGTGTGGGATTGGGCTTGACCACATGAAAAGCAAGATTTTCAAAAGGCTGGATCAATGGCAACCATGGGGCACACAACAGCGGCATCCACTCCCAAGGACGATGAGAAAGTCGAACCAAGCGTCCAAGAATGCAGGAGGGAACTCGATCATGATGGATGTACCACGTAATCACATGCAAAATAGGACCTTCTTCAGGGATTTCCGTAACTGCATAATCCTGAAATAAGAGCCTCATGTCACGGTCAAATGTAGCCCAATCAGGCGCATTGGGCACTACCGGTGGTGCTTGGGCAGGAATCGGAACTTCAAAAGCAGGCCCTGGAGCCTGATGGTCCTCAGACGCATGACATCCCCATGGCATATATTATGGAAAATAAAATTCATGTTCCAAACCACCAATTAGATATATATTTAGTTGTTCATGTATAGTTTAAGAATAGATAACTTAAATAGTGCATATATGATATATATATATATATATACGCAAACACATCACAACGATCACCGGATGAAATGAGGTACCCTCTGGTAAACTAACATAGCTATTGGAAATAACTATTTATAGTGAGTTTTCCCATTAATAGGTGATTTTCCATCGTTTTTTGTATGTTTACCAGGCCGGGCAACCTTTTCAGACCATTTTTTTCGGGGAACAGTGAGTCGATTGCGACGACTCCAAATGCATCCAAGGTTTCGGGCGAAAGATTTGACGCTGCAAGTGCTGTCAGGCCGTGCAAAGTTGCGAACCATTTCCTGGTTGGTGGTTGAGCTACCCATCTGAAAAATATGCGAAAGTCAGTTGGGATGATGACATTCCCAAAAAATGATGGGAAAAATAAAAAATGTTCCAAACCACCAAGCAGTTTCTGTGTCTTCCCATATGCGGAGAGGAGCTTCGTAAAGTCCACAAGATCAGCCTTGGAGTCGAGAGAAATCAGGCAAGTTGCTGGACATTATTGGACATTGCAAATGCTGCATCCACGAAATTTGACAGAGGCAAACTTACCATTTGGGAATGCATCGAGCACTGAAGATTTCGGCAGCCTCCTGATCGCTACGACTTAAGTTGACTAACAATCAATTCACAAACTTCACCACAACCCAAACACCATTCAACATCTAAATCATCGACATCCCATAAAAATCAGTAAACCCTGGCAAAATTCATTGACAACACATAATTCACCATTAATGCGATAAACCATCCATATATATATATATATATATGTATTGATGGTTGTTTCATCCCATAAGAATAGGGTAAGTCATTGGGGATGGTAAACCCGTTTTTGCTTTACGAACATTACGAAAAGAACTATCCTGGTTGGTGGTTGAGCCTACCCCTCTGAAAAATATGAGTTCGTCAGTTGGGCTTATTATTCCCAATATATGGAAAAGTTACCATCTGGTTATTTGACATAGCCATGGAAAATCCCTCATAAATGGAGGTTTATAGCTGGGAAAATCATCTATAAATGGGCCATGGCTTCCATGGCCATGTTAAATAACCAGAGGGTAAATTCCATGTTTCCAGTCACCAGCCATCAGCATCCATCCCCTGTAGATCCGCGGCACTTGTCCATCTCGTACCTGTCGAAGCACTCGCGCAACTTCCATGGCCACGCCGTCCGCATGACGCCATGGCGCCGCGGCCGGCGGCCGGCGGCCGGCCAGGGCTTAAAGGGGCGCGGCGATGCAAAGAACGGAGCGAGGCTTGTGGCAGATCTGGATGAAAAGTCAGGTTTAAAAACAGGTTCTCCATTTGAAAAAAGGAGAATTTCGAGAATCAGGTTCCTCGGAACAGGATTGGAACATGTGAGATGTCACTGATTGATCTTGGCGGCCGTTTGTCAGGTTTTCTGCTGGGTTTCTGCTGGGTTTGTGCTGGTGCGGTTGGGGATCTGAAGCCTAAACGACTGCGGCTTTGAGATTTCTAGGAAGTAGAATGCATCCTGACCAACAGTGGTTGGTGGTATACCTACCCCTCTGAAAAATATGCTCGTCAGTTGGGATGATTATTCCCAATATATGGAAACATAAAATTCATGTCCCAAGCCACCAACCAGAACAGTTGTTGTTCTTGTTGATGATGAATTACCCTCGGGTAATCAAACACAGCTTGCTGGAAAATCCCCTACATTGAGATTTCTAGCTGGGAAAATCCTCCTAACTAAAGGGTGGATTTTCCAGCAAGCTATGTTTGATGACACTGGAGGGTACCCTCTGGTAAACGTTTACATAACCATGGAAAATCACTATTTTTTCATGTGTAAATCCACTATAAATGGCCATTTTCAATAGCTATATTTGACACCGGAAGGTATACTTTGTGATTTCTATCATTTTGATGATGATCGCCTCAATTGCAGAGCCTGTACATTGAAAGGCCAAAAAACGGAACTCTGCTGAAGCGGTCACTTTGCTTCACTATCTGGATGTGTCCCAATTTCAGTCTTTTCGCACTAACCTTTCCATTTTGGATGATCAAATCCAATTCTTTTCTGTTGACACTCCCAATCTGTTCACTAATAAATCCCGATTTGTTGTTGGTCGATTTCAAGTTGCTAATATATGTCCAGCATCCATCCGTGCTGACAATCTCAGCCTTTTTGCTGCATGTAATGGCTCGCGTCGCCCTGACCGGGGCCACGGGCTCGATGTTTGGGAATCGGATGGACATTGACATAAATTTACTTTGGAATCTCAGTTGCAAAGACCAAAAAAACAATTCCCGTGTCCATATTAAGCAAACACACACGCCACAAATTAGATTGTAATGTGATGGATCCTACTCATTTTGGGGCTCAGGATGGAGGATACCGAGCTTGCTCAAGTTCTCAAATTGGCTGAAACAACACTTTTGGAGATGTTTGGTATGTTAAAAATCAAAAATCATCAAGCACACATATCCAAGAATAATGGTTAAAAGACCAAAATCATAATATCCAATAAGAATGGTTCATGGTGAATAATGGTATGGATATAATTGGGTTTAATCATAAATCATGGTTCACGGCCATATTGGATCAAAATCAACCTATACAGGGTGACTTTCAAGACTTTGATCCTCCAAAAAAAAGTTCAAGCCTGAAATAAATTACCAGTAGTACCGCACAAGGCGGTGGCGGAAGTTTCAAAAATAGGAAACCTATAGGAGAGATTGGTTGTTGTGAATCAGGGATGGCAGGGCGAAGCCACTGATGGACTGAAAGGCGATTGATCTCTCTCACCCTTGTCTACCTGTCTATCTATCTATCTATCTGTCTATCTGTCTAACTGTCTATCTTTGGTGCAGTGTCATTCAGTGTAATGTAGTGTAGTGTAATGTAGTGTAGTGTAATGTAGTGTAGTGGAGTGTAGTGGAGTGTAGTTGTGTAGTTGTAGTTGTAGTGTTGTCGAGTGTAGTGTAATGTAGTGTAGTGTAGTGCAATGTAGTGTAGTTAAGCGAAGCGAAGGGAAGCACATCTGAACCTCCAAAAGTGGTCCGAACCCCTAGTGTTTTTAACATTTGTGCTTCGCGCCACAACGGCGTGCACTTTTTCGACATCGCAACTCCAAAAAGTGGTCCGACCATGGTGTGTTTTGTACATGTTGACTTGGACATGTGCTTCGCGCCACAACGGCGTGCACTTTCTCGACATCGCAACTCCAAAAAGTGGTCCGGAGCTGGTGTGTTTTGTGCATTTTGACTTGGAAATGTGCTTCGCGCCACAATGGCGTGCAATTTTTGATCTCTCATCTGCCCAGCTGGCTCCGCACCCGCCGCTTTAGCGAGCCTACTTTTCGACCCTCCGGAGCCACAAATCATTGGAAAAACACAGTGAATCGCGACTTTCCTACCTTTTCGCGCACCTGCATCTTCTTTCTTCTGATCTTTTCTCTTCTGACTCTTCTCCCTACTGACTCTTCTCCATATTGTCGGAAGTTTCACTTCTAAACTTCCTTCGAACATAGACCCTGGCAGTCATCGGGGTTGGAAGACTAGTTTCCATGAAAAATTGGTGATTTTCAGGGACCAACTGTTAATTTACCAGAGGGTAATATTCTGTGGTAAGAAATCCTCCAGCCCTGGTCGATGGTCGATGTTGGGGGATGGTATCAATGGTATCCAAAAATCTGGTGGTTTAAAACTCTAATTTTCCCATCAAAAAACTGCCATCAAAAAAACAGGTGACCATCCCTCAAGTTTGGGAGACACACACACACACATATAGCTGTGGGATATATTCTGTAAACCTCCATCATTGCATTCCGCTGAGAATGGGATTCAACATGTGGATGATGATGATTTCCCAGCTATTAATTGTAGGAAGGGTAGTCCTCACCCAATATCTACATATGTTGCATCTACTTCTACAGTTGCATGGTCTACTTGGAAGATCATCCCAACGTTCATTGAAAGTGGTGAACGCAACTGGGGACTTACTAGCAGGCTTTTCTTCGCCACTTACGATCCGCGGATCCATGTAAAGGACACAAACCATACATAAACCACATATGGGGCCTCACACTTATATATATATATAATATATAATATAGATAATATAATATATAATATATATAATATATAAAATGTATATAATATATAATATATATATATATTATATATACAACCAACTATATATAACCATATATAATCAGATATAATCACATATAATCAATTATAATCACACACATATAACTGTTTGGTGGTTCCAACCCCTCTGAAAAATATGGAAGTCAGTTGGGAAGGATTATTCCCATATATTATGGAACATAAAAAATGTTTGAAACCACCAAAGAAATAATCACTGATATACATATAAACATATATAATCATATATAGATATATATATATATATAAACATACAAAACCATATATAATCACATATAATCAGTTATAATCCATTATAACCACGCACGTAGATAACTGGTTGGTGGTTTCAACCCCTCTGAAAAATATGAAAGTCAGTTGGGAAGGATTATTCCCATATATTATGGAACATATAAAATATTTGAAACCACCAACCAGATAGTCACTGATATACATATAAACATATATATTCATAAATATATATATATAAACATATATAACCATGTTTAATCACACATAATCAATTATAATCAATTATAAACAATTATAATCAATATTAATCGCGCACACACACATATATATATATAACTGGTTGGTGGTTCCAACCCATCTGAAAAAATGAAAGTCAGTTGGGAAGGATGATTCCATATATTATGGAACATAAAAAATGTTTGACACCACCAACCAAATAATCACTGATATACATATAAACATATACATATAATCAAATATAAATATATATATATATACATAACCATATATAATCCGAAATAATCACATATACTCAATTATAATCAATTATAATAACACACATATATAACTGGTTGGTGGTTCCAACCCCTCTGAAAAATATTATGGAACATCAAAAATGTTTGAAACCACCAACCAAATAATCACTGATATACATATAAACATATATAATCATATATAATCACATATATATAACCATATAAAATCAGATATAATCACATATAATCAATTATAATCACACGCATATATATATATAATCACTTATATAAACCATGTCGCCATGCGCCTCGTCGTATCAGCCAAGTGCCCACCGATGGCCGCCAGTGAAATTTCTGCACCGCCGGCGCCGCGCGCGGTGAAGCAGCCCAGCGTTCCTGTAACAGGGGATCCCCATGAAATCCAATGGCAAAAAAGGCGAAAAACGGTTGGGCAAATCTCAGAAATCCATAGAATTCCAGGATGGGGAAAACCCAATCTATTGTTACTAGCAGCTTTTTTTGATGCTTTTTTCATAGTAAATATAATGGTTCCTGATTTGTACCTTTGGTCAGTGGGGGGAAGCCTTTCGGCAATCTGATCGATGGAGAATCCACAATTTCTCTCCATGTGTTCTACGATCCCCACATCCATCATTTCTGGTTCATGTATCCATTTTGTGATGGTTAAACATGGTTAAACTATATTAAAGCAATTGAACCATAATGTCTACGATGTCTACGGGTCGCACACTGATACCAGCAACCAAGCGTCCTTTCTGGTTTGCATTCACATTTTTTGCAGCTCAATTTCCCGCTGTTGGAGCGCTGTTGGATATGTGCCTATAATCTCTGGTGTCATCAAACCTAGCTAATCCACCATCATAATTCGATGATCTTCCCATTAAAAAAAACATTTATAATAATTCGTGTCTTTTTTAATTATCCTATGTTTTCCCATGATTTTCCCCACATTTGTCAACATTTTAAAGGGATTTACTTCCAGACTTTCCCAGCTTGATTCACCTGTGCCAGACTCATCGCGATTTCCAGCTCCATCGAAGGCCTAGGCCGTCGGGCCGTCGATATCGCGGGCCCCAGGAATCGTCAATGGCTGGGTTAGCCCCGGTTAGATTAATGGAATATCTCCACTTATAACTTATACATGGCTTATATATATATATGGGTTATGAAGCACTAAGTAGTCGACACCATTTTCCCACCTTTTTCTCAAGCTAAAAGTTGGGGATGTTCGTTTCCTGGCTGTAAACTGACCCATTTATATATAGAGTTGTTGTTTAATGTTCCTATCAAAAATAGTTGGGAGTGTTACCCTCTGGTAAACTAGCATAGCTACGGAAAATCACCATTTTCCATGGGTAATTCAACTATAAATGGTAATGTTAAATAGCTATGTTAAATTACCAGGGGGTATTTTATTTTCCCTCTCAAAGATGCTGGATCGAAAAAAACAACAATTGGTGGCGAATCATCTGAAAATCTGATTTTTCGGGCCATGCTTGATTACCAAAGGGTATATGGTGGAGAAAAACCCTTCTTTTCGTCATTTTAGTGGGTGAAACAGCTACCCCTTGGGGTGACTTAATCAATATTCAACCAAAAATGGGTTCTTTTCACCAGGATCCGATAGATCTGATCAACCAAACCAGAATTCAAACCACTTCAAAATGTCCAAATTGAGATTTGGCCTTAAAAAACTGGCCTTTAACACATTTTTTGTTGAGATTTGGCCTTAAACACAGTTGATCTATCACAGTTTGTTTACATCAAAAACTGTGTTGAACAAACTCCAAGTCACGCTCTGCTCAGTGTGGTGCCTGTGGTGCCCTCGTAGCGAGGAGGTATGAAGACGTTCACATCCACGTCGTCGCCGCAGGGCCGGCAGAAGTGCTGCAGCGGTTGCGTTGGCGCCGGCGCTGGCGCTGCGCCGAAGAAGGAGAGGAGGCTGTCGAAGGTGGGTAAACCCAATTGCTTCAAGGAACAACCTGAGATCACTGGGCTCCAATAACTCTGGTTTATGATACAACTATAGTATTCAGGCGGGTTTTGATAACACCAACTTTTTTCCTGGTTGGCAAATTTGGAAGTGCAGTTCCAGTTATAAGTGGATATTTAACCACAAAAAAATACTGGGAACGAATTTCTTGCCACCTTCCAAATGACAGAGTTTCTGTCGACCTTTGTGTCGAAGCCACACATGGTAAACTGAGTCAACCCGAACTAGTCATGAAGCAACCGGGATCCTGAACAATGCTCGTTTGTCCAGATATTCATTACCCATAGGATCCATGGTGCTGGTATATATGCTATCATTTGGGGTATATTGATGGTAAATGTTACCATACATAGCATACATGGATCCTACAAGTAAGTATGGGTTATACCCAAGCTTATCATGTGTCCCCATTGACCTATTATTGGGCATGGATGCAAATCATGGATTTACCATCCATGAACCAACCAACTAAATGGAAAAAAAAACACATCTATAACTGGTTGGTGGTATACCTACCCTCTGAAAAATATGCGAAAGTCAGTTGGGATTACTATTCCCAATATGATGGGAAAGTCATTCAAAATTCCATGGTTCCAGTCACCACCAACCAGATGATATCCGATGAGGGGTACCCCAAGAATTGACAGGTGCATTTCAAAATCAGATATCAAATCTGTGGTCGGAGTCATTCCAGGTCGTTTACTTTTGACCCACCAGATACCCGGCCTGGTAAACGAACGTTTGCAGTTTGCGAACTTGAAGCCATGGCCATAGAAATAGTTGATTGACCCATGAATAGCATGGTGATGTTTCCAGTTCGCAAACTGTTAGATTTTACCAGAGGGTAGTTGCATTCAAGTTCATGTAACTGTACAAATATGTTGGCCCCTTCACCATCTGGTTATGACTAACATAGCCATGGAAAACCCCCATTTTTAATAGGTAAACCGGTAAACCATCTATTTCTATGGGCCATCTATACCATGGCTATGTTAGTCATAACCAGAGGGTAACTAATTCAGCTTTCCAGAGGTACTTGGTGGCTCATCCCACTTAGTAAGTGGGTTATAACCCCAGTTATAAGTGGATTAACCCTACTTATCCCATTTATAACTGGGGTTATAAGCCACTTACTAAGTCGGATGAGCCACCAAGTATTCCCACTCCAAGAGACGCACTTCCTGCAGTCCCTTGCGTTCTTCTGCGTGTGCCTCCGTGCGAGGCAGCTTTCCCACGCCCAGGGCGTCGCAGAGCGCATCGGCGAAGTCCAGGGAGTTGTTGTGAACCACGTTGTATTCCTTGGGGCACAACTATGGTTGCAAAAAATGGCTACAACTATGGTTATAAATCCCCATAAGCTGGGATAAACCCATTTACAACTGGCACTTCCAAGAAAGTTGTGAAAAAATGGATTCTGCGTACAAACACAGACTTTACCGGCAAGAAGTGGTGCAACTTGGAAGAAAACAGCGAAAAACATGGGATTCAAATCTGTAATTGTGATCTAATGAGACTATCCCGTTGTATTCCTTGAGAAATGAATACAAAAAAAAGGCCGGGGGACCAGGGTCTTTTCCTACAACAAATATTTCACCAGCAAGAATTCGTATAACCTGGGAGAAATACAAGAACAAAACAGGAACGTAAGGAAATGTCTGAAGCAAAGAAAGGGATTTAACATGATTTAACTCTATCAGTGATGATTGGGATTAGATGGAAATTAAAACCAACAGGGGGAGCGCCCAAGGAGAATCAAGCCACAATTCGTAGCTGGTGAATAAGCCTGCTTCGTAAGTCACCTAACTGGGGTTATCCATGGTTATCCGTGGGATGATCCTCCGCCAGCTTTCGTGTGCTTTCGTGCCTGTGGGATGGGGTGGGGTGGGTAATAATAACGTCGTGTTCACACTGCTTCTAACACGCTCTTGTTGCTCTCTTCACTTCTTCACGTACCTTCCAGCAGGTTCTTGCTGCTACGCTCTTCACTTTTTTAAAGTAAAATATATGATCATTCTTCTCTATGTCGGAACATATCATGGCATCGGTAGCTGATGTTGGAGTTGGACACCTTCCTCAGGTCCAAATGATGTCTATAGAAATTTGACTCAAGTCCTGAAACGCATCTGAAACAAAGCCCTGGAAGTCTGACACAAAGAAATTCAAAAAAGTAGTTTGTCGCAGGATTTAATCGAGACCAAAAAAAAGGACCCAGACACATATTCTTGAGAAAACACACGCAAAATGAATTCGCCACAGTTGGAAAAACAGATGGCTTTCTGTGAGCAGCTTACCAAGTACTTAGTTATTGTTATATTTATATGCCAATAATGATTATATTTTTTGAACATAATTATTGTCATATATACAATGACTATTAACATATATCATATATATATATGCACTAATATGTAATAACAAACTATTAAAATCTACTAGCCATTAGTTATATATATACACCATTAGTTATTAAAATCTACTAACCATTAGTTATCTACCAACTATTAAAATCTACCATATATCTATATGTCATGACCAATGGCTATTTTTCCATCAACCACCTGTATAAAAAAACTCCTTTGACGAAGCGGCAGGGCCCCTCCAGCATCGCGACATGCGATTCACCAGCACCAAGACCTCCTGGGGATCTGCGAAGATCTCTATACCCTCTGGTGATTTTAATGGGATTTTAATGGGTTTTTCTGGATTTTAATGGGATTTTAATGGGATTTCATGGTGGTTTAATGGTGGTTTAATGGGATTTAATATGGTGAACATACAAAAAGCTATTGAAAATGACCATAGAAATAGTGGATTTTCCCATTAAAAATGGTGATTTTCCAGGGCAAAATGTTAGTTCACCAGAGGGTAAAACAATGGCCCCCTTTCTCGTTGGTGTTATTGGTGTTTGCTTGATTTAGAACTCGTTGTTTTTCTCGCATTTTTTGATGCTTAACATTGCATAGTGATCTACAGGATAACCCTCTGGATCCTCTGGTAATCCAAGATGGAAAATCCGAATTACCCTCTGGTAAACGTTTACATAATGAACTGGAAAATCACCATGTTTAATGGTAAATGTCACTATAAATCACCATTTTCAATAGCAAACTGTTAGTCATTACCAGAGGGTAGATCCCGTGGGTTTTCTACGATTTTCGAGGATCATCATCCGACCTTCGACCACCGCACGCCTCATTGAAGCAACGTGGGATGTGTTGAACACCAGGCTCCAATTTGAAAACCTACCGAGATATCCATGTTTAGATGATTTTAGATGTTTAAAAATATCCTGCGAGTTGGTGCTGAAATTTCAATCCTCTCAAAAATCGGGCCTGGATCTTTGAAAGGTTTGAACCCAGCAGCTGGCACAGAAAAAAAGGCGACATGTCGCTTTGTCTGGAAATCGTGGTGCCCGCAATTTTCAGTGGATTGAATCATAGCTATAGCTCTAGAGGTTTGTGGGAAGATAAAATGTTTCTATAGAATTGATGAGTTGTCATCATTTTTTCCCTATGAAAAAATAACCAAAATAGGGGGGTATACTCCCCATTTTCAGACACACTTGACCAGGTCATTTCTTCTTTGTAACATCTTCCCCATTTTCCCTGCCTCAGTGAAAGCGCCTGATAGGACTTCAATTTTTCCCAACAATCAGTTTACATCCCACCTCCAAAAAACAAATGGCTTACATCCCCGTATTTGTTGTTTCAAAGCGTTCAAACCACCTTTTTTGGGGGTTCGATGCTATTGACCTATAATCCTATAATCCCATAATATCCTATGGATTGGCAATCCCTCCATACTTGGGGGCGCATCCCAGTTACTAAGTGGGTTAATGGCTAAATTCTACCCATTACACATATGTATATATATATATGTTATAAATATGGATTCTGTAAGGCTTAAAAAACACTTACCAATCGGGATGCACATCCATCTTTCATAGAAACTGGGATGAAACTGGGATATGTTGATTCACCATCTCATGCTTTAACCCAAATATCATTGGTTATCCCATATCTTTGTTGTTGCTTATCCCTCCATAGTCTATGGGAAAGTTGGGAAAACCAGTTATGTGAATGTTGCTTGATGTTGCCCCCAAGAAAACTAGTTTGTTTTATCTACCATAAACAAACACACCTAGGTATTAGAGTTGTTTGCCAAGTTGGCTAACTAGGGACTCCCATAGCGTGAATATCACATAACTATATTCTAGGATTCATACATAACTATATCCCTTTGTGAATATCTAGGGATAAACTAGGATTCACCATATCTGATTGAGTTTATCCCTTTGTCCCACAGATCATGGTCGATTTCGCATGTCGGATGTCTAGTGATGATCCCACGATGTGAGGGTCACTATACCCTCTGGTTATGACTATCATAGCCATGGAAAATGGCCCATTTATAGATGGTTTATCTATTAAACATGGTGATTTTCCATGGCTATGTTAGTCATAACCAGATGGTAATTCATCTATACTTATCTCTCCATAGCCATAATCCTCATAATCTCCTATGAAATACCTCGATCCTTCCATTGAGAAAAGGCATATCCGTCCCCACATTTTCCCAAAAGCCAATCATCGAAATATCATATGGCCACGACCATTCGTACCCAAGTCTAGGCAACCTAAAATAGCTGGTTAATGGATGGTTGTTCCCTTAATATGCTAGTAATACCGGGCAGGTTTTGACCCTCCCTCAATCTCCATATCCCACAATGTGGTAAACCAATGAAAAACCTATATAAACCAACGATAAAGCTATATAAACCTATATCAACTCATGATTGGGGGATGGTTAGCCCAAAAATGCTGATTTGGGGGTTGGTTTATTGGGTTTCCCACATTAGATCCTAACAGTTTATAACAGTTCGGGGATCTGAGAAACATATTGGGATTAACTATGTTTCAAATACCACCAAAAAAAGGTTCCCACATTTATGGTGATATGATCGCTTCCAGATTCCTCATTCGGGATGAAATTTACCAACCTGACTCTATCTGTATCCATGGCTATCCCCCATTCCAATGGCTTGAATCATCATTGTCACCATAAAATGGCTGCGGGTATCCCCCACATTAATTAATCCAATGTTCATACTGTAGTATACTATAGTGTTGCTTAGGAAAATTACCTCATCATTTACCTGGTTGGTGGTTGAGCCCTACCTCTCTGAAAAATATGCGAAAGTCAGTTTGGATGATGACATTCCCAACTATTGGGAAAAATAAAGTTCATGTTCCAAACCACCAACCAGTGATTATTAACCATTAACCATCATTAACCACTATAAAAATGGTATATAATCCCATGAAATAAAGATGATTATCCCATATAATAACCACCAATCCAACAAACCATCAACCAGATGATCACATCATTAACCCTGTCAAAACCCTATCAACCCTGAGAAATTCCCTCAGCTCCTCTTCGCTCCGGCTGCTTTGGCCCAGTTCCAAAGTCACTCGGTACAGGCGATCCGCACAGCGCCGCGGTTCGCCTCAAGGCGCGGCAAAGAGACCCGGATGTTGTGGAAAAACCGAGAAAAAATGGTAAGTTTACCAGGACATATAAGGTATACAGTAACTAAAGTAGAACCAATGAAATTCGAAGTTTGAACACAAGAAAAAGGGATTGATACATGATTGAACATGATGAAAACATGGACAAATATAAGGCATTACCTGAAAACCAGAAAATTTAAGCCGTAAAAAATGTGATTTTGCAGAATAAATGGGCGTCATAACATGTCGTAAGCTATAATTGTGGAATTTGTTCCTGAAATTGATTGGGGGGTTGGCTCAAAATTGACGGGAAAACCAATGATGTTCCCATGTTCGGGACATGGGAACCCAGCACTCAACCCGCGTCGACCAATGGATGCTAGGATCTAACTGGTCATAAACACAAAACAGACGGGTTGCTGGGAAATTTTGCTAGGATAACATAGCTATCGAAATCTTCTATAAATGGAGGCTTTAATTTGAAAATCATCTATAAATGCGGATTTCCAATTGCTATGTTTGATTACCGGAGGGTAACCGCTGATAATTGATGATAATTTAACAGTTTGAGGCACTTTGCCATTTTCCACAGCTATGTTGAGTTACCATAGGGTATTCCCTTGACAACGCTGACATAGAGTTAATTTAATTGTCTTGGAACTATGTCAATGGCCATTAGGAGAATTTCAACATGTTGACAGCAGGCCATACGTTTACCCGCCAAAAGTTTGCACCAGTTGGCAATTACAATTCTGAACCGCAAAATCCTACAGAGACCAGACAACACACACCCTTTCTCCACGTGATTTTCAGACATAAGCCAAACTACAATGCCAAGACCCAATGAACTCTCATCATTTCTCATTCATATTAGACAACTTGGAAGGTCATCCCACTTATTTAAAGTAGTTATTACTCTGAGTTAGTTCGCCTATGGGATAAGCCAGGCGGCGAATCGGCGAATCAATGAACCATTGGCAAGATCATGAACCGACGTCGCGAGGTGAGGTTGCAACGTCTCGATCGGAATGATATCCCCATGCCCAATGATTCGGAAAATTTAATGGGATTTGATGGGATTTAATGGAAGTGATGGGAATTTATGGTGGTTTAATGGGATCTAATAGGATATACCCTCTGGTAAACATACAAAAAACTATGGAAAGATTAATGGGAAAACTCACTATTTCCATGGCCATGGCTTCAAGTTCGCAAACTGTTAGTCATTACCAGAGGGTATCCCCAATGATTCTATATTTTTTGGATTATATCACCATTGCTTCTCCGTTATACCATGTTATACCCCTCCGGTACGGAAACGTAGCAATTGAAAATCCTTCAGTTATAGATGATTTCCCATTTCAATGGCCATTTAGTTCGGGGATTTCCCAGCTAGCCACGTTTGATTAACAGAAGCTATCCCCGTTTTTCAATTATACAAATGATATCCCCATCATCCCCAATCATTCTAACATATATATATATATACCCTCTGGTTATTTAACGCGGCCCGTTTGTAGATGATAAAAATGATGATTTGGGTAGTTCAATGGTGATTTTTTAGTTCGTTATGTTTTTAATAACCAAAGGGTATATTCTGATGATATCCTCCATCATCCATTCAATGATTAGAATATGTACTTAACACATATATATATATAACATATATATATATATATAACACACATATATATATATAACATATATATATAACATATATATATATAACATACATATATATATATAATATATAACATACATATATATATATAACATATATATATAACATATTTTTATATATATAACATATTTATATACATAAAACATATATATATATATAAATATGTATATATGTACATGTATATGATGATATCCATCAAAAATCTCCATCTTCTCTCCGTGGATTTTTTTCCCCACATCCCACGGTGCTCCAGGTCACATTCAGAGATGCCGCTGAGGTCCTGCTCGGTGAAGTGGTACCCCCATTCGCGGCCGTAGATCTCGACCCCTGACGAGGCAAGAGAACTAGATGAACAAAGTTTGTTGTAGTACATATACTGTATGTTCATCTAGTACTATATGTTAGTACATATATTAGTACATATATATGTTAGTACTATGTAGTACTATATTAATATTGTTTGTTTGTTGTAGTACATATATATATATATTATGTGGGGAATTTCCCAAGTGAATGGGGAATTTTAATATGTATTAATATGTGGGGAATTTCCCAAGTGAATATATGTATTAATATGTATTAATATGTGGGGAATTTTCCGAGTGAATGATAGAATTATATAGATGTATGAATATGTGGGGAATTTCCCAAGTGAATGGGATTAGTAAAATATCTGGTCATATCATATCTGTATTATCTGTATCTACGGTTTACAAGTATATAAGAGTATATTAATTTGTCAACACATCCAATAAAATTCGCTGGTTGGGATGAAAGTTACCATTGAAATGGCAACAGTTGGAAGGATTAGCACCCATCCAGTCCCTTGACACCAGTGACACCAGTGACACCAGTGACACCGGTCGCGCCTGCGTAGGCGTTCTTCAACAGCGCTTGGATCTTGCTCTTCCGCAAGCTATGGAGCTGCAGCTCAGAGGCCTTTTTTTTTTGGCGTGTTCGAGGCGTCAGAACTCTGAGGTGATTACCCGGCCTGGTAAACATACAAAAAGCTATTGAACATGGCCATTTATAGTGGATTTTCCCATTAAAAATAGTGATTTTCCATAGTTATGTTAATTTACCAGAGGGTATACTAGAGTAAGTGCTGTATTACCCTCTGGTCAATCAACAGTTCGACCCTGAAAATAACATGCTTTTTAGTGGAAACCAACCTTCCAAGCCCTATCTGGCAGGGTCTATGTTAATTTACTGGAGGGTATATATGATATTATTTACTGTATAACTATAAGTTTTTTTTACCATATGTAGTGAAATGTTGTGACTTACGGTTCTAAGAATTTGTGATATAATTCAATCATAGTAAGGCTAATATGTTTCCAATGATAATTCTAAGAGCCAGAATAGATTTGTGATACATTATGTATGAGGTGATTTTAACATGGCCAAATGTACTTGACTTAATCTGATATACCATGAAAATATCAACAAATATATCTGGCTGATAATTGTAGACCCAATTATTCACAATGAGATGATTCTAATAACAATAATGGCAAGGTAAGGGGCATTGATAGCAACGGTAACAACAATGATAATGCTAGGAACAATGACGATACCAGTAACAATCAGAATAGTACTGTAATAATTAGTAATAGTCACAATGATTAGTGTACTTTTATTCGCCAACAGCCTCCTTTTTGCCCAACATAACTTTTAGAATTTCCAAGGTTTTGGGGTGTCTACCTTGATCTCAACGAGTGTGGGAAATGCCCCCAAAAGCAAGTGTCACAGACAGTAATATGCCCAAATGGAAAAATTGGAATATCAAAACCGGACCATACAAAACCACCTCGAGCAAACGATATTAAATCTCACCGCAATGACATGTTGCCAGCGAAATCGCTCTCGTACTACATCCGCAACACTTGTTGGGCTTTGTCGGCCAGTAGCGAAACTAATGTGGTGGTCATGAATTTTGTCACCAAAATGCAGCAGTTTCTCAGCAAGTCAGCAAGTCCTCTCATGGAAAAAACACCAATGAGATCATAGGAATATGGCCCTATGGCACATGCCAAATGATCCAAATGCCGGTTTTGAGTTGTATCATGGCACGTATCGTGGAAAAGCTGAAGTTTTTATACGCCGTAGCTGTTTACCATTTGGAATCGCCAGTGTAAACCATGGCCCTTAAAGATCACCGTCTACCTCCCGCTGCTGTTTGAGAACATCATGAAGAGATGAAGTGGAGATTTCATTCATTCACTAATTAATTAACCGTCTATTTAATAGTTAATGGATGGTTAATGGGTGGTTAATGGTGTTACCATTATTTGATTCCAGCTCTTAAGATTAACAGCTAATCATTCACTTACTTGATGTAGCCATCATGACTGAAACAACATTCTGAAGAGCCACTTGTGTTTCAACAACAATTGGTGATGGATGGTTAATTAATTGGTAAACTCCAAAATAGCTGGTTAATGGATGGTAATTACCAGGGTATTAAATACCATCTATTAAACCATTGAATTACTATGCAGTAACATGGTAATAATAGATACCAGGTAACCATTTGATACCCTGGTAATACCATCTATTACCATCCATTAAATGGTCAATGGTGTTACCATGGCAAGTAATTCAATAGATGGTATTAAATGGTAATAGATGGTTCTATTGAATTACCTGCCATGGTAACACCATTAACCAGCCATTTTTTTAGGTTTAATTCATCCCCATGATAATAAATATGGTTAATGGCTAAACCAAGTTATTAATAGGCATTACCATCACCAATTGGTTAGGTAATTAACGCATTATTATTATCATCACCATTTTTTTCACCAACTAATAGGTAATACCATGCAATAACTAATGGGTAATTACCATTAACTAATAGTAATACCATTAACCATCCATGTTTAAAGCCTATTGATACCATGGCAACACCATTGACCAACTATGGTATTAATGGGTTCATCATGGTATTAATACCTATTAATAGGTACTGGTTAATAGGTACCAACTATGGGTATTACCTATGAATTACCATGGTACCACCTATTCACCAACTATGGTATTAATAGGTTTTAACCCATCCCCATGGTATTGATTCGGCCGCACCAAGGTGCCACATCATAGATATTCACCAGAACCTCCTGAAGTGCGACGAGTTTTTTGTGTTTGTTAAAGAAAACAATTTAAAACAATGATGGTTTATAGTGGTTAATAGTTGGTAATAGTGGTTAATAGTGGTTAATAGTGGTTACACATGATAATATGTCCCATACTGCCGGTGTAATAGGATATGGCAAAAATACGGGGGATTATAATGATAAATAGAGGGGGTTTTAGATTAACATGATATAACCAATCATGTTTTCTTTCCATATCTTTCCATATTTTCATTTTTACGTAAATTCACGGCCTTTACCATTTACATCCATGGCCTTTTTTGGGTCAATGAGGGCACCCTGAACTATTCATTAACCAAGGTGTCTGTGTCCACGGTGACGCTGCCAAGGTGGAGTTGTAATGAGTAGTCACAGCTGATTTGTGAAATCCCAACTGAATGTTGTTAGAGATCGTTAAAAAAGAAAACACACACTGATTTGTGAAAAAATAATAGGGATCTTAACATATCTTAACCTGATTTAAAGTGATGTAACTATAACTACTGTTTTTTGCTGGTGAGTTTTTGAATTGCGGTTGACTGAGGATGATACTGACCAACAATCATGATCATCAAAAAAAATACTGTAGGTTTCAAACAGTTCCACCATATCCCTAGAAAATCCAGCAATATTATATATATATATACATGAGTATACATATATATATACACGTATGATATTGTGCAAAATTAATTTTATCTGATAGATTCCCATATGTTCCTGATGAGTATCATGAATATGATGATGGTTGTAGCACTAATACAAATAATATCTAATCATATAAATCATATACTGATAATCTGAGATTATAGTATCATTATACCCTCTGGTAAACATAGACCCTGGGAAAAAACGGGGTTGGAAGACTAGTTTCCATTGAAAATTGGTGATTTTCAGGGTCTATGTTAATTTACCAGAGGGTAATATCTAATAATCACTAAAAAAACTGTATCTAATTACCAGAGGGTATATCATATTAAATCCCATTAAACCACCATAAAATCCCATTAAATCACTATAAATCTAATATGTATCTAATATATGTTATCTTATTACTTTATTTATCATTTCTCACATTTTCATCACTCGGAGCTGCTTGGAAACTCTGAGTGTAGCTCCCTCGCTCCGTTGATCACTCCGTAAATTATCATATTTCACTCACCTGAATTCTTGGGCCATAAAAGGGGATGATTCCTCTATAAAAACATATAAAAACCATGATTCCAGCCAAAAAAGAAATGTAATGACAACGGTGGGCTTTTCAACACCAATCCTGCGGATGTCTTCTATCCATGGATTTGTTGGATGATTTTGCCCATGGATTTTTCCCATTGAGATCCCATGAATTTCCACGAAATCATCCAACAAATCCCACATGTTCATCCCCTGCCAGAAGGGAAAAATGATGATGATCGTATAGTGCTACTAAATACATGATATTACATGATTATGAATATTATGATTGTATAATATTGTATATTATGATTGTATAGTGACTTATAGTGCTACTAAATACTACTTATTATGATTGTATATATATATATATATACATGATTATGATTGTTTATTAAAGGAACAGAAACAACGGCATCGAAGAAACGCATCGGTCCTGCGGTGGAAGCTTCTCCAGTTCCAAGGGCTCACCGCCCAGGCTGCCGTTCTTCCCTCCAGGTGCGGCTTTGGCCGCTGCGGCACGACGCATGGCGACACAGAAGGCGAGGAGATGAGAAAAGCAAGTGGACAGGAGTTGCCATGTAATATGTTATATATATATATTATATACATATATTATATGTGCATATATATATATATTAAATATATATATATATATATATGTAATATGCATATGTAGCAACCACTTGAACTGAGTAGTTGGAAATCACACATCCATAGTTACAATGGCGTTTTTAATGGGATAACCGGATAACCACGGATAACCAAAGAACTACCATCCTGCTTTCACACTGTTCCGCATCTGCGGAGTTACTATAGGCATACACAGATATAGAGAAAATTCGTATGATACGTGATACACTCATTTCTTAGTCTATACTAGTAAGTACTAGGGACTGGTGTATACATACATGTAGTTTGGATGATATATATGTATATATTTCGGTGTGGATATTATACTGTTCATACTCTTCATGTATGTGTATTATTTACATCGATATATCTATTGTCCGTTTGTCTTTCACGGGTCACATTCCCACTTGCTACATCTGAGCAGTAAGAGAAGCAGAAATTTGATCTTCGCGGATCTGCGCAACGCCGCAACTGGATGACTAGAGATGGGATGACTGGGGATCAATACGTGGTCTAAAAAAACATCGTACCCCAAAATCTAGAGACCATGGTTTATCAAAAATGCTTTGTCATATGTGGTCTATCAAAATCTATCAAAAACAGAATTCCTTGTATGCAATTTTGGGGCATCCACATACTCAAAAAAAAAGCCATCTGATGGCTCAGTCAAAAGAGGATTGCCAACGTTGGCAACAGACCAACAACATTCGGAGGTTTCCTGATTCATGGTGGATCCGCATGTCACAATGGCTTTTTCAATACTACCCTCTGGTAATTTAACATATAGCTATTGAAAATGACCATTTATAGTGGATTTTCCCATTAAAAATGATGATTTTCCATAGTTATGTAAACGTTTACCAGAGGGTAAGTCATGACGACTGGATGAAAATTTGGGGGGTACCTCCATGACTTAGAAAACATCCATTTGCCAAGTTTCTGGTCTTTCAACATCCATATTTTTCCGGGAATATCATGTTGAACCATTCCCAGTTCAAAACACTCCAGGTGAGAACAAAGGCAACCGCAGTTGCACTCGATTCCTCATGCACGCACATTTTGGCACTATTCCTTGTCGAGAATGACATCATCATCCTTAGATCAACGTTCGCGGGGCCAAACAAACAAGTATTCCCATGAGATTCCCCATTTCGGTGGTTTCACAAATGAGAAAACATGAGAACACAATACAAAATTACCGATTCCATCATATTCCTAGCAGGTTCCCCTGCTAACGTGGATTCTTTAGGAATAACTGTTTGGAAAATAACTCAAAATAATTTGCAACCAGGGGGGCCAGTCAAGAAGCATGAGATATATGTGATTTCCCATTTCTGCTGACTTCTGGTGGATTAAGTACTTAGAAAAAAAGACATCTTAACAGTGAACAGCGGATGGTTGGTTATATATATGGGTATGGGTCAATACCTATAGATACATTTTTAGTGGGATGAACATCCATTTACCAGCTATTTTGGGGTTCGCTAGGTACCAGGGTTTTGACCCATCCCCATATATATATTATATTCCCATTCGCCCACTTGTGGTTTATATATCCCCATATATTGGTGGTATAAACCAACAATTGGAATAATTCCCATGTATATCCCCATCATATTCCCATTGTTGTTGGTTTATGCCCCAAAAAAAAACCTCACTTTGCTGATAAGATCAAGAATCAAACCTGACGTGAAATCATCTGCAACAGCGGAGGAGCACGTGACTTACTGGTTGGTGGTTTTTCGCCTACCCCTCTGAAAAATATGCGAGTTCGTCAGTTGGGATGATGAAATTCCCAACTGAATGGAAAAATAAAATTCATGTTCCAAACCACCAATCAGCTTACCTAATTAGATCTAGATAACTTCTAAAGGTTCAATAGATAACTTTTATCAATAGATATCTTCTATCAATATAAAAATCAACATGTAATCATCCATTCTATCTATCAATCAATCTAGATAACTTCTAAACAATCACCAAGGTCTTCTTGGCCAGGCAATCTCAAGGTCTTCATTCCCCCATTTCTGGTGAGAAAAATCATGGATGGACCACTGGGAATTACACACCAGATTTTTCCATCTGAACAGCGTAACAGTTATCACTTGGTTAACCCCATGAATACTAGTTCGTTATATCAGTTATATCTACCATAGTCACCATAGTTGATTCAGCCAGGCATCTTCAGAATCTTCAGATTCCGATTCTTCATCTTCGGACTCAGATTCATCATCGAAGGCCACGTGGCTACTTCCGTTGTCCTCTCGTGGGAGGCTGGTGTCCCAGCGAATTGTTTGTTGGTGCTCATGAAGTAGTTATAAAGCATAATAAACACATGTTAAAGCACAATAAACATAATAAAATGTTATAAATTATAAGTTATAAATTATAAAGCTATGGTGTCACTATGGTGATAATTGGTGATATCACTAGGCTTTCATATTTGGTTTGTCCAGCAGTTATATCTACCATAAACCATAGTGAAGACCGAAAAAAAAAGTCGTAATAAAGCCACGACTAAGCTATCGCGCGGGGGGCCCACCTTGTATATTACTTATACCCTCTGGTTATTTAACAGTTCGCCATGGAAAATCACCATGCTATTAAGAACGGTAAACCATCTATTTCGATTAGGGCCATCTATACCGTGGCAAACTGTTAGTCATAACCGGAGGGTATCTCAATATTCCCACTATTAACCACTATTAACCATTATTAACCACTATTAACCACTATTAACCACTATAACCATCCAGTATTACTTACATTGGGATGATTTGTGCCATGGTGAAGTTACATTGGGATGGGCAATTTATGGGGCCCACCTTGTACATCACATCAATCCATCCAGGGAGAATGTCAACCCTGGATTAATAAACCCCGCTTGCGGTTGTTTAATTGGGGGGATACCATAAAAAAGTATCAGATGAAATGACTATTTAAGGGGGTACGTACCCCCCTAATTGTCATAAACCATGGTTTAGCAAAATCCGGGGGTGACATTAATAAGATATTTTGACCACGGCACATTCGCATGGCGATAAAATAAATGAAGACATGGAGCTTTTAAATTAAAGAACCACAACGTGTCGACTGGATGGTGTCACTTTTGGACAAAAACACTCAAAAACCAGACCTTGAAATCCTTGAGAATTTGCTGCACATCCGCATCACTCTCTGAAGACTCTTGAGCCACGGACGCGGATGCAAGCGCTTCCTGGGACACTCCGAGCGAACTCAGATCACCGTATACAGCCTCAGACGTTGCGATCCAAGGGACCAAAACTAAGGGAGAAAATAAACAGAAGATGAAACATCAAAAAGGGGGATTTAATTGATGTGATTTAATATGATTCAATATGATTTAGCCATGAAAAAATACCACCGGTAGATTCCTAATATTCTGTTGGATTAAGCATTGGCAAACCACAGAACACCCACTGCAACTCCAGGTAGCACGGCGATGGGAGCGGCTCGGCACTGAGACATCCGACGCCACTGGATCTTGGAACACCGCATGGCGTGGCGGCCGAGAACGCGCCGCTGATGACTCGACTTGCGAACCTGTGGAGCTTCCAGAACCGGTTGCCGCGGATTCCTTGGATTCCTTGGATGCCGTTGACGGTCGTTGCGCCTGCGGATCCTGAAGGACAGTTTCGGGAAGATCTGGAAGGCCTGAGTCACTGACTTTCAGCGGAATTTCGTCATGTTGGATGTCAGTGGTAACGCTCCTTCTTCGTTCAGGTAGATGGCTCAAACTTCTGGAATAGGCCGGATCGCTAGGATGTTGCAGGTAATGATCTCCAAGTTGCAGTGGTGATCTTTCGCTTGACTTTGGAGGCTCTTCGGAAGTTGAGGAGTCCATGTCAGGTTGGAAGGAGTTGGAAAGGATCTGCAGCTCCCGCAACATGTCCTGCCAGATTTCGCAGATTTCGCAGAGCCACGGAGTCAGAAAAACGAAGATTTGGATCAAAGCAAAAGAACATGATCAAACTCATGGGTTTTTCATCATTGCCCATTTATTGGTCATTCTGTTTGAGATTCTCCGATTTGCCCCCAGGCCTCCATTTTTGGTCATCCACCCCATCAAGGTGGCTGCGAAATCACCAGTTGGTGACAGAACCCGGTGGATGGTTGGGACCCAAAAAAACGCGGTTTTCTCTTCAGAATTACCGTGAAACCAACTGGAAATCCTCTCTGAAAATCTCTGAAAAATATGTGAGTTCGTCAGTTGGGATGATTATTCCATTCCCAATATGATGGGAAAGTCATGAAATTCATGTTCCAAACCACCAACCAGTATCCAACTGTTGGCTTCCACCCACAGTATCTCCCCAACAGTACTGATCAGAGAGACGGTATTGAATAATTGAATGTTCATCCAGCTTCAAGTCAGTAGCTCCATACGTGGCATGACCAACCAGCTCCTCTGTCCGAAAAGGATGCTAATCACAGCAATACTGGATAAATACAAATTAAATTGATGATCATCATGATTATCATCATGCTACTAGACAACCTCAATGAAATCACTATGACTAGTACTATCACTATCATTGATTGCCAATATCAATAACAAAATCACCAGAGCAGCAACTCTTCCACAGAACTATTATCGCTATTATCGTTATCACCATTATAGGAATACTATCTCTGTGACATGTATCATGTTTTTCAAATGTTATCACAAACTGCTACAAATTTTAATAGTTATATCATTGCATCATAGTATCATAGTTAATATTGGATATCAAATAATTACTACTAGCTACTGTACTAATTCTATAATACTACCCTCTGGTTATTTAACATAGCCGTGGACAATGAACCATTTATACATGACTTACAGGTCATAATATTGCCAGAACCATGTGTTTTTTGCCCAGACCATCTCCTCTTCCTTCTGGATACCCTGATCATCGCCCTCATCGACGTCGTCGTTGTCGCCCACAACGCCGTGTACGGCCGCGTCGACATCATTTCCGTAGTCGTTGACGCGGAGACGTGGAGAGGTTGAGGGACGGCTCAAAGGAAACCTTGGTGGAGGAAACCTTGGTGGAATACCATATATATATATACCACATAACCACATATACATATTATATTATTGATATATAACATATTATATATTATATCTATGATAGCAAGAACCATGTGTATCATCCATCATCAACTAGACTTATTCCAATGGGGGAAAAAACTGCCATTTCCATTTCGTTTCGATGTTCCAGGTGCGCCATTATTCCATCGGGTTACATGTGTTTCCGCCAGCAACCAACGAGGTTTGCAGCTCTGAACACGGTTTTTTTTGCTCTCAGCTCTTCAGAAGTCTTTTCAGGTGTCCTTGGAATTACTTGAGGGAGCGTAGCATTCTTGTTGCGCAATTGCGAGCGTAACCCACCCCACCCGACGCAGCACGCGAACTAGGTCAAGGGTATCCAGCTCACATGGATTTTAAGTTATAGAATAATTAAGTACATAGAAATATAGCAATTCTTCCAATACTACGTATTTCCACTACCCATGACGGATCCATGGTGCTGGTATATATGCTAACATAAAGGGGGTTTTTGTTGATGGGATCCATGTTACCAAACAAATAGCAGCACCATGGATCCGTCATGGGCGTTTCACCAAAATGTCCATATGCCTGAACGATTCACGAATGGGAAACCATCGTTCACTAAAAAGGTGGATGACTCTAGGCCAGACTCAGCATTTGCCGAGGGCAAATCTGGCATGACTGCCCCGCTATCAGTAAAACCATAGCCATATACTGTAATTCTCCCATTCTTACCTCCTAAAACCACCATAAACCATCTTAACTTAGCCTCTGGTAACCGTTTACAGTTTGCTACTGAAGCCATGGCCCATGGCTAGTTCGTTGATTTACCTATTAAGCATGGTGGATCTTTCCATAGTTATGTGACAGTTTACCAGAGGGTACCTCAAAAATCATCGCCCAGGGACCGATATCTCGAGCAATCCTCCCGTGGCACCGTTTCCTCCAAGCAGAACGCGGGCTGCGTCGCTTCCTGCTGCAGCAGCCGCGCCACGCGTCGAGGGCGAGCGGAACGGGCGACTTTGGCACGTCCGCGGTGCGCTTTGGGGCGATGGGGGACACCTGGTGACGTGGAGAAAGATGGCTGAATTTCAGGGGAATATCTACAGGAAACCAATGGTTTTTCTACAGGAAACCAATGGTTTTTTCTACATCTTTTTTGAAGGCGAAGAACAGAGATGAAGAAAAGGTGCCGATCAAAATGGATCTAGTTGGTTTATAAATGTTTATAAACCATAGAAACTAGTTCGATATGGCTACGAGTACTATATGCAGGAGTTATTTGCGGCAGCGACTCACTATGGTGCACCACCTTGTTGATATCACTGATGAGCAGAACTAGCCTCTGGTAAACATACAAAAAACTCTGGAAAATCACCATGCTATGAATGGGTAAATCAACGATTTCGACTGGGCCATTTTCAATAGCTATGTTTGTTTACCAGAGAGTATGGGAACTATCTGGGCAAATTATAATAATTCACACACCTGAAATCTTGGGCCATTTTGGGATGATTCCCCGCAATCTAACCATGATTCCAGGGCTTTCAGGGCTCGGGAGACCAGGCTTCGGTCGTGATCAAATTCACCCAGATAGATCTGGGATATTTTCTGAAGCCCCGAGAGTTAGGAGAAATCAACCAAGAGGGGCTCCTGCAATCGGCGCAATCGGCGCAGGCGTCACCTGCGATCGCAGCAGGAAAAAGGATGAATGTCATTGTCTAGTCGCATTGCTGTCATAATAAAAGGTGGAATAATAGATGTCAATCATTTGCAGATGTTAGAATTGTGTTTCAGCTGTCATGCATATCATTGTGAAATATATATATATAGTTGCTTGTCCCAATGTTCATCTGTTCCTTCAAGTTGCAGCAGCGTAAATCCGTGCTTCTGAATCTTCGGTGGATTTCTTGAGATGATTGTAATTACTGGTTGGTGGTGCAAAAACCATCTTGAAAAATATGAGTCAATGGGAAGGATGACACTCCATATATGATGGACAATTCCAAATTCATGTTCCAGTCACCACCGTCACCAGTGATTAAAAAAACCCTTAACCATCATTAACAACTATAAAAATGGTATATAAATCCCATGAAATAAAGATGATTATCCCATATAAACCCATGATATGTTGCTGACCCTAACAACCACCTGGCACCCAAAGGTGAACCGGGATGGAAACCTCCCACGATTCGTGGGCTTTTTGTTGATGGGATCCATGGCACACCAAACAAATAGCAGCACCGTTAGGATCCGTCATGGGTTGTGAAACTAACCAGTTACGATTTGCTTTGATGACCCTCCAAGTACTATCTGAGTATATCCCCATAGCGGGTCATTAGCCCAATCTTTTGCGGGTGCGCCTCAGGTGAACTGGGGCCAACCTCAGGTCATATGGCCGTGGATTCGATGGTCAAACAGAAACCCAGATTTTTTCACAAAACCTGGGTCGTGAACAAATTGTTCATAGAAATAATAGAGGTTTCTGATTTATTCTATTAAACCAGTATTATCTGCTTGTTCATAGAAACAATAGAGGTTTCTGATTTATTCTATTAACCCAGTAAAAAAAACTGCTTGGTGGTTAAAAAACAATCTTGAAAAATCATGGAGTGAAAGTCAATGGGAAGGATTAATTATCCCATATATGATGGACAATTCCAAATTCATGTTCCAAACCACCAACCAGTTATAATTAGCAACCCATGATCACAGGGAATCATCCGAATGGATCAGTCAGGTTTGTGCCACTGGTCCCAGATTTGACTGGCAGATTCTATCTATCACTCTTCACATCATATTTATCTATATGTATACACACTGTATATGTACATATGATTTTACGCATTTTTACGCAGTATGTTTATGTAACATATATATATATGATTACATGTATGTGTATCATAGTTGATAGTTGATAGATGGTTTAGACTATTTAATGTGGTAAATCACCCATTTTTGTCACCCGTTTCAAGACTCATTTCTTCCACATATCCACAGTTCTCTCTGTGCTTCCGGGCTGCGATACCAGGAGGTAACAAGCTCCGGAAGCGCGTGGGAACCTGACGAGATGTGTAAAACATGGCTGTCCAAATGATGTTTTTTTTTTTTTAGTGGGATTGTAGTGGGATAATGATGGGAGTGGGATAATCGAATGATAATAGTAAGATAATCATGGGAACTAATAGTGGGATAAACATGTGTGGGATTTTTTTTTGGGATAGTGGAATGTTCCCATGTTCTAAACATTGTCCCATGATTATCCCGCACTATTAAACTATAATCTGAATGTCATTAGATAATCATTTGTGTGGGATAATATCCCCATGTTATCCATATTACTACAATAATTGTGCTATTATTATCTTAAACACTATTATTAGTGGGATAATCAAATGATCATAGTAAGATAAGTTCTTGGGACAATGGGAACATTAGTTTGGGTCGCCAAGGATCATTTCATTTGGGATCATCCAAGGATCTGACCGGCTCGCTTGGCAAGCGGAAAATAATTCACCAAGAAAAACTCAATAAATGTGTGTATATATATACACATATTATTATTATTGTTATTATTATTATTATTATATATTTTTCCCATCTTGGGGATGGCCATGGTCCTACTACTAGGCGTTACGAACCGTTTACCGCTGATGGTCGACGTCCCACCTGGCGCCGTTGTTGAAGCACCCAACCTGAAAGAATGCGACTTGCGGCAACTTGGAGATCCTCCCGGGCTGCGTCCCAACGTGATTAATAGTGGTTAATAGTGATTTATACTGGCTTAATAGTGATTTATAGTGGCTTAATAGTGGTTAATAGTGGGTAATAGTGATATATATAGTGATTAATAGCCTGGCCTAAGGATAAATAGTGGTTGCCCTCTGGTCAATTAACATGGACCCTGAAAATAAATGAACATAAGTCATTTTTAGGGGAAACTCATCTTCCAAGCCCGTTTTCTGCCAGGGTCATCATGTCAGTTTACTGCATTTAGAGTATATGTGATGGTTATATCCACTATTCCATATATGGGTATGGACCAATACCTATACATACCATTTTTAGGGGGTTATTCACATCCATAAATCCCAGCTATTCTGAAAATAGGGTATATTCTCAATTATAGCCATTTAATAGGGATAATGATCAGCAAAACCATTGGGTTTAGGGGTACACTATTTTCAGACACACCCATATATTTGGCCGTATTATTAATTCAGGCTGCCAAGGAACGATGTCGATTTCGCGTGCAGCGCTGCTGTCGAGCCTGCGGTCCAGTTGGGAAAACTATCGTTGGCTTTGTGACATTTCTAGGGGGACACATCGGACACGTAGAGATTATATCATTTATATATATTTTGTATATATATATAAATATACGTATGTATGTGTTAATATATGTTAATATAGGCTATGAGGCTATGGGTGTTACCAATGTTGGAATTTCAAAACAGCGAAGAAATGACCCCCCAAAACTCCGTCCTGAAGATGGGTTGATTCCCCAGTTGGATACCCATGGCCCCGTCGTGTGAAAAAAGTTGGTCCAGCCATGGCCCAGTCGAAATCGCAACGATTTACCCATTGAAGATGGTGACTTTCTATCGTTTTTTGTCTGTTTACCAGAGGGTAATTCCCATTGATATCATCATATCCCCCAATTTTCTTGATGAAATCTCCATTAATCACCATAAATCACCATAAATATCATCATATCTCCATTAATCACCATATCATCATAAATCCCAGACCGGAGATATGATGGTAATCCCATTAATGGTAGGCCCATCATATGAGCCATGGTCAATACTCACTATATGATTGATGGTCATCCCATCCATAATAAGGATCCTTATAATGGTTATTATAAATCCCTATGAACCATTGGATGACTAGCCCCTATTAATGGTTATTAACTATGAGTATTGACCATAGCTCATATCATCATATCCACCATAAATCCTGCTGTGGGCCTCTTGCAAGCTGCTGTGCTTGCTGATTTTCCTGGAAATCCGACAGGTTTGGGGGGCGAAATCCACCGATTTGGTACACCCCATTGCAGCGACCCTACCGGTGAACATCTACAAGATCTTTTTTCAATTTTGGATACGTTTTATATAATGTCAACCCCGGATTAATAAACCAATAACTATAGTTTATGATACTTATAACTATAGTTAATGGGATTTATAAACCAACTTATAACTATCTCATCATGTCAACCCCGGATGAGACTAAACCATGGTTTATGACAATTAGGGGCTACTCCTCCAATAGTCATTTCATCTGATACTTAAATGATACCCCCCCAATTAGACAGCCGTTCGGGGTTTATTAATCCAGGGTTGACATTGATGGGATTGAGTTTAGATAAGTTGGTAAACATACCCTCTGGTTATGACTAACATTGCCATGGCATAGATGGACCATAGAAATAGATGGTTTACCGTTCTTAATAACATGGTGATTTTCCATGGCTATGTTAAATAACCAGATGGTAAGTGGGAAAAACATGTTAAAACTATGGTTTTTCTCGAGATTTTCTCTTAAAGCAATCCATTGACTAGGGATTGTTTCTCACATTTTGGAAAACCTGTGGATTTCCGACATTTACTGTTCTTTCCAAAGTCACGAAAACAAACAAAGTTCCAAAAACGATATCACCCAATTCCCTGTAGAGTGATGGTGACCCAAAAGATAGAAATTCATATGAATCATAAGGGTCTTAAACCCAATCTATATTTTCTTGCGTGGCTCCCATTTTGGTTTGCCTAAAAATCCAGTGGCATATCATGTTCCACACTAAATGGCCATAAATGGCCAGGGGTATACGAACCATTTTCAGACACACTCAATTATCATGGTGTTGGCCACACACACATATATATATATATACATATATTCTGGTATAAATGGAATAAATATATATGGAATAATGGCATATGTTTATATTATATATTATGGTGTTAAATACATATATTTACTCCATTATAAATGCCGTATATATGCCGTATATATTCTGGTATATAATGACATATAATGGAATAAATACGTATATAATGGAATAGATATATAATGGGATATAGATGAATATCTCCATCCCCATATCCATAATCTATTCCCATACCCAAGTTGGGGCACCACCTTGTGGTGGTAGTTGCGGTAACTACCAATACTTTTTTGTGGTTTTTAGTTGCGACAGACACCGAACGATTTCTATGAGGTATGATCGATTTTGGAAACACGGCCCGTCACGGCATCTTTTTGGCCTTGCTTTTTGTTCATATGAGCTATGGTCAATACTCATGGTTAATAACCATTAATAGGGGCTAGTCATCCAATGGTTCATAGGGATTTGTAATAACCATTATAAGGATCCTTATTATGGATGGGATGACCATCAATCATATAGTGAGTATTGACCATGGCTCATATGGTAAAGCCACTAGCTGCTGGGGGGCAAAACATTTAAAAACAAGCCTTTCAAACCGTTGGATGAACATTTCCCAGATAAGATTCGCATTCCCAGCTTTTTATCCCAGCAAAAATTGACCCAGACAGGGCGGGTAGAAAAAATCCATACATTCAAACCTGACAATATGAGGTAAATATCATCTATACATATCTATACCATCTGACGGTTAGAAAAGAACATTCAAACCCTCTAATACATCATAGTTGGTACAGTCAACCAATACACTTTCCCATTTTTGCATCAATCTATCTGCATCCTGATTCATATCTGAATACTACTTCATCATTTATGTAGGCCATATATTCCAATTTAGGCACTATATCACTATATCATCTAAGTCTACACTATACTATATATATCATCTATACTATAGATATCTACATCTACCATCTATATCCTAGATATACTAATGTGGTTAAAACAATGTCATAAACTACCCATGACTGGGAATGGTAACCATACCACCTATAAAAATGGTGATTTGGGGGATGGTTTATTATCTAATTCGTGGTTTCAACCCCCCTGAAAAATATGCTCGTCAGATTGGATCATCATCAAAGCTAATGGGGAAAATTCCAAATTCATGTTCCAAATGTTCCAAACCACCAACCAGTTACTGCATTGTTTTAACCACATTATACGATACAATGTGGCCCCCCCCAGTTATAAGTTGGTTTACAAATCCCATTAACTATAGTTATAAGTATCATAAACCATAGTTGTTGGAGTTATGTTCACCAACTTAGCTATCGAACGGGGGCCCCTTATACGATAGGATCTGTCACTATATCACCCCCTGGGAATCTCATTGCGCCTCTCCACCTCTGCGAGTCCATGTTGCAAGGCACAGAGGCGAGTCCACAGGGCCTCTGCCCTCACCGTTTCGCCTGCGACCAGCGACCCGTGAAACTCAGGAATTCGCAAAGAAACACCGGGGTTTCACCTGGTTTAACGATGGAAAATGGTGGTTTTCTGGGGCTTTATGCATGTTAAGCATGGAACATTGGGGTTGGAATGGGGGTTGAACCAAGCAAACAAATCTTTCCGACTCAAAAGTTAGCTTTCAACCAGGGAAATTGAGATTCAGCAAATAGAACATGTGGATTCAAGATTATTTACGCACCCGTTTACATGGCGATTGATAGTTGCCCAGCACTCTTGTTGAAGCTGGTTAGAACATATCCCACGGCAACATCTTGAAGTAGCAAGCCATCCAGCAGCTCGTGCACCGGATGGATAAGATTTTCCGGGAAAATCTTCACCGGAAACCTCCAGATTTCATAGGAAAATCCCATGGTTTCCGGTGAAGATTTTCCCGGAGAAAAAACCATCCATTGATATAGATCATGGGAGAAACATCTAGCAACTGGTGCAGGACTTTGTCCACAGTTTTTCTGTCCAATCGAAAAGCATCAAGCATAAACACGTTTTTGCAAGGTCCATGTGAATTTTCAGGTGTGTAACTAGATTTGACTAGGCTACGTCAGTCGAGCATAACTGGTTGGTGGTTTCAACCCCTCTGAAACATATTAGTCAGTTGGGATGACTATTCCCAATATATGGAAAAATAAAAAATGTTCCAAACCACCAACCAGATATAAGTTTCCCTCGATTCATATTAGGTTTGTCTGATAATAGGGAATTACCTCAAAATCCAGTGGTGAATAATGATTCCCTATTGAAATGTCTATATAATTCTATATACTCCCAGCAACATATTGCTGGTTGTTGTGGATGTAATTAAATGTCCCTTCATATGAGGAAAAACATGTTGAGCAGTCGAGAAAAAACTTCCTGAGCTAGTTACAGTGGTCAAAGGGCACGGTTCCCGTATTATATTGGTATTCCCATATGCTTATGATACTTACTCTGTGAAAACTGGATGTCCTTCCCTTTTCATCGCTTACTATGTGTACAGTATCGTGGCTCCCATGTCTGAGTTTTGGTGAACGTGGGGATTCAGTAGCTCCATGCCATGGCTATGATGGGAAGATCAACCCTTCGATTTTTGTTTTTCCCATGTTTTTCCTGAGACGATGGCTGGTTGGTGGTTGAGCCCTACCCCTCTGAAAAATATGCGAAAGTCAGTTGGGATGATGACATTCCCAATATGATGGGAAAAATATGGTTTATGGTAGATATATCTATCCCTATGGGAGTCAGTTGGGATTATATATTATTCCATTCCCAATATATGGAAAGTCATAAAATTCCATGGTTCCAGTCACCACCAACCAGTGATTAAAAAAACCATTAACCATCATTAACCACTATAAAAATGGTATATAATCCCATGAAATAAAGATGTTTATCCCATTGGATCTAACCTGGGTTTGTCTGGAAAATGGGAAAATGGAACATCGCCATGGGAATAGATCCCATCTTTTCCCATGGCACGACTATGCTTTGCGCCGCCAGCACGGACAGGATTTATTTTGGCCCATTTCTCTCAGAATACCATACTATTATATATCTAAGTATAGGTATTATATATATATATATATATTATATATCCCATTTATTATCAACATTAATATCTCTAAGAACATTTATGATATATCCCAGTATAATATCTAAGTATTCCAACATTTTTGAGGTTTATCTCCCCCAAAAAGTTGGCCCTAGATAGTAAAGTTGGTAAAAATAACTCCAATAACTATGGTTTATGATACTAACAGAAAAACAAAAAGGGGTTATAAACCAACTTAAAGCTATCTAGGGCCATCTAGGGGGAGGGCCATATGCCCATATCCATAAATAATTACCATCTGGTTATTTAACAGTTCGCCATGGAAAATCACCATGCTATTAATAGGTAAACCATCTATTTCTATGGGCCACCTATACCATGGCGAACTGTTAGTCATATCCAGAGGGTATCTCAATATTCCCACTATTAACCACTATTAACCACTATTAACCACTATTAACCACTATTAACCACTATTAACCACTATTAACCACTATTAACGACTATTAACCACTATTAACCACTATTAACCACTATTAACCACTATTAATATCCCATTTTGAGATATCCCATATGCCATGACACAGCTCTCTTCCCATCCGCTTCCCTTCCACACCTTGTCCCTCCGGTCCCTCGTCTGACTGAAAGCCCTGACAGCTGAGTTTCATACGCTGAAAGCAGAAATATTTCATGCTTTACTAATGGTGAAACAAATGGTGCAAATAAAAATTGGATTTTGTAACAGCACAAAATATTTCATGGTGAGAAATCTCTTCACCATCCGTTTTCATAAAAACCATATTGAAATATGGTAACAAATCCAGCACCAAAATCCCAAGTTTTGCGCAGCAAAATCCCGAGTTTTCCTCATAAAAATCCCAGGTTCCATTAAAGAAAACATAAAATTCCATTAAAGTCCCATTGAAGTCCCATTAAATCCCAAGTTTGGCTGGTAAAAAATACTTTTTTTCCAGGGACACCCAGGGATGCGCCTCAGAATGGCTATCGGTCTCAGGCATGGACCAGGGCCAAGGATCCTGCTGATGGCCAGGGATCCGTGGTCAACAATAAATGACTATCAATATAAATTGATAATTCTAAAAATATGATACATATAACCTGTAATGACATAAATATATATATATATATAAACAGATAGAACCTATATATATATATAACCTATTGTGATTATATGTACACCCATACAAACCGGTGTCACATGTTATATTTGCAGAATAGGTTTCTGACGTGATAGAGGTTGACTCAGAAATGGTTTCTGTATCACATCCACTGGCTGTTTTTTTGGGCACACAAAAACTATCGACAGCACATGCCTGGCATTTTTCTTGCTATCCCCAACAGAACTGGCACAAGCCTGGAACGTCTAATCGAATTAATGGATAGCCTCTTTGTGCTGCAAGTTCCACTTTCTTCCTGCTGATGTCATCTTGCATGGGAAAAAAACAGCAACTGCCCAGCATTTTTCAGGGGCTTTTTTGGGAACTTGAATGTAGGCCCAAAATGGTAAATTTTTGGGAAAAGGGGATGGTGAATATTTTTGGCTTTGTCAGATTAGGCCATTGATCAAAGTGGCTAGTATCGACAGTCCCCAGAAGTTCCCAAGATATGCGATGAAGAACTGATGCGTTCAAGGCTGGATTTTGCCTTGAATGCAAGATGATCAACTTCAGAAGAAAGTCTTTCATAGTTAAGAAAAGATATAGAACTGGAAATCGCTGATCGTGCGCAGGCACAGCCAGCAGTTTATGATAGTTTATGCCTTGATCACAAGAATCACGACCTCGGACCGTCACACACATAGAATCATGACCTCGGAGCAACAGGCGAAGCAAACGAGGTCAAGATACGAATCAAACACCGACAGGCGATGGGATGTAATGCGTACGTGTAGATGTTGATGTTGATGATGATGATCATGGTGTTAATGACAAGGATGATGATTGTATCACTATTACTATGTGTACATATATATATATAGTATTATCATCATCATTATTATCATTCTTATTGTTATTATCATCATTATGATGAAGAGGATAACGATGAGGATGATTGGCAGCCGCTCTATGGAAGGAACCCTTCGCAGGAGCGGGAAACAACATCCCCATATTGCAATCACATTCCAATTGACTACCAGCACCTAGTAATCCAAAAATAAATCCCCAGTTCAGAATGGCCAACATATATATATATACTGGTTGGTGGTATACCTACCCCTCTGAAAAATATGAGTTCGTCAGTTGGGATGATGATTCCCAACTGAATGGAAAAGTACAATTCATGTTCCAAACTACCAACCAGTATATATATATATGGGTAAATTATAATATTTCACTAGCCTGAAATAAGGCCATTTGGGCATGATTCCCCTTACTAACCATGATTCCAGTCAGGTCGCAGTGAGGTCGTTATAATTTACCCAGATATATACACCCTCCGGTACTGTAATCAAATATAGCAGTTGGAAATCCACCATTTTGTTCGATGATCCTTCCAGCTATAAACGTTCAGTTCTAGAGGATTTTCCAGCTAGCCACGTTTCGTTACCAGAGAGTAATATCCATTAATATTGCACTCATATTCCATCAATATATTCATTAATATTCAATGATATTGCCATCATATCCCTGTTATACTACCATTGTTCTGTTCGTTAAATCCCTATATCATGCCAATATTATCCCTGTTAAACCATAAACAACCATAAAAACCATATAAAAGTAGAACATACACCAAAAAAACATAAAAAAAGATAAAAACCATATATATATATATCCCTATAAAAACCGCATTTTGCATAATAATAACCATTTGCAATCATGGCTAAAAAAAACATCCGAAAATCAAACCATATCATCAAACCATATAATCAAACCATAGTTCATAAAATCCATCGAAAAAAATCCCACTTCGGACTGAGCTCGCCACCCCAATGGCCACGACGCAGAGCAGCTGCTTTCGACCTTCCAACTTCTCGCCGAAGAAGATGGCGCCGAAGCACGCGCTGACCACGATGCCCCCACCGCGTTTTACGGCGGAGACCAAGACGGGGCTGATTAAGGATACCGCCTTGGCAGAAATGAGCTGGAAATACCTGGAAGTCCGGATTTTTGGGGTATTATCATCTATATATGGACTCTATCTATCTATCTATCGATCTATCCATCCATCCATCCATCCATCCATCCATCTATCTATCTATCTATCTATCTATAATATATATATACACATATATACATATATACACATATATACACATATATACACATATATACATATATATCTAATAATATGTATATATATATTATGTATACAGATTATGTCTATAGATGATAATTTTCAAACAAACATGGAAGAGACAGCCTCAGAAAGGGTGGCACCTACACATGACCTATCTTTTTTGGATTGTAGACGATAAGAAGATTGTAATCCGTTCATGAATATGTTTACCCTCTGGTAAACATACACAAAACTATGGAAAATCACCATTTTCAATGGGTAAATCAACGATTTCAATGGCCATTTTCAATAGCTATGTCTGTTTACCAGAGGGTATATCATATTAAATCCCATTAAACCACCATAAAATCCCATTAAAATCCCATTAAAATCCCATGAACAAATCCATAAAATCACGTTTTATCCCTCTCCTCTGATCGTTTCCTCAAGATCATCCCGGGAAGGTCATCCCATCGATCCAGTGCTGAATTCATATCCAGTTAGGGTTCACCAATGGCCCCGAAAAACATGTAGCGGAGCGTCAGGGTTGACTTGTACCTAACTTGGTGAACGTTTGGCTGTAACTGGCTATAACTGGCTGGTGCATGGATTAACTGTATATGGCTCGTTTATACCAAACATAGCTGGAGAACCTCACGTTGGAGGCCAAAATCTGTCATGGATTACGATCAATTTTGAACCCCATGAACGACTGGTGATAATGCATCCTATAACTATGGTTATTTTAACCATCTTGAAAAATATGAGTCAGTTGGGAAGGATGACATCCCATATATGATGGAAGATTCCAAATTCATGTTTGAAACCACCAACCAGAATGGGTTTATCAAGCGACTTAGATACTGGTTGGTGATAAGCCATCCTATAACTATGGTGATAACCCATCTAAAACTGTGGCTAGAATCCCATTAACCACTATTATTGGTGTATAATCCCATGAAAACCACTATTATTGGTGAACTTATAACTGGTTAATGGGATTAATTGGTGAACCCATCTATAAATATCTATAATCTATAAGCCATGGATAGCTGGAGGCCACAGCCTCGAGCTATGCGGGAGCGATTCGCGTCTGTCTGATGGAAAGTAGCGTCATTTTGTGTTGAACTCATAATTGATTTAAATTAGTAATAGTCTTATGATGTCTTATGATCAGTATTTATTGGTATCATTCGAAGTCGAACTCATCATCTGTCTTTATTGTGTTACATAAGTTGTATCTACACCAATTGAGTACATCATCAATTTTTGGGTGTTGCATACATCATCAATGAGGGTGTTGCATACATAATTCCAATATTGGAGTATGTTGTTGGAGTGCAATGTGTCAATTCTAACTTGTTGCAATGTGGTTTTTATTCAATTGTCATGATCCACATCCACATTTGATTGACGATTGACGACTAATATGTTTCGTGCTGCCAGTGAGAGTGCGTGAGAGTGCCTTTTTTGGCCTTGTGTGAATAATTGACTCATATTTTCTGACTGACTAGTATTGACATCTGAACTTCAAGTAAGATTTATTGATATCTGAACTTGGAGCAATATTTTTTGATATCTGAAACCATCACATGTTGGTAGCCGGAGTACTGGAATCCTCTATGAGTCGAGGTTGAAAGAACCCATCCAAACCCGCAAAATGTGTGGTCCTTTTACTCAAGCCATAAGGATATTGATATGAGGGGTTCCTAAAATGGGGGTACCCCCAAATCATCCATTTATAGATGGATTTTCTATTATGAGCCATCCATTTTGGGCTACCCCCATTCTAGGAAACCTCCATATGAATGGTATCCAGCCAAGGTACTTGGTACATGGAGAGCATGTACGCCGCATCAACCACGCAAACGAAGAGCAGAAGTAGCCTTGGATTTGTCAAAACGTGGAATCAGCGATGGGAAAGTATGGGGGGGTAACCATCATGGTGAAGATGATCTAACTATCCAAAGTATATACAAAGATATACAAAGTATCCAGCAGTTTTCCCATGTCTGGTGAGTATTCAGTAGTTTTCCATAGATTTCCCATTTCTGGTAGATGTTTCTAATGGAACCATCTGACTAATTCCAAACTATAACAAAGTATATCAAACATATCAACATATCCAATAGATTTGCCATTTCTGCTGGATTTTTCGAGTGAAACCTATACTGGTTGGTGTTTTTAACCATCTTGAAAAATATGAGTTCGTCAATGGGAAGGATTATCCCATATATTATGGCACATATAAAATGTTCCAAACCACCAACCAGATAATGTGTTCAGGATTTTTAAGGGAATATGGCCATTTTCAATAGCCATGTTAGTTTACCAGAGGGTATATACCCATGATATCCCCATTTTTCGAGTGAAACCTCTATGAAACCACCAGTGATAATTAACCATTCACCATCATTAACCACTATAAAAATGGTATATAATCCCATGAAAACCACTATTCTGGTGAATTTTTTCGAGTGAAACAGTGTCTCTATGTCCATATATAATCCATATATAATCCTATTAACCTCTAAAGTGAAACAGTGACTTTCATATATAATCCCATTAACCCTCTATGAAACATGTCCCAAAAGTCACCCAGCACATCCAGGTCGCAAGGTCCGTGGCTCCCAAAGACCCGTCGTCTCCTCCCTCAATGCGTCGCTCCGCGAGGCCCCGGTGATCCGTGTGGAGAAACACATGGCTGCCATGACCAGGCGGCAATAGGCGAAGAGGCACAAACTACTCGAAACCTCGGGTTTCAGCAGATAACCAGAAAGTAATGCCATATAGTATATATATATATAACTATGGGGATATATATATATATAACTATATAACTATAATATATATATATATAACTATGTGGTATGTATATCTTATATACTAGTTTAATCTGTCTAACTAAGCTGAAATGTTTTTTGGTTGTTTGGGAGAGTTACCATGGTTTCTTGGGAATTCACCGGCCCGGGCCGAGCAAAAAAAAAACACCAGGCAAAAAAGATATCCACTCTTTGAAACAAAAGTTATACCATCTGGTTACTTAACATAGCCATGGAAAATGGACCATTTATAGATGGTTTACCGATTAGAAATGGTGATTTCCCATGGCTATTTCAAATAACCAGAGGGTAATAGTATATAACTATGGGGATATTTCATTATTGTATATCATTATGGTAAAACATAGTAGTAACTCTGTGGTTTCGAACAAGTACTATGATGAGAAATGGAGATGTAACTCTAGTAAGCAAGTGTTCTGAAACATCGTATTTCCAACCATTACTACGGGGATATACTACATAGATAAAATACGTTGTGCTTCCAGTCACTCCCACAGCCGCTGCATCCAAGCGGTACGTAGCAGAATACCTTGGCTGTATCAAAAAAAAATCTGCGGATTGAGGTGAAATTTTCCAAGCGGCGGTTCAGAAAAAACAAGACACAAGGTGTTTCCCATATTTTCCGCAGAATCACTGTTGAAATATCCACTTTTAATGTGGAATTCAAAAGGAATATGGTATATAAATATGTAACCATATACCATCATATACCATATAACCCATTAGAAATGTGTGACCATAACCAATCTGGTTGGTGGTATACCTACCCCTCTGAAAAATATGAAAGTCAAATGGGAGTATTATTCCCATATATATAAGTATATATATAAGTATATATATATGTGGAAAATAGAAAATGTTCCAAACCACCAATCAGCAATGTACTTTTAATTTGTTATATCACCAATGAATTCATGGAACTTGGCTATGGCGATGCAGGCCCCTGCGCAAGCATCAGCCAAGCGATGTGACCTCACCTATCATTGTAGCCATGAGTTTGTTAAAGAACAACTACCCCCCAGTAATATATGAAATCTATAAATTGTGTTTTTTTTTTTCACAGGTCAGCCATCGCAACTCTGGCGAGTTGCAAGACGCAATTCAAGATGATAAAACCTGCACCTGCGCAACGTGGCAGGTGGCAGAAGGGGAGGACTGGGCCCTTGAATCCCTTGATTTTGTCCAACAGCTGGTTTTACATCCAACAGCTGGCCATCTGATTGCAATATGTTATGGGAAAATCATCTATACATGGGAAGTTAATGGGTATTTCAATGGCATATTTTATGGGAAAACGGAACATAAATGCGAAGTGAATGGGTATTTGTCCAAGAATGGAGGATATTGATCACAATTGGGATATAGGGATATATAATGGGATACACTGAGATGTATCAGTAAATAATGGGTTATATCATTGGGTTGTAACTATTCATCAATTCTGATGGGCAATTGTGATCAGTATCAGGGGTACTAATATCATTTATGTCATATTCCATTGTAAATAATGGGAAACACTATAATTTATATCATATTCCAAATTTATTACATATGCATATATATATATTATAGCACTAAGATGTATCTAACTTAACCAACATTAATATAAATGATGGCTTTGCCCGGAGCTTCGCAAAAAACACCCAAGGAGTCCCCTTGCCCATTCAGCGCCTTTGGGCAAGGCGCGCAAGGCGCGCGTCGAAGCGGCCTAACGTGGCTTCGTTGATGACGCACAGAAAACTTGGCGAACTTTATGGAGGATATAACCAGAGTATACCATAGTCAACGGGTTTATCAACCGACTTAGATATAACTATAGTGATTGTATTTTTTTGTTTTCACCAACTTATGACTGGGGGGCCTCAAATTGTAGAAATAATGGTTTTGTTTTTCACCAACTTCCCTCCACAAAATTGGGTGATTTTTCAGGGTTTTTTTGTTGGTGGCATGGACATGGTAGATGTTATGATATGCTAGCTGGTCCAGCATGCCTTCTATCACTTAAGTTGTTTTTTAGCTGATGGGATTCCGTTTGGTTGATGTGAGCAGTGGAGAAAAATCATGTTGCCTTTGGGGTGAAGATATATCATGTTTACAGTTGAGCAGTGGATATATCACCCTTCATTTTTTCTTCAAACATGGGTGTAAACATGGGGTGTAAATGCAGTGGATATATCATGTTGCCATGGGCCATATATGGGGTGAAGCAATAATTGAAGGGTGTAAACAAACTTCGATTCCAACACGGCCCATGGGCGTTACAAGCATTGGCACAGCGAAGCTGAAAAAATGAATCTCGATTTCAATGCTACAGGTTTCGAGAAACAGTCCTGGGAAGCAAGAAGCACGTAGAAACTTGAAATAATCTTAAAACCAGAAAACCATATCTGGCTGGTGGTTTCTAATTTCAACCCCTCTGAAAAATATTAGTCCATGGGAAGGATTATCACATATATTATGGAAAAACTGTTTGAAACCACCAACCAGATATAAATCATAAACCATAAAGAAAACAATGTAGGAAACTTGTTTATACTGTCCTTTAGCATGTGGCTATAAACCAAAAAATACATATCAGCCACCAATTTACCATGCTAAGCTAAGCCAGGTGACCCTTTGATTGATATCAATCCCCGATCAAAGCCATATTCAACCCCCAGACCCATGAGTTTCTCGTTGGCTCGTTGGCTCTCTATGGCCCATAACCCTAAACCCAACATAAGACCCTATAAAACTTGTTTGGTAGTAACAGGGTAACATAACCATAAATGTATTCCTAATATGTTCTGTTTGGCAAACTATTAGGGAATAACAAATGCCAGCAGAACACCCTAATTCTATTCCCAATATGCAAGAAGCTGATCTCAATGGCAATGCTGGATGAAAGAAACTATGCAATAGAAGCTACAGTATGGTCGTTGCTGGTTCGTATAGTTATTGCTGGCTGTTGCTGGTTATATCCGCATTATCATCCGCATACTTCCTATGGCATTGCTATGTTTTTACATGTGCTGGTGTCACCATAAAACACCATCAACCCCCCAAACACAAAAAAAAACGCAAAACTCTTATAAAGACCGCCATGAAACCTATGAAATGACCATAAAACCTGTATAAAACCCCCCATCAACTTACCATAGAACCACCAGAAAACCACCACCAAACGCTATTAGTGGCTATAAAACTACCAAAAAAACCTCCATCAAACCGTCCCCCCCCAGGGGGCATCCACCTTTTCCGTCATGGACAACGCCAACATCCCGGCTGCGATGCACGCCACCGCCGAAGCCTTTCCCAGCGACAGCGACAAAGCCAGGCTGCCACCGTTCGCGAAGAAGTGAAGGACGGGCAAAACGAGGCTTCCAACCTTGGAATTGCTATGGAAGGGCCTTAGATATCTTAGATTCTGGGAATAACTTCTAATTTCGGCGTGTGTAAATCGATTTTTTTGTGGGACTCACCGACTTACATCATGAAAGAATGGGAAATATATGGGTGTTGGAGGCTTACCATGAAATTAGGGATGATACAAAGAATGCACCCAATTTTCTCAGTGTCCACGGGGCTTCGGCCATCCAAGTGTCAATTTTTTTGTTTCTTGTGGGATGATTGGCCCAAAACCCAAAATACTTACCACTCTGCTCGAACTACCACAATAAACCATTTTTTTTTTTACTATAACCTAATATGTTGTTTGCCGTCGCCAATGGCAACCAGTTAACAAATCAACCACAAGAATCACAAACCATATTTTTGGAGGATGATTGGGTGCTCGGAATCCCTCTCTACAGAGAGTGCTGGTCAGTTGGGATCATCCTCACAAATAGGCTTGAGATTCGGAAATCTTTGGAAAGCACTATAACTATAAGCAGTTTATGGTGATTGGATGTGATTGGTTATCTTACTGGTGCTAAACGCAGGGAATGGGGGAATGATAACTATGAAATCATAATAATGAAAAAAATCATCCCAGCAACCCCATTCCCTACTAAGCAACATAACTACGGAAAATCACCATTTGAATGGGTAAATGGCCATTTTCAATAGCTATGTTAGTTTACCAGAGGGTATACCTGGTTGGTGTTTTTAACCATCTTGAAAAATATGAGTTCGTCAATGGGAAGGATTATCCCATATCTTATGGAAAATAAAACTCATGTTCCCAACCACCAACCAGATAATGTGTTCAGGATTTTTAAGGGAATATGGCCATTTTCAATAGCTATGTTAGTTTACCAGAGGGTATATACCCATGATATCCCCATTTTTCCATGATCAGCTCCCCATTTTTCTTGGGATGTGAGCTCGTGACCGAGCTTTTTTCACCAAGGCACCAGCAGCTGAATCACCTTGGTGACGACCCAAAGAAAACGTGGTGGGCAACGATAATTTCACCAAGAGATTGTCATTGCAACTGGCAACTTAATCAATATGCATATATTCATGTATATATATATGATTATGATGATGATGATGATGATTATGATGATGATGATGATTATGATGATGATGATGATGATGATGATTATGATGATGATGATGATGATGATGATGATGATGATGATGACGATGATGATGATGATGATGAGGATGATGATGATGATGACGACGATGACGATGATGATGACGATGATGATGATGATGATGATGATGATGATTATGATGATGATGATGATGATGATGATGACGATGATGATGATGATGAGGATGATGATGATGATGACGACGATGACGATGATGATGACGATGATGATGATGATGATGATGATGATGATGATGATGATGATGATGAGGATTATTACTATTATTACTATTATTACTATTATTACTATTACTACTATTATTATTATTGATTGTACATGATTGTACTATATCCAATGATGAATATTCTCCGGTTGGCGGTTGAGCCTTCCTGAAGATCCAGTGCCATCATCGACTGAGGATCATCCCAAATCTGGTATACCATGATCAGTCGATTAGTGGAAGCACCAACCTGAAATAGGAACCACCAACCTGAATTCTTTGGAAACCCATATATATACATATATATATATATTGATGGTAAAAACCATGGTTTCCGGTTAAGATTTTCCCTTAAACCAATCCATTGACTGAATTCTTTGGAGAATTTACCAACCACCAACTGGTAGAATTTTCAACCAATAGAAAAAAACAAAAAGTCTTTGGAGAATTCACCAGTCTTTGGAGAATTTGGGTTGGTCATCTACCATCATCTAGCCATCATCATTTTCATCATTTTGGGCTGGTGAACACATTTGTGAACATGTGCCACACCAGATTTGAGGCCATGGCTGGAGATTTCCCATTTCTCAGTGGTGAGGTCCTGGCCGTTTTTTTTTTCTGCCAAGTCACTGGATCAAAGGCCAAGAATGGGGCGCACAGCGACATCTCACCCACCTGCCATGAATCATTGGATTGGTTTAAGGGAAAATCTAAACCGGAAACCCATGGTTTTTACCATTAAATATGGGTTTTTCCTGTAAATTTTCCCTTAAACCAACCCAGTGAATGAAGTCATCCCAATTGCTGGCAGTGATGGTGGCGAACTACCCACGAATCGTGGTTGTGGGTTAGTTTTAATAACCCCAGTTTTTTTGAGTGGATTGACCCGCTCCTTATCCCATGTAAATCACTGGGGTGAACTAACCCACAACCACGATTCGTGGGATGAGCCACCAAGCAGTGATGGCCGCACTTCTTCCCATTCATATGGAAATCATGGCCGCAGCCCTGCTAGGTGTGGATGTTCTCTTATGCAGATTGCAATTCATGAACACGTTGCCAGTTTTTCACACATGCCGGCCTTGTAGGCATGCGTCTCAGCGGTTTTAATGATGGCATTCAAGAAGCTGGAGCTGGCCTCGAGTTGTGTCAAGAGAGTGTACTCACTGGGTGGTTTAAGGTGAGTTTGTCTGAAAATAGAATACCCCTAAATCCATGTACTCAATGGCCCATTCAGGTACCTAAAATATCCTAAAATTGAGCTACTGTGTCATCTTTCACGCCATATTTTGGGTGGATATTCCCTTACAATGAGATTTTCCCATTTTACCATTGTGGCGTTTGCTCAACAAATGTTCCTTTCAGTTTTCGTTCGATGTTTCTAGGACCCTCAAAGACTCAAAGCTTAAAATTTGGGTACAGTAGCCATGGAGCCACTACGTAGCTCTAAAAGACTCTCAAGTGGTGTCTGAAAATTGGGTGCTTACGATTTTCAACTCAAATGGCCATGACTTGAGTTGTATCAGTTGTATCACTCATTGACACGCCAAAAACAACACGTTTTTCAAAACCCAGCGGCTAGGCAGATCCAGAAAACCATGGGTAGTGCGCTGAAGGAAAAGTTTCCGGTCAACACCAGAAAGGCCATCGCAACGACGCCTTGAATCAATGATGTCATCCCCACCTGAAGACGGGGCGCATTAACGACCAGCTGAGGTTCAGCTAGGGATTAATCGTCCAGAATATGCAATATTATATTGGATAGTAATTGTAGATATATCACCATTGTACACCTAGTGTGCCACCATATTTGTCCCATAGTGTATACAAATAAAGACGTGCAAAGCACATATATGCATAATATATGACCCATATAAAGTCAATATTCACCATAAAATTTTAAATAATCCATATAAAGTCAAGATTCACCATCCAAAATCCATTTCAAGTCCATTTAAAGTCAATTCATTCACTCTCAAAAGTACCAAAAACCATCAAAAACTACATATAAAAACCAGAGATTTCCAGCATTTCCAGCATTTTCCCATGGTTTTTTCCAACTTTTTCCCCCACCTGTTCCGCATGGGACACCGCTTTCCCCGCGCGCGGCGTGGCGATCTCCTTGCGCAGCGCGGAGGCGGCGGGGCGCCCCACGATGGCCACGGCGGACCAGCAGAGCCCAGAGACGTGGCGGCTGAGATTCAGCGGCTTGGCACCTGGGGAAGGTGGTGGATTTTGATGGTGACTTACCCTCTGGTGGATGATTTTTATGGTGATTTAAGGGGATATGTCTGGTTTCTATATGGTTTATAAGCTATGGTGTAGTGGGATAGAATGGGATTTATATATATGTATGGTTTTTAAAGGATCAAACTGGATTAAGTGACTCGATGGATGATTTTTATGGATTTTGATGGTGACTTACCCTCTGGTTATGTCAAAATAGCTATGTTTATGTTGGATGTTGATGGTGGATTTTTGATGGATTTTTGATGGTGGATTTTGATGTTGATGGATTTTGATGATGTTTATGGTGATCTTAATGGTTATATCTTTGTTTTATAGATGGTTTATAAACTATCTATATGGTTTATGTGACTTAATGGATGATTTTTTTTTATGGATGTCGATGGTGATGTTTAAGGTGACTTGATGGGATTTGGTGGATGATTTATTGATGGTGATTTTAATGGGATATTTATCTGGTTTATATATGGTTTATAAGCTATGTGTAGTGGGATTTAGAACTATCGTTTATATATGGTGGGCATGGTTGATATATATGGTTTATGGTGATTTTCATGGTGAATTTAATGGTGATTTTAATTGGCTTTCTATGATTTATATACGAACAAATATGGTGACTTAATGGGATTCAATGAGATTTGGTGGTGATTTCATAGGATTTGATTAGGGTCGAACTATGGTTTATGTATGGATGATATATGAGATGGTTGTGCCAGGGATGATTTTCATGGTGATTTTTGTGATGGACTTGGGTTTAGGTGGGATAGAACCTATGGTAAATGGTAGATATATGAAAAATATCGTGACTTCATGGGATTCAATGAGACTTGGTGGTGATTTAGTGGGATTTAATGGGATATTTCTGGTTTATGGTTGAAATGGTTGATAATATATGATTCATGGTGATTTTTGTGGTGATTTGATGGTTATTTAGTGGGATTTCATGACGTTCAAGGGGATCTAACAACTGGGACTTCGATGGGATATGTGACGACTGAGGGTGGGTTTATTTATTTCTGAGATTTCAGCAGCAAAAATACAAGGATTCATTGTTGATGAACTGCAGTGGATTTTAATGGAATTTCATGCTGATTCAATATGATTCAATGGGACTGATCTAGCTAATCATTGGGGGGTATCGACCTGGTAAGTGGATCATATTGAATAGCTAATTTATAACATTTATAACATTAGGTATGATATAATTTATATCTATAACGGACATTTTATAACCCATGAATCCAACTGGGGAAAAAAAAACAGGAATTCTTGTTGGGAAAAGGTCCCAGGGGGATACCTTCTCGTAAAGTCACAGAAAATTAGCTATGGAACATCACCATCTTGATAGGTAAATCAACTACAAATGGACAATTTTCAATAGTTATGTTAGTTTTACTACAAATGGGTCATGTTCCAACAGGACATAGGATACTCCATCTGGTCTGGCCTAAGATTTTATGCGGAAATGGCCCATTGGCCCATCCTATCCTCGATTTCGCAGAGGGAATCAAGCTTGAACCAACCCTTGGAATACAGGGATTTTCAAGGGAAATCTTTTTTTTTTTGGCGTTTAAATGCTGGTTGGTGGTTGAGCCTACCCCTCTGAAAAATGATGGAGTTCGTCACTTGGGATGATGACATTCCCATGTATGGAAAGTCAAACAATTCATGTTCCAAAGCACCAACCAGAAATGTGTTTAATCCCAGTAATGCCATTAGATCCAGGTGATAATCAGATCTTGAGACTTCAAACCATGCCACAAACCATCCATTGAAACATGGGAGTTACACCAAACATGTGGACGTTCAGTGAACAAAAAACTCATGTTTGGGGTGTTCAATAAGCAAGATCACTTGAACGGTACTGTAAATTGTGGATTGAAAAATTGGTTTAAATGAAATTTGGAACCTGTCCATCACATTAGGGATGTGAATCAACTGTTTGATTCCTGGGATTCTTGGAAGTTATTCTGGGTAAAAATGTGATAAATAAGGGGTTTTGATGAAATACATCACTTTTCTGGGAGTGTTTCAAGGATGAAATACCACCATGTTGCCACCTTGGAACCTTCCAATTCTAAGGGTGTAAGTGGTGAAATGCCAGGGTTGTTAATAATGAAATACCAGGCTATACCAACAATTTTCAGACTCACCCATCGTTCATATGATTGGTCATAGATCCCATGAAACATGTCCCATCAAATATCACTATTATATTGACCCCACTACCCATGGTCAATCTTTGATAGTCAAAAAAAATAATCTGTTGCTGGTTGGTTGGTTATTTTCAATCTATAGCAAACAAATATGGGTTTGTCTGAAAATAGTGTACCCCTACACCCAATGGTTAATGATCATTATCCCTACTAAATGGCTATAATTGGAGGTATACCCCATTTTCAGACATACCCATATAGGATTCCATCCTCCGCATCCAGTGGCTTTGGAATGTTAGATTCACCCCACTTTTTTTTGCGCCAAGTCACCAAGGCTCAAAGCCTTCAATCCTCCATCCCGTCGTTCAAAGATCAGCGACAGACATGCCAACAATAGGAATACCATGGCCAATGACCTTGGCTGACAAAACCTAAGTCGTTCAAGGAAAACTTAAATGTATTCCATCTAGATCCCATAAAGGATGCAATTATTGATTACTGATGGATATGTAGTTATCGAACTATGCAACTGTATATGTACTGTATACACATATGATCATATATTTATATATGGATAAATACATGTGCGGACTATATATATATATATTTATTATTATGGATTAGCTACATATCTTCCCGACATGAGGAATATAATTATATATAATTATAGGATATTATAGGATATTATAGGCGTTTCCTGAAATGGACAAAAAAACAACTGTTTTCCTCAAAACTCGATGAGTTTGGGGTCCCCACTTGAAAACAAATAATGTGATATATGATTCATAGTTTTATTCATCCCCGACAGTTCCAAATATCATTGACCGTTACCCTTTGGCAATTTAATATATTCATTGAAACCATGGCCATTTACCCTCTGGTAATTTAACATAGCTGTGGAAAATCACCATTTTTAATGGGTAAATCAACTCAGACTATAAATGGGCAATTTTCAATAACTATTTTGACATAACCAGAGGGTAGTTCGTTTATTTACCTCTTAAGCATGGTGGATTTTCCGGTCAGAGTGTTAGTTGACCATGAGGTTAATTCCTAGTCATATCCCCATGATTGTCGGTGAAATCCCCATGAAAGTCATCCTATCCCCATAACATATCCATTAAAAATCCCCAAAGTCATCCAATGATGGGGACAATATCTCCATTTTTATGAGGATTTTATTGATATTTTATGGGGAAAGTCATGAAATATCCCCATCATTGGATGACTTTAAAAATATCCTCATTTAATGAAAAAATCCCCTCTGGTAAACTAAAATAGCTATGGAAAACCACCATTTTTAATAGGTAAATCAACTATTTCGACTGGGCCAGTTTCAGCTATTTTGACATAACCAGAGGGTATCATAGCTTTCCAAGTCCCCATAAAATATCCATAAAATCCCCATGAAAGTCATCCAATGATGGGGAAACTATCTCCATTAAAATGGAAAGTCATCCCACTAATGGATATTTCCATTGGGATATCTCCATTTTTATGGGATATTAATGGACTTTTTCCCCATTAAAAATCCCCATTGGGTGAGTCATCCCATCCCCATGGTCCCATGGCGCCATGATCTCACGCCACTTATCCCGCTGCGCCGTTCTCGGCAGCACCACGGGGCGCAGCGGCACCACCGCGGTGCCGGTGCCGCCGGTGCCGCGGCCGCAGAGCACCGGGATGCGACCGGGCGGTTTGGAAAACGGGACGGCATCGCACAGCATGGCGGCCGGGCGGTGGGAAGAGAAGGTGGGTTTAGCACTTTTAGACCCACCCGATTTTTTTTTAATCCCACAGTTTTGGGATTTTCATGATGGAATTTTCATGGAACTTTGATGATTGAGATTCTCATAATCCATCATAATCCCCAGTCACTGCCATTGTCCTGTTTTTTGGTGGTTGGGATTCTCATAGTACCCTCTTTTTAATTTCATTTTCACGGGAAGAAAGTGCAGAAACAGTTTTTGTTATTCCTTGGTGCCAAAACATGCATCTTATGTTCGTTGTCGTTTTGTGTTTTGAAGATGTGACGGAATGATGAAATGATTACCCTCTGGTAAACATACAAAAAACTATGGCAAATCACCATGCTATCAATGGGAAAATCCACTATAAATGGTCATTTTCAATAGCTATTTTGACATAACCAGAGGGTAATTCTGATCATCGTCACCCTGTGTTTCCACATGTTTCATCGACTGCAGCTCAAAACTGCGGCTTAAAGATATCAAACTGTCTGGGTGTTGTCAACATCCCTGAGCTTGGGAAATGCCAAGAAACATCAAAACAACCAAAAAACGTTGTTCTTGGTTGCATATTTACTACATATCACTATATTTGAGATACCCTCTGGTAATCAAACATGCTTTCCTGGAAAAAAAACATTCAAATTGGTAATCTACAGCATCAGGACTTTGGCATGCGCAGCGCGAAGCCGCCGCTTCAAATCCTTAAAGAAACAACGAGAGACCTGGGAACATGACCTTGACGAGGAGCCAGGCATCGAGATTACCACAGAACCAAACTGGGAACACGTTGAACAAGCCAGCGCAAGCTGGAAACTTTACCCCAACCAAACCTAGCGAAGGATCTTTAGGATGAAGTTGTTTGGGTCTCTGAACACACTCCCAACAGACATCTCCTCCGTTGCATCTCGACCTTCGGCGGGTGACCTCCGTTGCGGCACCGGTGTCTGACATGTGTAAATGTACATAGTATGGTTTCTATAGATATGATATTAGATGATATATATATATACATACTGTATACAGACAGTATATATGTTACAGTATATATGTATATACATATATACATACTGTATATATGTTATATAATGTTTTATGTGTATGATGGATAGACGGATAGTCGGATAGACGGATAGTCGGATAGACGGATAGATGGATGGATGGATGGATGGATAGATGGATGGATAGATACAAGGTGGTGCCCCCAAGATAGCTAAGTTGGTTTATAACTCTAATAACTATGGTTTATGGTACTTATAACTATACTTACTGGGGTTTATAAACCAACTTATAACTGGGGGGCACCACCTTGTAGATAGATAGGATAACCCCCTAAAGCACCCATTCAACAAAATAACAAAGGCTGTTTTTACGATTTTCAAATGGCTCCACTGGTGTAATCTTGGCGCCCCGGCGCCCACGTCGCGAAGACGGAGGAGGCCGGAGACAGCGGCGGCGACGGAGGCGGAACGTCGGCGTCGGGCGAGTCGAGGCTGCCAGTCATGGCCGGGATGTATAGCTGTCGCACCAGGCGTCAGGTTTGCATTAGATTATATGTATGTATGTATTCTATATGGAAAAGTACGTGATATACATATGTGTGGAATAAGAAATATGTATATATATATATATAAATGGTTATATATATTATTATATATATATGTACAATTATACGAATACCTGTGATTATAATCATGTATACATTAGGTATTCGTGTTATAGCAACCCCAAAGTAACAATAATACTAATGATATAATAAGGAACACAAATACAAAAAAAAACAATGGAAGTATCAATAGTAACAACAATTCCCACATATAGCAACCCCAAAGTAAGAATAATACGAACTAATAATCAAATAGTATCTTGGAAAATAATCATGTATATATAAATATACAATGATCTGTAATAAAAGTGACGAGGATGATGACATTAAATAAACAACGCTATTTAAAAAACGTGTGTGTATAATTGTGTATATATATGTATATGTTGAATGTTTAATGTTTGTCGGTGAAAATCCCTTTTGTTTCTTGCTTAGCCAGTGTTTTGTGCAAGTTCCTGACACCCGAGAACTCTCCTTAAATAAGTAATATACCAGATCGAGTTTTGACCGTACCTCATATCATGTATGTATACATATATATATATAAATTATCATATATTATAAATAAATAAATAGATAAATAAATAAATAAATAAATATATATATACGTATATATATATATATATGAGCATCGTTTTAGTTTTTTTTTGTTCCTCTTATCGTTTTCTGGGCCGGCAACGTATTGGCAGTGTTAAAGTGCAAGCCAAGCTAAAATGCAATGCACGTGGTTATTATACTACCCGTCGGGTCAAAACCCTGGGACCCGTAGCCGGTACCCAAAAGCATAGCTGGTATAGCTGGATGGTTCTTCCTTCCCGTCATATGGTAAGAATATAGGTAACTTGACCCATCCCCATACATGGAGACGATTCTGGTACCAAATGATTACTGGCCAGTCAGAATGATTCGCGATTTCACAGAAATCCTGAAGGGACCCAAGCTTTTAGAAGCAGCTGCAGATGACCAGCACACATCCAAAACGAGCTGATGTCATGCGAGCAATGCGATTTCAATGTCTTGAACAGTTGCTTTGGTCGCATGTCTGGGGTAGCATGGGATTAATGGTTTATGGTCATCCCACCATCATGAATGGGATTATAATGGGATTATAATGGGTATATAATTCCCATTAATTCTCATTAATTCCCATTACCATCTGGTTATTTAACATAGCCATGGAAAATCACCATTTTTAATAGGTAAACCATCTATAAATGGGCCATTTTCCATGGCTATGTTAAATAACCAGAGGGTAATTCCCATTAATTCCCTATGGATTGATGATCCTCCCCCTTTTTGTGGCTTAATCAAATCCAACTTTTGACCATAGCACAGAGTCGGCGACTGAGTCACCAGCGGTTTCACTTAGGGTGAAAGGCAGATATGTCACAGGCGCTCAGAAAAAAAAAGGGGTATCTTATGGAGCTTCAAATGGCTATGTTTATTGGATCTGAAGCCATCCTTTCTGGTTGGTGGTGCTATAACCATCTTGAAAAAGATTAGTCAATGGGAAGCATTATCCCATATATTATGGAAAATAAAAAATGTTTGAAACCACCAACCAGCTTTTTTGGGTGTTGATAATGCCTTTCGCATCATTGCCGTTGTGCTGCGAAATCAGAATCTTTCCCCAACGCACGGTCTGTTGTGGTCCATTGCACTCGCGAATTTCTGCGAACACCTCAAGGATCTCTAGTCGTCTTTGGTGCTTTCTTTAGTCTGGAAGTACCCTCTGGTTATGTCAAAATAGCTATTGAAAATGGCCATAGAATAGTGGATTTCTCATTGAAAATGCTGATTTCCCATAGCTATGTTAAATTACCAGAGGGTATCTTTGTTTAAGAAGTTGACCAAAGCAGGGCGTTTTTGCATGTTGACACTGTCAATAACTGCCATATCAAGATTTATCAAGGGCTTGATCTCCCAACATCTGAATTTCAAGGAACCATATCTCATCTTCCTTAGAGGTATCCGTCCTCCGAATTTCAGTTGCAGTACATCAATATTTTTACAACCTACATCAGCCAGCTACACCAACCAGCAACCATCACCAGCATGGTGCCAGTTCCTTCAGGGCAAACGCGCCAGCGCACTCTGGCCATTGGGAGCCTCATCTTTCAGGTGAAGAAACGCACAGGCCGCGGCCGCCTTTTCCTTCTCCGCCAACTCTTCGCGGGCCTCCTGGGAGAAGGCCCCGTGCTCCGAAGGGAAAAGGTCTCGGGTGGGAGTTTACATGGAATTTACCATCTGGTTATGACTAACATAGCCATGGAGAATCCCTTATAAATGGAAGTATTAATGGGAAAATCATCTATGAATGGGCCATTTTCCATGGCTATGTTAAATAACCAGAGGGTATGACTTTTGGATACTTTTGGTTCTATAGTGAAAAATTGAGGATAAAACCGCTGGATTTGAGGGGCAACACATTCTCAACGATCTTTGCCAAATGCTTGTGGAATTCTACTGGAAACCTATGGATTTTCCCGCAATTTGACAGGGTTTCCTGTAAAAAGAACGGAAGTAAAAGAGAAAAGGACTCACTACCTGTATTCTTGGGTATACTGTACCCACAGTTAAACTAACATAACTATGGAAAATCCCCATTGTTAATGGGTAAATCCACTATTTCTATGGCAATTTTCAATAGCTTTTTGTATGTTTACCAGAGGGTATCTACAACTAAAATCGACATTGGTCAAATCCCCCATGGTGTGTTGATGTGGCAATGCCCCGATGCTTTCTGGCACCAAAGACCAACCGCCGTTTTTGCGGGCCTCCGGTGATCCAACACGGCGGAAATCAAAAGCCATTTACCCTCTGGTTATGTCAACATTTAATGGGATTTTAATGGGATTTTATGGTGGTTTTATGGTGGTTTAATGGGATTTAATATGGTAAACATACAAAAAGCTATTGAAAATGACCATAGAATAGTGGATTTACCCATTAACAATGGGGATTTTCCATAGTTTTTTGTATGTTTACCAGAGGGTATTGGTAGTTCGAGGACTTTCCCAGCTAGAAACCTCTATTTATAGAGATTTCCCAGCCATGTGAGATGACACCGGAGAGTCAACATCCCATTGAAATCCCATAGAAAAACAGCTCCGAGCCGCTCCCGCCGTTCACTGATATAGTCAGTAGGACCACCATCATTTTTTGCGGCACACAAGACACATGGCCATTGAAAACCCACCCATTTACACAATGTGGGGCCCCCTAGATAGCTAAGTTGGTTTATAAACCCCATGAATACTATAGTTATAGGTACCATAAACCATAGTTATTGGAGTTATGTTCACCAACTTAGCTATCTAGGGGGCCCCACTTTGTAGATGATTCTCCCATAAGTAGAAACCTCCATGTTTATAAGGGATTTTCCACTTCGCGATGTTAACAAATAACCAGATGGTTTCATCACTATTATCCCATTATTAACCACTATTAATGATCCATGAATCTCCCATAAATACACCTAATTATAGATGATGGTTTCATAACTAAACCCAATCATAGATAATTTTCCCAGCTATAAACCTCTGTTTATGGAGGATTTCCACAACCGAAAACGCCCAAAAAGTCCGTTCGGTTCGGTCCTGCAGCTGGCTGAGCGTTCTTTGAAGCCAAGCACTCACTAGGCCCAAGCGTTCCAGGGAAGGCTCTAAGCCTGGAGGATGTCTGGAAAGTTGGATCACCTGGTGATTTTATGATGGTAACCTACTGATAAACCAACGGACAAATCAGCTGATCAACCAACTTAATCTATCTAGGATTGCCCATGATGGAAAGTTGGATGATCACCTGGTGATTTTATGATGTTTATGGTTATCATCCAATTTTATGGTTGAGAGTTGGATGATAACCTGATGATGGAGAGTTGGATGATTTGATGATGTTTACCCAAAGCTCCTAATGTCGTAGTTGCTTCAATGTTGGATGGTAACCTACTGATAAACGGACAAATCAACTGAACCAACCAACTTAATTAATCTAGGGATGCCCCACCTATATAAATATATACTGTTATATACTTATCACAATGATATGTGCGGTGAATTCCCCAAGTCATGGATATGACGGGCAATGGACTGGAACATGTTGGGAAATCTGGGAAATCCCATATGAAAATAGATGAACATCAGAATTTTCAAGAGATAAATCATCATGAATCATCTATGAATATGAGATGTCCATGTAGAAATATTATATATTGAAGGCTGTATAAAGTTAACATTTATATATATAATATGTGTATATTATATATATGTATCACATATACATGGGAATGTTACATTTCCTCTACAAATATAATGGTGAATATTATATTTAATATGTTATATAAGATTCCCATATCTATATTTATTATCAGTATAGATATTGATCACTTTATATTAGAATATATTGATAGATATAGTATATTGATCACTAATATAAACGATATATATATATATGTATATGATATCTAGATATTAACTCTATATTTGGTATAGTGATCTCTAATCACTTTATAGATAGTGATCACTATATATATATATATATGGAAAATTATAAATATATATGGTAATAGTAAGGGTGATAATTATGGTATGGTATTATTATATATATAGTTACATAATAGTGATCAATATACTAAATTATATAATATAACGTGATGACAATATAAAGTATAATATAAATAGAGATAGATATTATAAAGAGTGCATATAAGGGAATTATTATATATATATATATTGTATATTTATTATAATAAACATATATATTTATTAAAATTAATATACGTATATTGTAATAGAACATAAAGTGGTTGGTGGTTTGGAACATTTTTTATTTTTCCAGACATTGGGAATTATAATCCCAACTGACGAACTCATATTTTTCAGAGGGGTAGGTATACCATCAACCAGCCATAAATAGAATATAAAGTGATAATAGAGTGTTGTATCATTAGATATATTATCACTTCATATATATATATATATATACACACCCTCCAGTAAATTAACATAGACCCTGGCAGATAGGGGTTGGAAGATTAGTTTCCATTAAAACTAGGCTAATTTCAGGGTCTATGTGGATTTACCAGAGAGTATATATATATATACTATAGATATTATACATATACGTATATTATATAGCCATTAGATTCCCAGGCATGGCATCCCACCTGAGTCAACTTCCATCTCTCCGGAGATAGGCTCGGGCACCTGCGTCAGCGAGGTGATCTTCATGTGATGGAACTATGGGAGTTGGTGGTTCAATGGTGATTTAATGAGGAGAGAACTATATGGTTTACATATGGTTTATATATGGTTTATATATGGCTTATATATGGTTTATATATGGTTTATGGGTGATTTAATGGTCATTGTTTATGGTCATTGTTGAAATGGGATAATTCTTGGTGAGTTCAAACGGTGAATTTCATGGTGATTCATTCACACCGAGTTTTTTTTGGCATCCCCTCCCGTGGAATTTCACATACCCGGCGTTGGTGGTTATTATAATGGGATAATCATCTTTATTTCATGGGATTATATACCAATAAAATCGTGGTTAATGATGGTTAATGGTTAATAATCACAGGTTGGTGGATGGGAGATCTTTTTAGTAACCCTCTGGTTATGACTAACAGTTCGCCATGGTATAGATGGCCCATAGAAATAGATGCTTTACCGTTCTTAATAGCATGGTGGATCTTTCCATGGCGAACTGGCAATGCCATAGCCAGAGGGTAGCTATTAAAGCCATGGTCCATTCGGTGGTCCACCGAAAAGAACCTGGGGGTTTTCCCCAGCTGGTTTATTTCATGGAAAAGCCATGAACATGGTCGCTATATATATATTATCATTATCAATGGACCATTATCAATATCCATATATATCATATATTATCATTATATATATATATATTATCATTATCAATTGGCTTTTCCCATAACCATACTCCTTAAAAATAACCATTAGTTCCAACCAGCTCGGACAGGAAACGGCAAGCGAAACGGCACCTCCTCTGCAATCTGATGAAGCAGCTCCTGAAGGCTTGGGCTATAGCTGGTGAAACTCTATGAAACTTTATCATGTTTTATAACTCACAATTGATAGTGAGCCATTAACTGAGCCATAAAACCATATAAAATTAATTCATATAACATAATTGTAATTATGTTTTACTGTGATATGTTTTATCATAACTCATTCAGTTTTATAGTGAGCCATTCTTTCTCATCGACAGTTTATGAGCCTGTTTGGCTTCCTTTCGCCACTTTGGTGGAACATCAGCCTATTTTTCATGGGTATCTGCCAAATCATCTATGAATAATGGGCCATTTTCATCCATTTTCCATCACCAGCTTACACCGTTGAATAACCAAAGGGTACTACTGTGGATGGTTGCGAAATCCTGCACCACCAAAAGGATGCTTGAAATCCTATAAACAATGGGATAAACCATCTATCAACTGGTGAAGGATTTCGCAACCATCCACAGTATGTGTGTCCATTACCCTTTGGTAAACTAACATAACTATGGAAAATCACCATTTTTAATAGGTAAATGGGATTTTAATGGGATTTTATGGTGGTTTAATGGGATTTAATATGGAAAATCACCATGCTATTAATGGGAAAACTCACTATTTCGACTGGGCCATGTTCAATAGCATCAACTCTAGTGATGTCCTGCTGTCGCGTTGGATGAACTAAGCCCAAGGCATTCTCTTGGGATCACTCAGCCCATCATCCCAATGACTTCAGAATACTGAAGTCATGCAATGAAAAGATCCCATCATTCCCAATGAAACACATACATAAACCATAAACATAAACCCAAAAGACATATTATACCCTCTGGTAAACTAACATAACTATGGAAAATCACCATTTTCAATGGGAAAATCCACTATAAATGGTGATGTTCAATAGCTATGTTAAATTACCAGAGGGTAAACCATTTTTAGCCATCATAAAACCATGTTTTTCGATCTGCGCCGCGCCTTCAGAGTGTTTGGCTCATGTGATGCCAGGTGTTCCGCATTCGCTTCCATCTGCTCCAACTTCTTCAATCGGCCCTCGGATGACGATGGAATCCCGGTGGATCCTATGGGATTTTACCATGACTTTTTGGCGGAAAATTCAGCCTATAACCCATGGATAACCCATGGATAACCCATATGGAAAGCCCCCAAAAATCCGTTCGATGTTCCCACTTGTAGCCACTTGTAGCCTCTGGAAATCTCAGAGTTTGGAAAAAAAAGGCGATGGAAATCAGAGGTGAATCATCTAAAAGTCTGCTTTCATGGGTCCTGTTCCATGGCTACAATGTGGGGCCCTCAAGATAACTAAGTTGGTTTATAACCCAAATAACTATGGTTTATCATACTTATAACTATAGTTAATGGGGTTTATAAACCAACTTATAACTGGGGGGCCCCACATTGTATGTAACAAATTTCTAAGAGGCTAGATGTTACAAAAGGCTAAATCTCCACCTACAGAAATTCAAGAAGAAACTTGGTAGATATATCCATAGTTAGTCCATACCGTAACAGGGGCACCGATTTCAATTTATAGGGTTTCTTACTATATTTATACAGTACATTTCCAACTATAGCTATTTATTTATCATAATGTGCTATAGTGGTACAGAGATTTTCCAACTATACCAACTTATCATAACCTATACCCTCCGGTAACATAGCTATTGAACATTGCCATAGAAATAGTGAATTTTCCCACGAATAGCATGGTGGATCTTTCCACAGCTACGTTAGTTTACCAGAGGATAAAACCCATTAGATCCCATTAAACCACCATAAATTCCCATAAATTCCCATTAGATCCCATTAAAATGTTGGTTTTCCAGTTCGCTACGTTAGTTTACCAGGCCGGCTTCCCATGAAAATCACCCCATCAAATGGTGCACCGAAAATGTGCGCCGGTCGCCCGCATCTCCGGTCGAGTCACCTTGGAGGCATCGACCTGACGTTGAAGGGATGCGATCTGCGCCTCCAGTTGCAGTTCCTGCGACGAAACATGGAGAAGTCTGGAGATGGATATGTGTAGATAGTGTATATATGTGCATATATTATATATATACATAATTTAATGTACACATGTACTCTTTCTCTATATATATGTATGTATATATGTATATATGTACATATGTAATATACATATATATATATATGTATACGATGTAGTTGAGATAAATTTCGATCAACTTGGCTGTAATTGGTGCTCTTCAGAAGTACCAATGATGTACTGCCCAAAAATGGGTGAGAACAGAGGTATTGAATGAGCAAATGCATCCTTTATAGTGGTTTAATGTGGTTTATAATTGGTGGCAAACCAGTCCTATGTTTAGAGTTCGATGTGTAGAGTTGACTCACATGTTTTTCTGATGCTTTCATGAACCACCAAAAATATACCAGCTCATCTTGGTTACATCCATTGTGATACCACAGCTGCAGCCCCATATCGATGAATTCATAGAAAATAGATCCCTATTTATCAAAGTTAAACAAATTCCCTCCAAAAACCATTTCTTCAGAAGGTTGCATCTTCATGTGTCACGTCTGTTTTTAATGTGTAAAAAATCATGATGGATTTCCACGTATGTTTCATCACTAAATTCACGGTTATATTTGTCACTTAAGATTCAAACAACTTTCCAACTGTGTCATGAACAATGTTTCCCATGTGTCATGGTGAAAATCCCTCCATTTTCCCACCATTTTCCTGCCATTGTTTCCTATTTTCACATGTTTCGCCATGTTTGCACCGTTATAGTTATAGTTTCCCCTCATTTTTGCTATTACATTCACATTGGTAAGATTCATATTACTATTTCGGTCCTATTACTATTCACCATTAATAGTAATATGATTATTTTTTGTACTATTATTTTTGTACTATTACTATTCACCATCACTATTACTATTCACAGATGTTTGGTACTATTACTATTACTATTTCTGTACTATTCATATTACTATTACATTACTATTACTATTGGTAATATTACTATTACAGCATGTTCCCCCCATTTTTTCCCCGTTGTTCACCATCCCCCCCGGGCGTTCGGAAACACCTCGTCGCTGAGCTGCGCAGCTTCACTGAGGTCTTTAGAGGCCACGGACTGGCGCAAGGCTTTCAGCACGCAGCTCCTGGGGAACGGTTGATCAACTAGAAATAGTTATGTTATAGTAATTGATGTTGATGGAGATTAACATGATTAACTATAACTGTGGATATTAGCTATTCTATTGCTAGTCATATAGTTAGTTATAGTAATGAATGGTATATGGTATTACTATGCTATTGTACTGAATATTACTAGTTATAGTTGGTTATTTTATTATTACTATTATGCATACAGTAATAGTATATGGTAGTAGCTATAGCCTATAGCTATAGTTCATTATAGTGATTATAGTTAGTTATAGTAAAAACTAACAGTAACTATACAATCACTATACTATCTGTAGTTATTTATAGCTTATATATATAGCATATATAGTAATCGCAATAGTAATACTAATAGTAACAGTAATAGTGATAGTAATACTAATAGTAGTACATGTTCAGGTGGTTATAGTTAGTATAGTGAGTTGGTTAAAACAATTAGTTATATATAGTAATTCTTCATAGCTATTATAGTAGTTATGAACAATAATAATGGTAACTAACCAACTACATAATTAGCGGTTATAGGAATTACAGTTTTTACTGTAACAGTCGTATAATACAGTAATAAAGTAATAGTAATGTAATGCTAATAATTACTAATCTGTAGTAACAGTTAGTAGCATAGTAAATTATAAGCATAGTATATAGCTATAGTAATATAGTACTATATTCTAATAGTTATAGGTTATAGAAGCATAAGCAACAGTTTTAATAATCATCCTAACAGTAATGGTTATCTGCAAATGACTATAATTATAGTATAATCTGTAATATCATCTGTATTGTTATAGTTGCTATAATGATTTAAAGTTGTAAACTAATCTAACTGGGAATTATACTAGAGTATAGTTACATTATAGGATAATACAGTAAGTCTCCAATTGGTTACCAATAATTGTACGTATAATATAAACATGAAATAACTATGATTATAACAAAAGCATATTCTACAATTCACAATTAATGACTGGAGGTTAATTAATGGTAATAATTCCCTATGTTTCAAACCTATCAATAGATATTAGTTAAAATAAAGTCGGCATAACTATCGTTGGATATAATAATGACAACCCAACGTAGGTGTCACACATATCTCGAGTATGTCTGAAGCTTAACCTCCTATAACAGGCCCCTCCAATAACCCCGCGAACTAATTATCAACCAATAGACAAATATCAAGCTGTTACTTAGATCCACTTTGTATCAAGTTCAACCTATCCATGACATATCAATCCCTATCTTATACCGCATATTTAGCAATGATCAGAAACCATCATGTATCAACTACATCCCCAGTATGCATGATGGTTAACAGCCTGACAAAGAGTGGTCAATCCTCATATATAGATCATTTTCCCATCAAAACCTCCATTTAGTTAAGGGATTTCCCATTGCCTCTATCCCTACAAGGCGGGCTTGGAAATCTCACTAAGCATAGTCATATCTACCATAAAGCATTGTTAACTTTGGTATGAACCAACTTAGCTATCTAAAGGGGGCCCGTGTAATGATTTGACTTGATGTGAGGTGACAGCAATAGGATCCACCATCCGCAATTTTACCATTCTCATCGGTGGGATTGAAACCATCAATTAATATGAGTGGTTTATGGCATTGCTCTAGCTGCTAATCTTATCATGGGTTTCTTACAGAAATATGGGAAGCCCCTAAATCCGTTGCAACTACCATCTGGTTATTTAACGTAGCCATGGCAAATTATCACCATTTTTATCCATTTTTAATAGGTAAACCATCTATAAATGGGCCATGGCTTCCATGGCTATGTTAAATAACCAGAGGGTAATTCCCATTAATTCCCATTAATTCCCTATGGATTGATGATCATCCACTATAAATTGCCATTTTCAATAGCTATGTTAGTCATAACCAGAGGGTAAATCCGTTGCAACTCATCATGACTTCGTTTTCCAAAAATGGCTAACTTGACCAACCACCAGGACTTTTTCATGAAGGCCTTTCAGCTCTGCGACAGATGTGCTTCATGGCTCTCGCCACAGCCTGCGCGTGCGTTGCCAACGCGTTGCCAACGTGCCCCTCCATGGTGAAATCATTGGCTGGTGAAATGGATTTCCACAGATAAACATTTACCATGCATTAATCATGGTTTATCATTTGTTAATCATGGTTTATCATTTGTTAATCATGGTTTATCATTTGTTAAATGGTAAAAACATGGAACTCAATGATAAACACGGAAATCCCCAAGAAGTTTCACATGAGAAAGAGGTCCAAAGAGGAACCATGAGAATACTACTAGAGTAATTTAGTAATAGTAGTTATAATAATGACATATAATGACACTATTGTATCCCCCATGTATAGTGGGATTATAGTAGGATATGTGTGATACTTAGATACACACTTCTTAGTATAGTAGGATTATATCCCCATTTGTCCCCCTTTGTACCCTCTGGTAAACTAACATAACCATGGAAAATCACCATTTTCAATGGGTAAATCCACTATAATTGGCCATTTTCAATAGCTATTTTGACATAACCAGAGGGTAGTCATTATGATACATTATATCACCACTATATTCCCCATTTTCAGACAAACCCCTACAAAAACATCATCAACCGACCATGACTTATCCACTATCTCAACTATATCTCCGTATTTTTGATAGTTAACCCCGCAATGATGGTTCTATGCCCCCATAATATTCATTGCAGTTATTTACTAATATCTTGGGGTATGTTTAGATATTATAATATCAACTAATATCAATAATGTTACTAATTAGTATAATATAAACAATATTACCAACTATAAGTATAAAATAGTATAAATAATTATGCAATTGGCAATATTATTTACAGTATATTTCATATTATTTTGCTGATATTTCTCTCTCAAATTATTGCAAAATCTACTGTTCATAATACAGTTTAACTCAGCAAAATAAAAATGGTTACAGGATAGTGCCCCCCCCCAGTTACAAGTTGGTTGGTTTATAAACCCCATGAATACTAGTTCGTTATACCATTAACCATAGAATTCAGCCACTTTTTTTAGGCAACTGAACGTAACTTCGAACGGGGGCGCCATCCTGTATTGTTGGTTATATACCCCGATCATATTCCCATTGTTGTTGGTTAAAAAACCTTATTAACTACTATTTTCATCACAATTAACCACTATATAATCCATGTATAATCCATATATCATCCATATAAATCAGCATGGAAAATCCATGGACCATTTATAGATGATTAACATTGATTAACCACTATTAATCACAATTAACCACTATTAATCCATCCTCTACCCTGGACTTATTGCAGTTGCTGGGAAGTTCGCCGTTCGCGCTTCGCTTCGCGCCTCCTCCAGGCATTTCTGCCCCTCGATGCTCCGCAGCTGCCACAACTCACCTGGGATTTTTTCAGATGGCGGCCTGGTTGAAGCGGGAAAGTCATTGGGTGGAGCATTACCATCGGGTATTAATACTGGTTAGTAGTGGTTAATAGTGGTTAATGGGTATTAATAGTGGTTAATGTCATTGGATTGGTTTTGTTGGGAAAATCTACACCGGAAACCCATGGTAAAATTACCATCAAATTGTGATCGAGCTTTCCGGTTTCAATTTTCCCGTCATCCAATTCTATGATTAAGGGAAAATCGGACCAAATTCCATGGATTTCAAAGGATGAAATACAGAAGAAATACATGAAGAAGACATACATGAATCATAAGTTAAGTGGAAATTTTAATGGATTTCAGAGGGTGTCAGCCACACAGAAGAAAATGAAAAGGATTCAATAATGAACGATGGCGATTTATAGGTCAATTCTGCTGAAACTGAGTCCACTGGGGTGGCTGTACAGCCAAATTGATCACCAGAATTGATAGGAAAATTGACCACCACAATTCATTACAGACAACTTGAACACCTACCCTCTGGTAAACGTTTACAAAAAACTATGGAAAGATCCAACATGTTTCATGGGAGAATTCACTATTTCTATGGCCATTTTCAAGTTCGCAAACTATGGAAGCCATGGCCCTAATCGAAATAGATTGTTTACCTATTAATAGCATGGTGGATCTTTCCGTGGCTATTTTGACATAACCAGAGGGTAATGGGAATTAATGAGAATTGGAATTATATACCCATTATAATCCCATGAAAAAATCCCATTCATGATGGTGACCATAAACCATTAATCCCATGCTACCCCAGACATGAGACCAAAGCAGATGTTACCCTCTGGTAATTTCTTACAAAAAACTATGGAAAGATCCACCATGCTATTCATGGGAATTTTCACGAATTTGACATAACCCTAGAGGGTAGACTAACATAGCTATTGAAAATCACCATTGTCAATGGGTAAATCCACTATTTCTATGGCCATTTTCAAGGTCGCAAACTGTTAGTTTACCAGAGGGTTTATCATATTAAATCCCATTAAACCACCATAAAATCCCATTAAAATCCCAGAGGGTAAATGGCCATGGCTTCCATAGCTATGTTAGTCATAACCAGAGGCTAATCCCAGAGAGGCTACCATCCGATTCAGAGATTTCCTGTCACGTCTCCGATTCTCAGAGGCCCCACCTAAGGCCCTCATCTCTTCGGCCGCAGCTGCGCTAAATGCCTGGAGCTGGCCATTCAGAAATATGTATCTATAATATATATATAATTTATATATGTATATAAAGTATGTAATGTAATGTAATGTAATGTAATGTAGAGTAAAGTAAAGTAATGTAATGTATGTATATATATATATATATCATGTGGATGTTCAAAATATACAATACTGTAAGGCACTATAATGGATAGAGAGAGAGGAAGGGTAATGGATATTAGATTAAAGTAGATAGGGTTAGATTTGATTCCATGAAATTTAGACATAGATAGAAACATAGACAGGTGACGTATGCATGGAAATTCCACCAACCCCAGTTCACATGGGGAATTTAACATGATTTAAGCAACAAAGTTGGGGGCAGATTGTCCCAGTCAGGTACTGCCCAATATTTTCTACTGCTCAGTATTTCGAATGGCCATTTTCAGGTTCGCAAACTATGGAAGCCATGGCCCTAATCGAAATCGATGGTTTACCTATTAATAGCATGGTGGATCTTTCCATGGTTTTTCCGAGGCAAAACTTACGAGGCAACAATTTCCACAACCACTAGTTGGTTGGTTGCTGGACGAATCTCAAACACTATTGAAGAGGTCACCGGCTGGAGGTCAGCTAAAGGTGGGGTATTCAGGTTGTTACATCCCAGTGATGACCAATCTGCTGGTAAATCCTAACCTATGTGCAGCTGACGTTGAGGATATTCACATATATATATATACACATACATATTCACTCATGAAGTCTAAGCACCCAAACGATTTCAACACCATCATATCAATTCTAGCCCTGTCCCTACCTCAATGGAAGTGCGGGAAGTGTTCTTGTCAATCGTAGGAAAATGATTTGCCTGAGAGTCATGTTCCACTTCCACCTTTGTTTTCAGAAGGGTATGTATGGCCCCTCTGTTTTAATGGGAAAAGCAGCCGGCTGTGTGTACAAAGGGTACAAAAACCCTCAGTTTTTCTGGAGCCAAATCATCATGTCCATCGATTCAACCCCAATGTTGAATTTTAAAACCGTCAAAATCATCAACATATATATATATATAATTATATATACACACTAAAGTATATGTATATAATTACATATATATATATATAATTACATACACATATTGCATTTCCATTGATTAACCACCATTTTTAATTTGATCCTTTTTTTCCCAAGGGTTCACCACCTTTCCGGCTCGCCATCCGCTCCGCCGCGCGTCGCCGCGTCGCCTGCGCCATCATCGCGCGCTGTCCCGTCCCCTGTGCTGGTGCCACGTCGCAGCGAGCCGTGAACACCACGTGGGTGTTGGGATACCTAGGGCATGGAGCATCCAATGGAAGGGAAAGATCCACCATTTAATGGGATTTATAGTGATTTAATGGGATTTTATAGTGATTCAATGGAATTCAATGGGACCATAAGGATATATCCTCTGGTAAACTAACACTTTGCTATGGACAATCACCATTTTTGGTGGTTAAATCAACTATTTCTATGGCCATTTTCAATAGCAAACTGTTAGTTTACCAGAGGGTATATCCAAATATATTGGATTTAATGGAAGGGAAAAATCCAGCATTTTTAATAGGTAATGATGGGATAATGATGTTTAATAGGGATGATTTGCTGGGATAATAATGGGATACTGGGATATTCATGGATATACCCTCTGGTAAACATACAAAAAAAGATGTATGAAATACCGTGAAAGATGTATGATATACCATACCACCTATAAAAATGGTGATTTTGGGGATGGTTATGGCATTGTTTTACCCACATTACCCTCTGGTAAACGTTTACATAGCTATGGAAAGATCCACCATTTTTAATGGGTAAATCAACTACTTCTATGGCCATGTTCAATAGCTTATAGTAATATTAGTAATAATCAATGGTAATTTCAGGATCCTGAATTGGAGGTATGTTAGTACCATTTTTCAGGCCATATATTTGTGGCGATATTCCCTGAAAATTAGGCCTGAAAAATAGGCCTTATACATGGTAGGTACCTCCAATAAATCAGTTCCTGGAATGGCCATTGACCAATGGAAGGGAACATTTTTGAGACCATGGTCATTTTTTGGGACAAAAACTGTTTTTAACAATGTATTAACTGGTGATTTCTATGAGATTGTAGTTGATTAATGTTGATTATAGATTCCATAAATGAAAGTGTAAGTTACATACCAGAACTGAATCTATAGAATCTATATTATGGCCCATAAAACTGGATAAATTATAACTGATATTTCGGGCCATAACTCACGGAAACCATGGTGGTGCTTGGAGAAACTTTAGGGGAAGGTTGGAGCGGAGAAATTGGAGAAATCTTCATTTCCAGAAATATGATTTACCAATAATAATGATTAATATATGGTTATTATATGGTTATTATATGGGATCATAATGGGATATGCCAATAATAGTGGTTAATGATGGTTAATGGTTTTTTAAATCACTGGTTGGTGGATGGGAGATCTTTATAGTAACCCTCTGGTTATGACTAACATAGCCATGGTATAGATGGCCCATAGAAATAGATGGTTTACCTGGGTTTACCTATTAAAAATGGTGATTTTCCATGGCTATGTTAAATAACCAGAGGGTACACTGGGGATGTGATAAGGGGATTTTGATGGGGATATGATCATTTTGATGGGTTTGGTTAAACTGTTTAAACCATCCTTAAACTGTCATGTAATTAATCATGTTTATTAGTGATATACCCGGCCTGGTAATCTGGGTAAGTTTGCGAACTTGAAGCCATGGACCATAGAAGTAGTTCATTTCCCCTTCTTAATTAATAGCATGGTGGATCTGTCCATTTTGGGGAACTAATAGCTGGTTGGTGGTTTTTCACCCCTCTGAAAAATCATGGAGTTAAAGTCAGTTGGGATGATGACATTCCATTCCCAAGTGTTTCTGGAAAGTCATTCAAAATTCCATGGTTCCAGTCACCACCAACCAGTGATTAAAAAAACCATTAACCATCATTAACCACTAGTATTGGTATATATAACCCATTATAATAATCCCATATATTATGATCCCATTATGATGTTTATTATAATGATCCCATATATTATGATCCCATTATATTGGCTATGATATGTTTATTATGATCCCATTATGATCCCATATATTAACCATATAAAACTTGCGGTCATTTAGGGATGGTCCCTACTAACCATCATTCCGAGTGAGGGAGAACTCAGTGAGGTCGTGATCAAATTTACCCAGAATTATGGACTTTATTTATATTTGATAGATATATATATATACACCCATGGAAAATCACAATTTTGAATAGGTAAATCATCTATTTCCATATATATATATATATATATTATCATATTATATTATATTATATTATATATTATATTATATTATATTATATTATATATATATACCCTCTGGTCATGACTAACAGTTCGTCATGGAAAGATCCACCATGCTATTAAGAACGGTAAATCATCTATTTCGATTAGGGCCATCGAAAAACCATGGCGAACTGTTATATAGTCATAACCAGAGGGTATATGATATCATATGGGCTATAAAAATTGATGGACCATAACTTGCGCATGGGTCAAGTCAATGGGTACATACGCGGGTACCCCACAAAAATATATGGGACAGTTGGATCGATTCATCCAATGTTTTATCATAGCAATATGTTTGAATGAATCGCAAATTTTTGGGACATGGTTTGATATCATGGAAAGGATATAATATTCAGAGTTCAAACAAATACATAGATATTTTACACAAACTCCGTGAAGGATGCTCAGAGCGGCCTTGTGCATCGGAAAAAAGATCGGAAGTCTACTGTACTCGTAGCCTGATTAAACAGTTGGAAGCCTACCTTCAATGGCCATTTTAGGAACCGATTCATTGGAGGTACCTACCACGTATAAGGCCTATTTTCCAGGGCTATGTAAGGAGACCCCCAAAATATGGCCAGGATCCTGGAGATCTCCCATTGATACCTGTCCTGATCTGTTCAGTTCTGGCGAACCCTCTCCCACCCTTCAACCCTGCCCCAGAACAACCCACTATGGATGTTTGAAGTCCTCCATTGCTACCCGGCCTGGTAAACGTTTAAAAAAAACTATGGAAAGATCCACCATGCTATTCATGGGAAAATCCACTATAAATTGCCATTTCTAATAGCAAACTGTTAGTTTACCAGGCCGGGTAAATTCCCAGCCCCAAACTCTTGTGGCTTCGCCCGCTGCGAGTGGCTCAAGTTCTTTCAAGGCCATGCCAATGCCGAAGCTTCGACCCTTCTCTGCCTGAGAAATTGAGCTGGGGACCAGTGTGATATGTGCTTCATCCACAAAGCTGTGGGAAAAATGAGCTCATGTTTGATTTATGAGGAAAAATCATTTGCCAAAGAATGTGTGTATATGGGGATGGGTCAAAACATGTCAAAACCCTGGTACCTAGTGAACCCCAAAATAGCTGGGATTTATGGATGTGAATAACCCACTAAAAATGCATCTATAGGTATTGACTCATACCCATATAGATCATAGATGGTTGTAGAGCTTGTAATCAATCAAATATTCATAGGAAGCACCAAAGATGGGAACTTGGGCCAACAAAGAATGGGATACCAATGGATAAAAGCATCATTCAGGGGTAGGGGTCAAATATGTTCAAATTTTTAGGACTGAGGGGACCACAAAAGTTTATTCTTGTTAGTAAAATGTAACATTTTAGGGTAGCCATTGACTAGACCTGGAAAAGTTCTGCGGAGATCAGAAAGAATCTCAGTCTAGGCCGCTTTGAAAAAATCTACACCCATGTACCCTGCATCAAACATGGCTGGGGAAATCCGATTCTTTTTCATAAGCCCAGCCTAGTCCCAGCCTGGAGCTCCAGTTCCAGTTCCAAAAAATGGCGACACTTGGGGATCCATCTGTGGAGGATGCATCCCTGGAATTGTGGTGAATAAGCATTTTGTTAACCCTCCTTATAGGGACTATAGGGTGAATAACCATTTTATTGGTGAATAGTCCCTATGATTATCCATTTTGTAACCTCCGTATATACCCTCTGGTAATGACTAACAGTATCTAACAGTTAGCTATCGAAAATGGACCATAGAAATAGTGAAAATGGATTGAGCCACTGAAAATGGTGGATCTTTCCATCGTTTTTTGTATGTTTACCAGAGGGTAGCAATTGAATATCATGGAACACCACGAGTTAGGTGCCTGGGATGCACATCCATAGGTCAACTATTTTGCTATGCGAAAAACACGTGACATCCAAGTGACATCCAGTTGTGTACGAGCTGTTGTCCACCTAGAATCTATTAGGTAATAGTCATCACCCAAGTAATATCCTACTCCAACGTGAACATATGTATTGAATATATCCCATATATTTATAGATACATTCAAGGTGGCCCCACCTAGATAGCAAAGTTGGTTTACAAACCCCATCAACTATAATTGCACGTGTCATAAACCCTAGCCATTGGATTTACCATCTGGTTGTGACATTGCCAGTTCGCCATGGAAAGATCCACCATGCTATTAAGAACGGTAAACCATCTATATAAATGGGCCATCTATACCATGGCTATGTTAGTCATAACCAGAGGGTTGCTATAAAGATCTCCCATCCACCAACCAGTGATTATTAACCATTAACCATCATTAACCACTATAAACACGGTATATAATCCCATGAAATAAAGATGATTATCCCATATGTTTACCAACTTATCTAAACTCAATCCCATTATTTTTTCAACGTATCCAAATCACCATGAACTGCCATAAAAAGAATCTAAGTCCCATTAAATCACCAAATGTTTGCTGGTAAAGTTTAAAACTCACCATGAAATACCATCTAAGTCCCACTAAATCCCACTAAATCATCATGTGTCTACTTAAAAATACCTAAGATTCCCAATTTTATGGTTCGTATATACCCCATTTTTCGTGGATTCTTTTTTGCGACGGAACAAGGCCGACGGAGCCACGCCTTGGGAAGATTTGGAGGTTTGGCCCGTGTCCCACACCTTGGAGCTGATTAACATTGGAGCAGGCACTTTTTGAAATATTATGGATAATTATGGAAAATATATTGGATAATAGAATGGATAACATAATGGATAATCTCATGGTTAATTATGGATAATAATGGTTAGTATAATATGATGGATAATAATATAATGGTGTTATGATCATAATAATCAGAATGGATAATATTTGGAAACTGTTGGATAGTATCGATGGTGTTGAATAAGTCAAAGATAATGTTTTAATAAGTCAATCATGATATGATTTTATTAACGTGAAACATGTTGATATGCATAATGTTTAGTAAAATGGTTGACAGTATTATGGATAATATCTTTTGAAACCATATAATATCCATAATGTGGATAGCTTAAGAACCACTAAAATAACTATGTACATGTTATGCACAGTATGTGAATAATAATAAACATATATGTAATACCTATGTATGTAATAAAATACACGTCTATCTATATATATATATATTATATATGTTATAGATGTGTATATCACATATGTAATTAGATGTATGAAAATATGATGATACGTATAGACTGTATAGATATATCTGGAGATTGATCAAACATAGAGTCCTGATCCCACAGAGCCAGAAGGCCATTGCCCAGCTTTGGATGCAGATCCAAATGAGAACGTCTTGTTGGATCATAGCTACCAGATCTGGGCCCCCCGTTTACGATAGCTAAGTTGGGGGCCACATAACTCCAATAACTATGGTTTATGGCAGATATAACTATAGTATTCATGGGGTTTATAAACCAACTTATAACTGGGGGGCCCACATTGTACCAGTTCTGGCTCAAACATGACCACAGAATTTGTGGGTCAGGTCGTACCTTGAATCTTGACCCGCTGCCATTTGTCTCGAGGAAAAAGGATGTTAATCCACATGTTCTCAATTGGAAAATCTGATCATTCTAGACTTACTTAAATGTCAAGTTGTCGTATTCGACAGTACAGCCATGGTTTTTTTTGGTCTTGATGAAACATGATCAAACCATATTCAATCGCAATTGGTTTAAACAAAAATGGTATTTGACCTCCCCTCTTTTTTTTTACTTCAGCCCCTCCCCTTCTCGGACCCCAACTCGTGTTGTCCGGTGTGGTAGCGCTGGGCAGCAAAGATACAGGGAGGCATCACCTGCGCTCCGGAACTTCAGAAAAAATCTGGGCTTGGCCAACTTGTTTTTGGTGCATCAAAACCAACACGTACTATGGTTGAAAGCACCAAAAAATCAAAAATCTATGGTTCAAATTTGGTAAATAAACCATACCATGGTAAACCATACTATGTGATGTTTGGTAATACATGTTTGGTACGTTCAAATTACCAAATCTATGGTTTCATCGGTAAACCTCTGGGTATAACCAACAAATACTCGGATGTCATGGGAGTTCGGACCGCTTTGGCTGTAGTAGCATGGAAACATCTTCATTTTATGTACCCTCTGGTAAACTAACATAACTATGGAAAATCACCATTTTTCATGGGAAAATCCACTATAAATGGCCATTTTCAATAGCTATTTTGACATAACCAGAGGGTAAAGAGTAGCCAAGTTGTCTACATTCCCACGGGTTCAGGGGATGTTTCACTTTGGAGACGTGCACCACACTAGGTTTCCAGCAGATCTCAACTGCAAAAGTCCGAACTGGGCGAAACTGTCACCAAAAACTGCCATAAACAGGAAACAACATCATGACTAAGCAACGGATTGGTGTTTCCAAAATGTTCAGACAATATTTTTGAAAACCGTTGACTTTTTTTTAATGCCAAGCCGTGATTCCTAGAACCTCACCAAAAAGTGGTGTTATTTTCCTAGCTTTATGGCAGGCATAGCATGGTATCCCTTTGGATGACGCAAGATGACCCCCCATGGATGGTGCAATGGGATGGCCGCATCGGGGGGTTTTCCACATTGGTCAGCGGGCACCCGACCGGGTAAACATACAAAAAACGATGGAAAAACGTGAAAATCACCATGTTTAATGGGAAAATCAACTATTTCGACTGGGCAATTTTCAATAGCTATGTTAACGTTTACCAGAGGGTATATCCCAGCAATGAAACAAACCAGGGCTCAACATTCATCCAGGGTAAAAGCTACCGAGTCCTTTCAGCCCAGGTACAAATCGTCATTGGGGGAAATCATCTCAAATACGGACGGAGAATAAGGAGTCTCTGAAAGCACCAGAAAATGTATAGTTTTCTACCACTCGTATTGTTGGTTTAACCATGTTCTACTCCTGAACTTCGGCCACTACAAACTTTAGTTCGATGATGTTCTCCCCATCATCTTCAGGTTTCCATCTGGCATTGGGCATTGGGGATGGCTTAATAAACTTGCTAATTAGTAGTTATCCATTTAGTATCCCTGCTGTTTAAGATAACCATGATTAATACCCATTGTGGAAAAAACAATGATTATATACCAATATTAATCATCATTTAATATACCATGATTATATACCCCATAGGATCCATGTATGCTATATATGGTAACATTTACCATCAATATACCCCCAATGTTAGCATATATACCATACATGGATCCTATGGGTACCATTATTAATCCCTATGAACCCGTTGTTTTCGCTACACCCATACGCCCAAGTCCTTGCAATGTTTGCGTTTGACAGCTATTCCCAATCAAAACGCTCGCCACGACCCCTGTCCCGGCACAGACCTTGCAAAACCCCTTTCCCCATTGGAAACGCTAGCTTTAACAAGCCTTGACCAAACTATCATGGTTCTATTATGTTCTATTCGTTTTTGATCGAATCCCATCGGAACGCCGGTTTCCAACGGGCCTTTTTTCGTGGGCACTGTTGACGCCCACAAACAAAAACGCGAAGCAGGCCCTTTTCCTAGTTTGTATACTGCAGGATGGGTTCTGATAAAGGAAAAAAACGAGGTCCAAAACGAGGTCCAAAACGAGGTCAAAACGAGGTAAAAAGCCCCGCATCTACACACATGGACTTTGGCCCGCAAGCCGCAAACCTGCCCTTCCTTGGATCACTGGTAGCGAAACAATGACAATTTGCAGAATCCCAGCACACCGCCATGGCAGTGTAGAGATGATAATCCCAGCGTTGTGTAGAAGTACCCGGAAACAGCAACAGCAGCAGCCGTCGAACCAGCAGCCGCAGCAACAGCAAGACGCCAGTAGCTGCAGAACCCAACAGCAACCATCCCAAACACAATGAGAACGCAACTAGCAAGATTAAAGCACTATGCTAATAGTAAAACAACGCCCTACCCCAAACACAACCTAAACGCCGCTTCGCCACTTTAGGTCTACATGAGATAGTAAGACAGCAACCTACCCTAAACACAAGCTAAACGCCGCATCGCCACGACTTCCACAAAAGCCTTCCCCCAAGCTAATTTCAAGATTTTTGGGATTTCGCCACGACTTGGGCAGTTGGGAGTATACTCTTCGGCTGACACGGTCGGAATCCCACGCTTAAAGCAGCGGCCTGCAGACCGCGCCGCGCCGCCTGCGGCGCGCCAGATTTCTGGCAGGTTTTTGGAGCTACTTGGAGGATCCCACGGATCGTTGGCATGGTTGGCAAGTGGGGTTAACCCACTGATATATATATATATACACACTGTATATACCCTCTGGTAAACTAACATAGCTATTGAAAATGGCCATTTATAGTGAGTTTTACAATTAAACATGGTGATTTTCCATAGTTATGTTAGTTTACCAGAGGGTATATATATATATATAGGATGGCCCCACGAAATGGTAACCTGCTAACTGCTAACTATGAACCTCCATTCGTATCCCATTATCATCACTATGAAACCATATAAAGCCCATGTTAAACCACCATAAAACGTCCATTGACCTGGAAAGTTTCATTCTGCCTTCAAACCACTCAATCCATGTCTAAATCCTCGGCCAAGGTACTCGAAAATTCGAGGGCCGCGGCAGGGTGCTCTTGCAATCCTTGGTGGTTGAATCAGCCCGAAAATCTGCGGTTGAGTCATTGAATCCCAGTCTCTGTTTAAGGGAAACTCTGCACGAAACCTTTAAAAAATGGGGATAAAGATTGCTGGATATTGCTGGTTTGCGGTTTTCTCCTTAAAACAATCCATTGCTTGAAAAATATGCGCGAAAGTACTAATAATGATTTCTCATCCCATTTCTGCGGCTCGAAAAACAAATACTGTATGTGAACGAGTTTCCACCAACCAGCTTTGTCTGAAAATACATGTTTCCATTTCTTAAATTGCCATTCTTATTGAGGGTATGCCATTTTTCAGATTTACCCCAGCTTGAAATATCCTGGTTGCAGAAACCCACCGCCCAAATTCGGACACAATGCCACAGTGGCATGAGTTCACACGAGTACAGCACGGCAAAGTTGAGGCAAACCAAGAAATGGAGACCGCTGCTGGGAATTTCAATAGATTGGTGTACTCACTGCTATGTCTGCAATGCCCGGGCCAAACCAACTTTTGAGATAGTCAGAAACACTTTGGGAATTGGTTCCTAAACAAATGAAAAGAAACGGGAATTGTCCCAAACAGTTCATATTGAAGGTTTAAAAAGCCAATGAATTTGCAGTCCTTCCCTCATAAACCTCTTGTTTGGGACAAACCCATGTGCACCAAATTGTGTTTTTTTCCCATCCAATCCGCTGGAAACAATGCCTCCATGAAGTTGTTGGTCAACACAGTTCATGTCACCAAGAAACTATCCCCTTGTTTATATGGACGTTTCCTGAAATAGGGATACCCCTAAATCATCCTAAATCATCAATTTGAAGATGAATTTCCAATCTAAAAACCATCCAGTTTAAGTGGGCTACACCATTTATGGAAACCCCCTAATTTCTCCATGGAAGACCCAAATTACACCTACCATTCTACCCCCCAAAAAAACGACTTGTCGTTCCACAACAAAGCCAAGTGACCGTCTTCTTCACCTGGAGCGTCCGTGAATCCCGTGAATCCCTGGTGCCCCTGGTGTTTTTTGTGAATGTTTATAAGCCCCATGAATATTATAGTTATTAGGTAGGGTTATTGGACTTATAACTAGAGTTTTTTTGTTATCTAACTAGGGTTATAGTTATCTGTCATGGATGTTATGTTTTACTGACTTTAAAACCAACTGATAGCAATAATGATAATAATTTATAATCATATTCCCATATAATGCTAGATGGAATAACTCCATTAACTATAGTTATATACACCATAAACCATAGAATTCAGTCACTTATAAGGCAACTGAACGCAACTTAGAACGGGCGCCCCATCCCATATTGAACATGCCAAACATGCTTGATGAATGGATATTACATAGCCATGGTTGATTAACATACCAAGCATGGTTGATTTACAATAACATGGTTGATGTAGCCTCTGGTGATTCAACAGTTGATTGGTCTGGTGTATGTATATATATATATATTCTAAAATATAAATACTCCCTTTGGTTATTTAATATCGTGAACTGGAAAATCACCATGTTTCATAAGGTAAATACCAGCATTTTTATCATGGGCCATGTTCCATAGCTATGTTAAATAACAGGAGGGTAGCTACGTAGTTACATACCGGAATACATTGGTTATCTTTGATCGCCAATGACAAACTACAAACTGCCAACCTCTGGATATCATGTTCATGGAAATGTAGGGTGATTTCTCTGGAAATGGGCATATCTCCATCAAATACCCATGTCATATAACTGTTCTTCTTGAAATTCTTCAGGCATTTATCACCATCAAATACCCATATATCATCTACCCTCTGGTAAACCAACATAACTGTGGAAAATCATCATCTTTAATGGGTAAATCAACTATAGATGACCATGTTCAATAGCTATGTTTGTTTACCAGAGGGTATATCATATTAAATCCCATTAAACCACCATAAAATCCCATTAAAATCCATTAAAGTTATCTAGAACTAAAATACCAGAGGCTAACATTCCTGGAAATTTACGGCTACTTGGTGGATCTTGGTGGTTTATCCCAGTGGGTTATAGCCCCAGGCCGAACTGGACCAGCCTGGTACGCCATTGCGAACAAACCCTACAACCAACTCACTGAGCCAAGTGCCGGCACCGAAACCAGCAGAACATCACCCTTTTTGGGTGCTTTCACCACTGTTTACAGAGATGTTTTAGACAACAAAAACGGTGAATTATGTGTATATTGTATACATATATATATACATACACATACGTTTTATATAAACTGTATGAGGATCCTTGACCAATTTGCAACCAAAGAAACCGCGTATCAAGAATCAGATTGTTTTTCAGCATCATCACACATGGACGTTTCGAAACCCAAGCCTTGAAATATGCTGAAGATGAACGCAAACCCTCAACCAACAAATGGAGAAATCAATTTGTAAACTATAAAGAAAGAAAGGAAGAAAACATCTGTAGACAAATCAGAAACAAAGAAAATATACAAATAGAAAAGCAAGTCAGTAAATAAACATGTCTAAAAATGCAGAGTCAACAATGGAAATCACATGTAAATCCAGTGAAATAATGATCCACAGAATTTATGCAGAACGCATCAAGAAAAATGTGTTAGAAAAAAAAACAAAGACATGAAAATATCCAAAGATTTCAGAGAAAAAAACGAAGAAATTATCAGTTCGCTATGGAAAATCACCATTTTAATAGGTAAACGGTAAATCAACTATTTCTATGGCCATGTTCAAGTTCGCAAACTGTTAGTTTACCAGGCCGGGTATATCACTAATAAACATTGTCACCCATGGCAGTTTTTCAAGGATGGTTTAACATGGTTGAACAGTTTAACCAAACCCCTCTATGAATCAACCAACCAATGGCAAATTAACAGATCTGGGTAAATGATCAAATTTCAATACCCTGAATTGTTGGGCCATTTTGGGATGATTCCCCTTACTAACTATGATTATAGTGCGGGAGGACAGTGAGGTCGTTATAATTTACCCAGACAGATATAACATGTCCATACATGTCCATAGTCATTTCAGCTTCGCTAAAATAACGTCAGAGTTGTCGCCTTTCGTCACATGGATCCGACGAGAATTTGTGCGAGTTGGTTCTTCCCGCTGCGCAGCGGGGAAGAAACATGCAGCAAAAACTAGGGATAACTAAGGATATTACTAGGGACAACTAGAGAACATTCTAGGATAATAGTTATTACATGTTATTACTAGGAATTGCAGCTGGAAAAAAAATGCATCTTTGTCTCAGCCTCTGCATTTTTTTTTCGGTCGCATGGACAAATGCACAACGGTGCAGTGGGCGCAGTTTGCGCCGAATGAGTTTGGAAATATTGTTGAGTCGCTGCATGAGGACTGGATATGACTGGACAGTTGAAGCAGCAGAATATATTGACATTCTCATGCGGATATCATTGGCAGTGGAAGATGAGTGGATATAATGGAATATGAATGAGTATTAAATGAATATAGTGTACCAACAAGTGAATTTACCTAAGTGAACATGTGGTTGACTTTGACTCCATTCCAGGCAATGCTTATAAGGGTTGAGTGTTAAAGCCCTGCTTTGCGCCCAGGAAAGAAGGCGATTGCTGCTGTCTCATGGCTCGTCTATCTCGACTGAGGGGGACTTGGAAAACTATGATATGTCATGATATGTCTACTGTAAATCAACCTTTTTTGAGAAGATTCTTCCCCCTTAGTAACTGGTTGGTGGTTTGAACCCCTCTGAAAAATATGAGTTCGTCAGTTGGGATGATGACATTCCCAATATGTGAGAAAATAAAACATGTTCCAAACCACCAACGACGTAAGTATTTTATGTTTTTTTGTCACCAGTATCTAGTTTCGGTCGCTGTGAGGTCATTTATTTATTAGCCCAAAAATATCCATGTCCTAAAAATTCGCGGGTCACATCGTGAGCGCAGTACGCAGGCTGCCCCGCAACGCGGGGGCCACTCAAAAGCCTTCTGGTCCCAAGGGGGGCTGGGAAGCTCTTGCAACAAAACACTGATAGTAGGGCACCCCTTCTCTGGCACGTTGATGTGCTGGTATGTCATGACTTCAGCTTGTTTGGAGCTTGGCTGAGTGATGTTTTTTCAGGATCTTGGCTGAGTGCAAATCGCCTGGAACACATGAGGGCAATCACCGTCGCTCGTGCTTCATTTGGAACTCCATCTCGAGACACCACTAGGTTTATAATACCCATGACATACCACAAGGTCGTCGCACCTTCCAAAAAGAAATCTCATGTCATGTTCAACTAATGATGCACCTTCTTATGGGATTTGAACCATGTACTATTCCCATGCTGAACCCCCCAGAAAAACTTTAAAACCATCAAAAACAATTAAAAACCATTAAAAACCACAGAAATCTCATGGGATGTTAAAAAACCCTTCAAAATCCCTTCAAAACTTCTCCACCCCCCCAGGTTTGTAACCCCGAGCGGATGGGCCGGGGGGATCCTTTCATCAACCCGCGCGGCTTTTCCCATGGGGAAACACACCATGGGGTTTCACTCGGAACAATTGGGTGCTGGCATCCTGGAAATATCTGGAAATCATCGAAGCTGGGATTTCTGGGAGGCCATAAAGGGCCATGGCTTCATATTGATATGATATGATGTTTAAACATGTTTAAACATGTTTAAACCATATATTTTGCGACTCACTTCGATCACTTTACATCATACTTTTTAGCACCATTGCGGGGCCCAAAATTCATGCATCCAATACAAAACCAGGAGTTTTAAATGATGAATTGCCTTGTGTATTCGTATTAGAATGTATTAGAATTGATAGGATGTAATGATCATGAATTAACCACAATTGATTTCTTGGAAATCTGGAAGTGATCATTTACAGGATGCCCTGTCCCAGGTCAGGAAATTGCAGCCTTCAGATCTTCAAAGGCCTTCGGGCATCAACGGCAATTTTGAGTTCTTTCCAGGTGTATCCTCTTTCTACCCTCAAAATGGGGTGGT